CTCTGGATCGATGAAGTTTATTTGTGCGACTTAAGAACACAACGAATTGCTACCTAGATTTTCGGAACCTTACTATAACCGAGATTCCTCCTGAGGTGAATAATGCTTTTCAGTACTCAAGAGGTAGTAATTGGGGTGTGCAATTAACTAATAGGATAACTAACGAAGAACAATTCTACACTATGAAACGTTTTAAGAAGAAAAATATGCTTACCTAATTTATTCCTACCAAGCCACCTTAACGTAGTATCGAATGTTCGTTAGTCTACAAGCAGCCAGACAGTTCTGCCTAAATATGGTCTCTTGCTAAACTAGGCTAAGCTGCGAGTACTTTTATCAAGGATTATTGGAGGTGAAACCACAAAAAAATCGTATTAGATATTATAATATTTGTAAATCATCATTTCATATTTCCAACAAATCTGTTTGCTTTATTTCCCCGTATTTCCCAATAGGAAAGGGCGAATAAAGTTTGTTTAACTCATCTTTTATAAGGTATGCTTTAAGCACAAATATACAGGTTTGTTTAACACGACAGGAGAATGGAAACAAAAATATTCATTGTCTCACTTGGAAAAAATGCACAGAATTTCCGCTAGAATCTATTCACCAATTATGCTAAGCTTTTTTTAATATTTCAGTAAAGGCCCTGTTACACGCAATTTTTTCTGCAACTTTCAATGCAATTCTTCTTTTGAGAGATGTGAATTTGGCAACTATCAAACTTTTGTCTTTATTACACTCCATGGCGTTTCTTACACTTACATTTTGAAGACTCTTTCCTAATTTACATCTCTTAAAAGTAGAATTGCATTGCCTTAACTGGAGCTTTCCGCCACTTTGGAATATTGAAGCTATGCGTCAAGACGTCATGTGCAGTCTGGCACAAGTTTTTATCTTGACAAGTGATGACTACAATATGGACGAAAACTTCGTTTAGTTACAATAATTAAAGTTTTCAATTTGGCAACTGCAGTTTAAACAATCCTTGATTGAGAAACGAAACAATGATGCGAAACCTCGTAATTTATTTATCTCCAGGAGTCGTGATTGTTGCGGTGCAGAACAACTTTAATTCATTTCAACGCATGCGCAAACGTTTTTTGAAAGCTAACTAATTTCCACAAGAACAGTATGTTTTTCGGTTTACAGAAAGTAAGCATTTCGACTTTTTTTATTGATTTTAAAATTAATAAAAAGTGTTTCGCTATTCAGTTCTTTCGAAATGTGCAAAAGGCAATTAGGGAACCGCCTTTATGGCGCGTTGATATACTTTAAGGTGCGAGACGAGGCTGACGAGCCTAAGTCCAGAGGGGTCTTATCACTAACACTTTCCGACGATAAATCATAGAGATACAAAGAGTTAATACCAGGATGCGTCGGTCTGCGAACACGGTCCTCATTTGGTATATAGACAATCACCCAAAATTAGATTATCGTTTAAGGTGTCTTAATAAAAATGATTTATGCTCAATTAATGCAGCAGAGCCCACGCTATACTTTAGGGCAGAACCAATTCAACGTATTGATTCCTACGAGCGATGATTTGTTAGAAAATATGCACGGGACAATTTTATTTATAGTTTTAATTTTCACTGGTACTGACTGGCAATGACGTAGGTGGACTTAATGTGACGAAATTTTATTACTTAGCTAAGTGGCAGCTGGGGGTGAGTAAAAATCTTCCCATTTCGCAGTCCGATTTCACTCCTGAGATTACATATATAGACCGCTGTGCATGATTTAGAAATCAAGAGAAGTATAGCCCTGCTTAAATGTATCGCCTTGATGAGCTAACAACTACTGGTAAACTCTGATTCAGGAAAGATGGACGACATTCCACACTCGAACTTGCTAATGAATATGACGTTTTTCGAATCATTATTTTATAGAAAAAAATGAAGAAAAAACCGTCTGCATGCAAGGAATAGTTTTATATAACTATAAACTGATGATAGATCCCCCAAAGACCTATAGAATATATTTAATATATATATGAGTATTAAGTTTACACACGATGTACTTGAAGAGCTTCTTGGGGAAATTCGGTGCTGCAGATTTTGTGTATTAGTTAATAACGCAAGCGCAATCCTAGACCAGTTCCTTGATATAGTTGTTTATAATAACTGGCTTTATTAATTTTTCCCTTCGATAGTGAAGCTCAATGTTTGTAGTGTGTTAAAAAACCAGGTTTGCACAGCGTTGATAAATATTATATCTATATATAGGTCAAATGCAACTGAAAAATACAGAAGCAGCGAAATTGCGATGTTAAAGAATGCAAGAATGTCGATTTCCATAGAAACACGAACGTATTGACACAATAGAGTTTTGATTCGAGGTTTTTCTCTTGCATTGCGAGGTGAATTCCTCGCAAATACTCTTCTCGCACACGAGAGGAACCGGCTAAGGTGGCCGTGTCGTGAGGTCGTCAGCTCTGGGCAAGTGGAATGTGGCAGTCTTTAGCAGACTCATCAAACGGGAACTATAAAGTTTGTAGACTCGTACGCGCAAACGCCCACACAGATTGAAATGTATTTGTAGTGATATATTGTTTGCAACATGTCACGGATTAATATTCTATACGGCGGTCTTCTGTACGCCTGTTTTAAGTGGAGAAAATTATTTTGGAGACATCGATTTTCTGGCTAGGTTTCAAAGTAGAAATGAATATCGGCGCCTTTTATATGTGGAAACAATACTGTTGAAACCTAAACGTCAACAGTTATTTGGAAATTGTGCAAAAGTTCGGCTACGTGCATATCTTTGGAATCTGAAGATCCCAATTAATTTACACTCAAAATCAACTCTAAATTATCTCTAATTTTACCCATCACAAGTCGTTATTTATAGTTTGATAGATTGAACATTTCTAGACAATTTAAACATTCTTTGGCATTCTTTTTCATTCTAGATAAATTGACTGAGCCAATTCTCCTCGACCTCAAGTGAATTTACGTCAATGGTAACGCCTGAGAGGATTTGTTGCGGTGACTTATAGAGACAGCTCATATATACGCGAAAAACTCTCATGCACCAAAACATTATATGCAGCATATAATACTTTGTTGATTCGACATAGGTGCAAACAAATTCATAATCAGATAACAGAGCATCTCTCATGAAAGGCATGCAGAACTGAACGTGTAGTTATTTTGAGGATGGAGTTTTCCATCTGTTTGCAAGGTATCTTTCGACAATTAAAAAATATAGTATCACCCTTCAGTAACTATAGACAGACACCTATACACGTAAGATAACTTTACCTCAAAAAAAGATAGTGTTGAAATGCTCTCGGGTGGTATAACTACAAACTTTGCGCCGCATTTTACGATTTTATTGATTTATTTAGGAATTATTCGGTACCTAAGCATCACTGAGTAGAAGGACATAGGCCAGTTTACCTGCACTAACATCTAAAGCCAAGTCTACAATATTGTTACGCACAATTTCAATATTGTTAGGAACATACGATGCTGGCCCTATTAACATTAATTTGTTTTCGTAGTACGTAAAGTCAAATTACAGGTACCCACAAAAACGCGTTGGCGGACAACCCATGCAATGCGTGTTTAATTTTAGCAGAGTCCTTTGCATCTAATGTACGGACGTATAATAACGGAGAGGATCGATCTGGCAGTGAATTTATGAAGTAAAGTTGCATGTCATCAACACAATCCATATCGTACGCCGCTTCAAATGATGGCGCTCGCAAAATACCTGCATGCAATACGCAAAATATCACAAATTAAATAGGAATTAGGGTCAAATCATTGCCAAAGTTCCTCTTAAAAATGTCAAACAATCTCGTTTTAACAGCACAAGATGACTACAAAATGATCTAGGCACACATACAAATGCATACATATCTAATCTGGCACGCCGGTCCGCAGTTTTATCGAATCTGTGTTTACCAGATGCAAAGCCTCAACCAACGTCAGCATAACACGCGCTAACATGAATATCAGGTATTATAAAATAGTATGAACTGCATAAGAGTTACTATTTAATCGGCCACGCAGCGCTGAATAAGCCACGCCTCTATATAGAATATGTATAGAGCATCGCTCAAAAGAGATCTTCAAAGTGGCGTCCTTTTGAAGCGACCAAAAACGTTTCGCGTTCAACTGAACAAAGATTCTTTATAGAAAAACTAATAGATGGTGAACCAAAACTTCTATTTTAAAAGTTCTAACAGGTCGATTTCTCGCGGTTTGTAATCATGAATGATACAAACGCTGATCGAGGAGCTGTTCAGTTTAGGATGTATATAATTATGTCCAAGAGCACGAGCATTTATGGCAACATTCAGAGTGATATGCAAGCTCTAAAAGTCACATCTGTCTCTGAGAATGTCCAAATTCAGGCCCTCAAAACAACAACTTCATGTAAAAAATACGACTGTATGCCAAACAAGGGTAATTGGCGATATATGATTGAAAAATTCAGGAAGAAGCTATTGTAATTAGTCATGTAATACTTGAAACAAAACAAACACAATATCGTCAAAGACCTGAGTTTCAAGTGCGAACATAGCCTATACCAGAATACATTTAAAATGTTAAAACTGGACAAACGAGATCAATACTTCTCGCAGTTAAAATGATGATGAAAAAAATTCGTGTTGAATTTTCCATGTTGTTACAGTCATAATTCCGCGCCCAAATTATCTATATCTACCAAGTAAGCAGCTAAGACCAGAAACATTACTGTATATAAGGACGATATTGAAGGTCTTGTGAACTATCACTAAACCACGTCCTTAGATGGTCAAAAACTGAGGTTGCACTCACAAGATATTGCATCGACTGAACACAAACGCGAACATAATGTACGAATTTATCACTCTCGAAGTCTACGAATGCCTCAGAAGTCGTACATTCCACGGGCCAGAAAAAAACTAAAGTACTAGATATTAACATTATAATAGCCTTAACATATCACAGCAACTTGTAGTACTGATTAACGTATGATGGATATATACAAGACAGAAAACTAACCTGAGTTTATACCTTCGACGAATCCAAAGCGGAAACCGTAGTGGCTGCTGTAGTACTAAAAGAGAATCAGAAATTCGAATGTCACTTTATATATGTGCTGCCTGCCGAGGTGCAAGAGAGTGCCGGGCTCAGCTGAGGACGCTCGCGGACACTAGGAACGAGAATACGAGATCACCCGCTGGGCCTATTTATATACAGGAAATATAAACAAGTTTGTGGTTTTGGCTACTCGAGAGCAATTATAAGCTCATAAAGGAATATATATGTATATATATACTGCCTAAAAATTCCTGCCTCGGTTTTGTTGACATAACTTAAACACTCGAAATGCATGCGGTGTATAGCCCAATAGATTTAGGAAACGTTTACTCTTCATCACCGCCAAAAAGTGATCGACTAACACAATAAATTTTTTAAACGGTTCGTGTTTCAGGTAGTTTATCAAAAAACCTCAAAAACAAGGATTTGATGGCATTCATAAATTCTTTTTTTTTCAAAAACAGTATCGTTTAATGGGGTCTGTAATGGTTTTGACGTCATGCTAATAGCGTGATTTGATAACATAATGGTAATCGGACATGCAAACTTAAGCTTCTATAAAAAAAATCATTCTTATAGTCTCGAATTTAATTACAACTTCCAATCGACATTCTATACAATTGCTATATATATTCAGGCCTCATCCCGACTCATGAGCTTTATACTTGCTGCGTACAAGATCAGCTTCGCGAAGTGAAGTTTGTAATTTGAGAGTCATTTATTTGAGGGGAAAATTTATGATAGAAAATAGGGAAGTACAGTCATAGTGGCATGGGAGTTCACCACATTGTAAATACGAGAGGTACATGCAAGCGGGCATAAAAAATTCATACTACATAAACACCGTGATAATACTCTAGTTTTAAAATTCCTGCGGTTTCCTGCAAGCGATGCACCTGAGCTCTCTCTCCTCTTATACAATATCCTCATTCAGCAGCCGCTTTTTGGCCAAACAGACCGCAAGCATTCCTCCGGATTTCCCGTGCCTGTACACTGGACTATGAAGCAATCCGCACGTCCATCTTTAAGCGGAAAACTCGCCGCGGTGAACAAACGTTTGGGAAAGTCAAACAAACGTCGGGCACATTTCGACCTCTCGCATTCTCAGGATCTCGAGGTGTAATTATAACCATGCACTTAGCTGCTGCATAGATTGCAGAAAGTAATAAGGCCTGGGCCAAGAGGTGATCGAGTGATTGATGATGCACTATAGCTAGCAACTCTGTGGCTGTCGGAGCTCTGCCTCTGCCAAAAGAAATTAATTGCATCTACATGCAGGGACGGAACTCGCGCGCCAAGGCCAGACTGTATATACATATATAGTCCGAACGTATAACCTATTCTTAGCTCTGTATACAAAGCTTAAAGTGATCGGACCACGCATTTTATAAATAGAATAAATATTTAAAAAGCTTGTACGTCGACAACACAAATCTGGACCGCCTATCAATTTGTCAATTTGTATAAGGATGTGGCATGCAGCCCACAACATTGGAGAATGGCCAATGTCACTATTTTTAAGAGATGTTATTCGCCGCAACAAACAAATCGATTCATATGACCACAAACTGTTTTGATAGGTATATTTGAATCAGATCAACGCGTCGATGTTCAGATTTAAAGCATTCTTTCTTTCCTAGAATTCGACCATGCAATAACATGTTGTTTTAAACAACAGTTGTCATATCAAATCTATTCATTTTTTCATATGAATAAACTTAAATGAATAAACTTTCTTAACGCCGCTTTTGGAGGTAAATAATTCAAAATAATAACGACCAAAAAGACCTAAAAAATTTATCAAATTTAAAGACATTTCAGAGTTCATTCAATCCTCAGGTTACATTTTTTCGTCGTTATTTATATGTGTATTATTTAACAGGTACATGCATGTGATGAAGTGATACAGTTATTCTACCTTGGTTTAGCGACTATAAACTTTGATTTAATCATGATGTGACGAATCCATATGATTAAGATTATCGAGATTTGGCTATTTAATTCTGAATGGTTCAATGGACTCAGTTTTAAGTTTAAAGTAAAATATAGGATTTATTGATGATATAATAGAACTATAGAGTTATGTTCGCGGGCATAAATGTGTTTTTAGCCCGACTCTGAACTTATTTAATTTAAACTGAGGAGGCCCAAAAACACATTTATGCCCAAGAACATCAACTGTATTAAACTCATTTTAGCTCGCAAAATAAACCGCAATGCCAGAACGAATCGATCTCATGTAAGAATCAACAATTCACCTTTTTGATCAGTAATTCAGCGATTTAACGACTGGTGATTTTATCTTAGCCGGGATCAAGTGTTTAAAATAGAGTTCTTCTTTTCTGAAAGGAAGTCAGTCATCCTTCTCAATCAATTCTCGATCGTGAGGTGATTCGAATTTAGAAACAATTAATCAAACCACAAATTACAGTCAGCTTTTATAACTTTTAACTCGATTGACCCGTAACTTATCACCAACGAACTGTAATGAAATATGCACCAGATTATCACAGTGGCGTACGGATCCCACAAAAATTACCTTCTCGCAACAACTGACGTACGAGCCAATTGATCGATAAAAATTTAAAGCAATTCAAAATATACAGCTAATGCCTCTCGATCTAAATCTCAAAGTTTGACTCTCAACTTAAGAGACCAAAAGAACTTTCTCGATTTTCTAAGTACATTATATATACTAGAGCAGGCTATTTAGCAGACAGGGAAGCTACTAATCTTGAAAGAAAATCTTTCTTGAAGAATACTTTGTATCATCAACATTTACCAAAACATTATATCGTCCGACGTATTTTACACAGCTGTTTGGATTGTTATGTTATTGTTTTTTTCCTTATTTTTATTAGAACTATATATAGGGCTTTGATTGCAATTTACAGGGAACATAAGGCTTTAAAGGGGGGTAAACTGGAAGTTCATTATAAACCTATATATGGCCTGAACTAAAGCATTCAAAAACAACTTGTCTGAACAACAACATGCACGACGAATTTGGGGAAAATTACACTTTTTGGTTCAGATCTCGTCTACAGCAAAAATTCTGCCTTCACTGTTAATTTCGTTTCAAAATACCTTCAAAATATCTGCCGTAAACTCGCTGGAAGATCCAAGCATTTGACATATTGCATGCTTTCAAGAGGGCATGTAGTATATTTTGACACAACGGGAAAGCAAACTTAAAATACATAAAAACGCAAAAGATGTGGAAAAATAATCCATCTGATCAATCTACGTAGAACGCGCGGCATGACGCCTGTCAATGAAAGGACCTCAGCGAGATTTTCTACCATATTCGGTATAGAGCAATTACTTCAAGCGATATATCGTGTTTTTGTCGTGATTAACATTCAATTATCCTACACTTGCGGGGCAATTTTTCATGTCTAACAGTTACAAAGCAATGTCGTGCAGTGACGTAATGCGGTCAATAACCTGTTGTGTGATCGTGCAGCGCCGTACCGCTAATGTTGAAAACATGCTTGACAAATCTCAGATGCACAGCTCTTCTGCACGCGCTTTCCCTTCAAAGCTTATAACGCACAGATCGTAAAATGAACTGCGCTGGACAATGGAAATCTCGATGATAAGGCCGGCAAATTATAAAAATTTTCATCAGATTCACAGTTCCTAAATAAACCATCTACAATTTCGATCTTCCCATAAAGCTCAGATGAGCTTAAAATGCGATAAAGATTTTGTAAGACGTTCTTAAGTTTAAGGAAACGATGTTGTTTGCAAATTCCTTTTGCGGATTATGTTTACCCATAGAACATCCGCTGTTTGGCGCAAGGGGTAATTAACAGCCAATGGCCAATTAATAATAGCCCGATAAGCGCTTGACGCATTTCTTTGAGACCACAAGCACACAACAAGCTGTGTGTCTGATTGAACCTTGAACGTTGCAAATGAAACTCGGATTTCGACAATCGCATGATCTAATTCCGGTGAAAATCACAGGAATTCTGGTGCGTAGACACGTTCAATCAATATCTAGACCTGGGCGACCAAATACGTACTGCTAATGGAAAGCATGCGCGCGAGTATTGTTACCACTGCGCACGTATCTTGTTCAAGGAGTTGAAAACTCGCAGAGAATTGGTCGATAAAGACGAAGAGTGCGTTGTTTTAAAAAACGGTCTCGCTAAGCGTTGTCCACCCAGAAATTTAGAAGATTATAATTTACTGTCCACTCTAAACAATATATAAGTGTACATCGCTTGTTCGCGATTTATTCGCCAGGAAATGAATGAATGCCAATCTTTTTAAGATTCACCCTACTTGACCGCCCGAAGTTGAGCTATGTAGCTATCACTTAACTCTGGCATTGATATTTTTTCATCTTACACTCGTTTTATTGCGAAGTTTGACATAATCTAACTTTATGAATTTTAGGCGAGGATAGTTTAAGTGTTTTAGGGCGTGGTTTATATTTATCGTTGATGAATTCGGCTGTTATTTCTGTTTGTCATACCAAAGCTTTTGACAATAACGCAAGTAAACAGGAAACCTATAGAATCGTTTTGGTGAGAGGCTTCCTTTGAATAAAGTGATTCGGGTGCTTTTTTTCTTTAGTTCTCATAGGCAAATGGCCTGGAGCCTAATTTCTTCCGAAGTGCTTATTTCACAAGCCAAATTTTAGGTCAATCAAGATAAGTGCCAACGAGTATGATCGCAATGACGTCTTGCCTACGGGGTATTTTCATGTATAACGAATTAGTCACGGTATGTTTAATGTTTGATTAGGAAAAAGCGGAAAGTTCAAGCTATGTTAAAATGTTGATGAAATCCTTATGCTCGAACAGTATTGCTTCTTGAACTGTCCTTGAAATATGTTCACCCTAATCTGATAACGTGTACTTATGCCCAGGATTTAGCAACAACACTTCTCAAAAACGAGGCTATGCCACGGAGGTGCTGAACCGAAAGAAATACTACCTTTAACTATATAGCTATACAACTTTAACGTCTCTATGACACGCATGACTTTAGGATTGATTTAGAAACTGATTCAAACTGAAGCACTCGCGTTGCCGATGTTTTCGTGATGTATCAGTTAAGTATGCCTATATGTAGTCGCTATGTTCTGTGTATATAGATCAGTGGAATACACCCGTTCATGTGGGGAATTACATATCGGGATGAAGGTTATATAGGAGGATCCACACCTTATATAATTCACCTCAAATTTTTTTCACCAGATTTGTGAATTGGTTAAAGATCCTTTCGTTCAACACACAGACCACCACCCTTCAATTAATCGATCATGCTTTCCCGCCTTTCAACCTGAATTAGCCCCATCCATACACACCTCAACCCCAAGTTCGCTAAAACTATAACAATAGATCGAAACCATGGATCATGTATCTTACTTAATGCCAAGTGGTATTGGCTTCCTGATATCTGATTGTCCCGTAAATAGGCACAAGTGAATGCATGTCTAAATATACTTCAAATATATATATTTCAAATCCAACTGTCAAACTCGAAGTTTAAAAGGCAGGGACATGTAGTTTGTTAGCCACAGACGTCCGATAAGGCTGCCCTTGCTTCTGCAGGTCAGGCTTCGTCACGAAAACGCAAAATAATTTAAATATTCTACAATATTAACGGTGCATTGCGTTGCAGAAAAGCTTCTCATATAGTACATAATTATATACAGTACATGTACATTACAAACAACACAGTACATATAGAGAAAAATGAATGTACAAATAGGCTGTAACGCCTATGAACACGTACGCTTTAGCGAACAGTTTGCAACGAGTGCGGTTACATGTGGTAGCGAGGTGCATTTGAAGAGGTTTATACGAACGCCCACAAGAACTAATTATTGAGTCTAATGATATCAATGATATATTCACCCTTTTTCGGACCGGCGACGTGATAGTTTTCACACTCTTCTCCTGTCGATATGCTTCTTACAGCGCTGTTGAATCTTAAACAAATTTTTATCACCTCTCTTCAGGTCATACATCACACTTTAGATTGTGAAATTCTTTTCTCACTTATTACGAACACTGAAAAATAACTCACTCTAAAGTCTTAAATTGAAATGAAACACATGTCTTGTAAATTTAATAAAAGTCCGCAATGTCACGCACGTCCTCTTGTGCCCTTCAGTTGACGAAGACTTTTTTCAGGACTCTACAGCGCGGTTATTGAAAGAGGCTCAGTGTGCGAGGTGATGAAAGATCAAGATTTTTTGAGAATCACTCAATCTCGAATTGAAATATTTGACGCATCATAAATTATATACTATGGGTTTTTGAAATATACGGTTTTATAAGAAATCGAATGGTGCAAACCAGCTCAAGTTCGGGTTAAATAAAACTTCAACACAGCGAACTCCCGCAAGGATTTATGGAAATAAATGAATCAACATAAAACCCAAGAGAACAAAAGATTAATAGTTTAAAAATTTGCACATATAGATAGGAAGAAGTGTATACATGGTTGATGAATTTACTTACAAATTAGAATTTCAGTTTCCAGTCGATCCTATCTTCTTTGGGTGACCTTCTGCGTCAATCGAGCCAGCCTGAAGCAAAAGCATTTAAATTAGCGAGAAAAGACGAAATACAACAGAGACAAACGGATGTACCTAATTAAGAGATGAATAAAGTCTGTCGTCTAAACATTCCTCTCAAAAACATAATTAGACAGACAGATTCTATAGTGGACTCGGAAATGTTTTCTTAAATTTAAGGGCATAATCGTTTCCACTAATACAATAAGCAAAACGCGCAAGACTGAAATTGTACGCCGTTTGTACATACAAATATAGGGTGCGCGTAAAAAATGGCTCTCGACTGAAATTAAAAGTGTTCATTCCTTTTTTGGATGCTCTATTCATTATGAATTGTAAGCGTACACCTTTAATACAATGTAACTACGTAAACCGTTTTTAAACAACGTCAACACTTCGTACCTATCAGCGTCCGGGAATTATATTTTATAGCTAGGTATATAGAAAAGGGAGAAAAAGAGCAAAACTATTTGAAGATACTTAAATGGCCGGGGTTGAATATTCATCTCCTAATTTTTCAACTGCAATAATGTGGACAAATTGGTCAATTTAGAGCTTTTAGCGTGCGAAAGCTTTCGCGTTCAGAACGATCAACACACTTTTTTTAAAGTTTAATTAAGTTGAATGGAAATTGTATATGATATTGAGACACATTCTTGTCAGCTGTAAACCTATGTAAACATATTCGGCTACTCTGATTATGTCTCAGTTTTTAACTTTGATGGAAAATCCAACTGCGAAATCGGTCCATACCTAGTGCATCATGCGACCATAGCAAAGGATGCCCAGAAACACCATACTTAGCAACCATACCTCGAGATATTTTTTTAATGAACAAAACTTTCAAAATTGTGTGAAATGTCATGCATTCATGTACGTAGGGGACTAGGGGTTAAATATTGAAACAGAAAATGTGTTAATTTAAGACTTATAAGCACACCACTACACGCGAGACGCGTCAAGTGCATGTATTTTTTTGAGATTCGTCAAATATAATTCCTTGGCATAGCGCCTAACCATTTTATCCACAGTCACTTTAAAGGTCGGTGGGCCAATTCGGTATATACAACTAGGCTAAATATATCCAAATAGGCTAAATTCCGGAAAAATGCTGCAATCGTATATGGCCTTCAGGAAGCATAAACCTTGAAAATTAGGCGAACAATGGATGATGGGTAACTTTGTGATTTTCCAATGCGAAGGTTGTAATGTATATAGTATTGAGAAGTATATGAGAAGAATGGTACAACTCCAAGCACATATTTTCTATACCAATCTTCCCTTGCGCGTTCAATATCTTTGTTGGTTATGTTTACAACCATATAGCCTGAACACTAAATTAAAGCAAACCCAGATCTAATCCAAAAAGCTATAATCCAAATCACTTCGACACTAGACCTAAAATGCGATTAGACAAATAATTGCCAGTTAATCCATTTAACTTTCCTATACGCTTCAGACTATACTTCCGCTATAGGCGAGTTATCATTAATCATACCAAAAGTAAAAAATTGCTTTGTCTGTTCTTGGCTACTTTCGAAATTTCAATTTAAAATTAGTATTGCTCAAACCAACTTCACAGATTTGTTCACGAATAAACTTTCTTGACGGAACCACAGAATTGATAAAATCAAACCACGCAAATGAAGAATATGCATGAAGTTATACCACGCCTTGAAGCAGACCAAGGCTCGAAACAAAGTTTTATCATACTTTTTTCCTACCATATCTTTCCTAGTGTTCTGCTTAAAGCATATAACCGAAGCACCCTTCAAATCTCTTTTATCTGCATATATGTTTATTATTTGCAGTCTTATAATCAGTAACAAAAATGAAAGAAAACACACGGAGGAGTTACTGTGGAGACAGTTTTACAGTTCTTTCCTAAAGACTTTAGCAATCGACTCGAAGTAGCAATGAGAATTGCACTATTTAGGCCCGCTTGTATGTAGATCAATAGAATATCGGTCTTTTGGTAGATGTGAACGAGTGGAAAGGTTGGAGATTTTTATACGGCTCGTTTCCCTCGATCGCAATAGGAATATCGCTTCCACTCCCATCATGAAAAACTGCAAGTGTTTTAAGAACTTTCTAGACAGGTATTTCATTAAAAACAAGCAATGTGAGATTATATCGTTATAATTTGGACTAATTGAATTACCTTTAATAAATATACTCCTTCTTTAGGTGAACTGTATCAGTACCAAAATCAGGCTTTGCTGGTAGCGTTTGAATGACAATTTCTTTGAAGATTGAAATGGCTTTCTCTTTTATAACTGCATCGGGGCAAGCAAGAGGAAACAATAATTTGTGGGCGTTCGAAATCTCTTAATTAAACATGACGAACGGATAGAATATCTTATCGGTGTACACGTGTATAGGTACAAAAGAGAGAAATGCAAAATAAGATTGAAAAAATTAATGAAAATATTTTGAGAAGCGGAGATATGGGCAGAGACAAGATTCAAACGAGTATATTTCAATTGCATGTTTAACGGCTGATATCTCGGTTGCGGTTTATTAAATATATATTCTATTAACTATATACTGGGTCAAACTCACCTGGGATTTCCAGCTTGGTTCTGTTATAGTAGTGAGAACTGTAACCTCTTCGAATGTATATTTCAGATATAACATGACGTCAGCGTTGTTTTCAAGGTGTTCTCCTACGCAATCTATCTATGATACGGCCAGATATATACTACTGATGAAAAAGTTATCGAATTTTGCATCGCGAGATCGATATAGAGTAACAGCGCGCTTATTCCGGCATACTTGCAGTTTTCCAACTACGTGGCATTTTAAAAATACACAATTCGGTTTAAAATTAAGCTGAAAAACCCAACAATTATCAAATCTAGGTTGTAGTTGAGCCGATTTCGCCCGCCTGCTCATCTTTGATCTCATCTATATATAGCTATATTCGCCTTATTTTTTAAATCACGCCGATACAGATCGCGTACGATTCTGAAAAACTTCTATATGTGAAATAGAATATATTTTTACAGTGTTTATTTTTGTGATTATTAGTTTATATACGTACCCACATAGCGACGAGCTAGTTTTTTGTTTTCTAATTTCATTACTTTTCTTCCGGGGGTTACTTTTCCGCGGTTTTAATAAAATAAACTCTCTCAAAAAAGTTGGCAAATTTTCATTGAATTCCACCAAAATTCGGGTAATTTTTTGCTAAAATTAGTGATCAGTCGGGATATTTGTATTCGTGAGTTGGGTATTTTTGCTGAACTTTGGCATAATATTCAGTGCAGGAAAATTTTAGGAAGGGTTTTTGCCAAGAAGCCTAAGATGTTTATCATCCCATTATTTTGATCTAGAAACGTCCAGGAGCCAAATCCTGCCGGGGAACACACACAGCTTACAATGAATTCTCACTTCCAATTACTAAAAAACGTATTCGAATACTATATGCACACGTTCAGACGGATTTTACAATGTCACAATATTATGCTACGTATAATAATTTCGATAAAAAAACCATTTTATTTTTTTAAAACCTTATAATTCCAGACCGCAAAAAACAACAACAACACTTTTGGCACAATACAGTGATCCTGCGTCGCATTTCGCAATGTTATGTGATGTGTTACTGCTTTTTAAATGAAAATAAATGATGATGAAAATCACTCTCTTTGATCAGTTTGGGAGCTACAACATGGAGGGCTCTGGCTGCCTGTATGAAGAAAACATTGCTGAAAATATTGTTCTATTTCTGGCTGTAATTAAATTTTAGGAACAAAACATTTAAAGCTTTACTTTGGACTTGTATAGAAGTTAAGTACTTCATGTGATGTGTGAAGTGTGGTTCATCATAATACCTCATATTAAGTTGCACCATTCATGGTAAATATCATATTATAAAAATACTTCTTTCATATATTCGCGAGCCTATTCTAATTGCAGAGAGGTCAGTTTGTGCACTTTACATTTTAAGCGTGGTCGATTTGTTTCGTTATCTTAAAATTATCAAATGGACCCAATTGAATATAGATAAGTTTTAAATTTGTCAATGTATTTAATTACTTCCCAAATTGATTGCGGTGCTTCAGATGCTATACGCGCTATCAATACATTTAATTGCTTTGCGCATGTTCTCAATGATAAAGGTAGGTTGATATCTTTTATTTATATATATTGAACTGTGGGCAGGGACGCATGAACACGGGGCGTTTAAACGAAAGTTCCCCCTAAATTGTGTTTCCAGCAACTATCAATAAAAATAGTAAAACAATATCTAAAAAAGCCTCGACCATTGCTTAATTGCTGTGCTGTTACGTATCCAGTTCGGTATATTGAATAGAGATAGGAAATTATTATTAAAACAAATTATCATACAGGATAAAACAAATAAATTTGCTCTTATCAACGTGTGTCCTGTAATGTTCTAGAATGTTACATAACTATATATACTATATACTTAATAAAATATACATTAAATATAAAAATAGTCAGTTCAAAATTTTCTCAGTCAAGTGGATTTTCACCACCGGTTTTAAGCTGAAATCTAGTTCGACTCTAAACGAAAAACTGAACGAAATGAGTTATTTCGTGTTTCTGAGTGATGCTCGAAGGCAAAAATCCAAAATTTTAACTTCTTTCAAACTTGAGCAGAGGCCGTTTTGTCTACCCAAATAACTCAGGAACGGGAACAATCTATGCACTGCTTTGCCACTTGTTTAATAAAAAGATAAATCAAATGAAAAAGATGCGCACAATATGTGTGGGATATTCACATCTCGGCAGCATGAACATCATACCAACACCTGCCTGCTGGAGAGGGCAGGGAAGGACTAGGGCCTACGTGGGACTAGTCCTACACACCCCCCTGCTATAGGCGGGCGCCACTCATCTCAGCAGCGGCTTTGGTCCACACAGAAATAGAGCAAACACAAAAATAAAAAAGCATTTGCAAAGGGCCGCACAAACCGTGTAAAATTTATAATAAACGCCGCCCTCGAATAAACACGAATCTCGAAGTAAAGCCGCGGTGTTTATATTTAAGGAGGATATAGCCGTACTATAATCAAACTTTCTCCAAGCCCAAAAGCTATCATATCATGACAGCAGTCAATATGGAGAGTTTGAATATTTTTATATCGTAAAAATGTGTGCAAATGAAAAAGAATACATGATTTAGGTCTCCATACGTGTTGAATGTGTCGTGACTCGTGAATACATTATTTAGGTCTCCATACGTGGGTCGCATACGTGTTGCCTAGCAACGTAAAATCAAAATAAACAAGTCCAACCAACAAGAATGGAAGACATTTCAATTTGTTCTAATTGGCAATGTTTAGGTTCTAGACAGACAAATTCACGTTCTAAATAGGTTATATAAACCTCTTTCTTTCAAACATGGCTAAAATTAAGAAGAAAGGCAACGGAACAAATAAGAGTACTGTGTTCGATATCTATTTAAACATCGAGGTTACTCGGGAACGGTTTACGATTCACAAAGTTACAGGTGACACACAAATCAAGGACCTAAAAACCCATGTGGAACTTGTTGCTGGGATTCCGTACACGCTACAAAGACTACACTATCTCGATAAAACCGACATGGTCGACATGTCTGATTTGAAACATAATGATATAGTTTCTGGCGCGACTATAGATCTAAAACTATGGAAGATGTGGGAGAATGTAGTCAGCGTTATTGTGAGAGGGCGACTACCAGAGATCCTGGCCCTAGGACTAACGTTAGACAAATCTTGGGAGAAATTAGATAAGGCATTTTACAAGCATAAAGTCGAAACAGCCAAGGAGAAATTACAAGTGGCATTGCTCTTAGCTGCACATCGAAACAACACAGAATTATTGAAGGCTTTGCTAGACCTTGGTGCTGACATAAATTATAAAACCTCTATGGGTAGGACAGCTTTGCATATGGCTGCCTCACAAGGAAATTCCGAGTGCATAGATATGATGTTGGAGAGGGGAGCCTGTATCGAGGTGTTTGATGCCGAAGGGAAGACCCCAGTTGACACTGCAAATTCTTGGGGTAAAAAAGACAGCGAACGGCATCTCTTTTTGTACCAATGGCAAACAAGGGCAGCAAAAGTCAATCCAAAGAAGGATCTGCCACTGATGATGCACCAACGATTCGATTCAACATTACCAACATGGTTAAAGGGGGGGTATGGGCAAATCTATCATGCAAGTACATTACCTGCCGGGGAGTTCTCTGGAACGAAGCTGAGCTCACCCCCCAGGAAACCAACAAGAGGGAAAAGTTCATACACTGAGAATGGAAGACAGAATAAGGCAAACAGTGTTCAAGGTCACACACTTTTTGGGACACCAGAGGATGATACAGATCATGATCATCAAGAAGGACAAGATGGCAAGTTTAATGCAACGTACATCTTAATAAAATCCCCTTCCAGTCCAAACAATCCAGCAATAATAGTACATTTGGCCATTTTCAATAAGACGAAATTAATTAACCTTTCAATTCTTTAATTTTCAGTGACAAGTAAAATGATCCAGCTTTAACAGACATAAAGCCGGAATGAATTCACAAGCTGAGTTCATCTTGGTGTATATAGCCAGATATACAAGGTTTATAATCTAGATTTTTTTATTTCAGCTTTCCATGAAAGTAAAAAAATTGTTCGTGAAAACAGCATCTTTTCCACTGACACAACAATAACAAGATTACCACAACATGGAAATCAAACCAGTTTATATGGTAAGTCAGATAGATAAATTAATTGCTAAACAATTCAATGCCATGGCCTAGCAAGGGCTCATTAGCAGTGCTAATTTAGCAGGCTTATATTACAACCTGGCCATCATTAGGCATTTTTTAGGAGACCCAAGTCTTGAATGACACTGATTAGGTCTCATAAGAAATAAATGACATTCATTTATTTTTTTTTAAATCTGATCATCATAACCTGATGATTAGGTCTTATAATGAGATCTAAGATTTGAATGGCATTTATTCATGTCTCATTAGGTCATAATGCATAAGATATAAATGACATACATTCTTTTATACCTCTTTAAATCTCATCATAACCTGATTAGGTCTTATAATGAGATCTAAGATTTGAATGACATTCATTCATTTATTCAGTTTTAAATGACAACCATTCACACCAAGGTTGACAGTTTAGTTAAAGTTCTAAAAGGTCTTTTGTGGGTTTCTAGCCAATTTCTCTACCAAGAAATTGTCTGGTAACCCCACAAAAGCATGGAAAGATTTGTGCCAAAATCCTTCACTAAATAGGATAACCATATCATATTTGACAACCATGAATTCATGATTAAGTTCAATTGATAGTCAAATTGCAAATTCATACAAAAATTATGTTTTACAAAATGACATGTGACATAATAAATTTGTTTTTCCTGCCTGGAATTGTTATCCATTATTATTCCTCCATTTACCAACAGTCTGACAACTCTAACATGGATCCCTAAAAATTCAAAATGATGCAAAGTTTAAAATTTCTTTGTTCATTGACTTCACTCCGGTTGTTTAAGTCAGCATATTTGTGATATAACCATTTCGACCAATCAATCTGGCACTAAAATAATATTTTCTCACAGCTTTTTGAACGATGTAAAAACGTTTTGGTTTAAAAAGTTCAAAAAATTGTCGCCCTTTCAGTCTTCAAAAAAGCTAAAATCTCCAAACGAACAAATAATTTTCCATGCAGATGGCTTACCATCAACTGCTTCTTTTTCTTTCCGAACATACTAGAAGATTTTCGGAAGCAATTACCAACGGCATTTTGAGAAATTCAAATTTTAACGCACAGTAAATTGTTTGCAAAACCACCATAGGAGTAGTCGGAACGATGGAAAAATTCAAAATGGCCGCCGGGTGATAAACTTGAAAGTTGAAAATTTACGAAATTAAATCTTCAGTTTTTGTTGTTTATAGTATTGTTTTGAAAAAAATTACGAAGCTATGCAGTTTTACTCATTCAATAAAGAGATAGATGTTAAAAATGGCATGGAATAGAAACAAATTAGTGAAATTACTTCACCTTCGACACAGCACTGTGCACCTGGAGTTCACTGACCTGGATAATCAATCCACTGAACTCCAAATATTATAATCTTACTGGATAAACCGAAGGAGCAAGACCGATGCTTATATATTCGCGACTCTGTGATTATATTTATCGCAGATCGCAGTATTAGGCAATCTCGCAATGAAATGGGGTGCAACGTTAGATCTGATTTGAAGTTCTGTGCTTTTAGGCAACGATGGGTCTCGTTACTGCAAAGGTGGCTATTATATCAATTCTATGATACGAGCGGCTAACAGTCCTGCAAGGAAGTCTGTTTATTCGGCTGCTAGCTCTGGGAATATGTCCGTAAAAACCCGAAGAAAAAGGTAGCGTGGGGTGCAACCTTTAGTCAAAAATTCTGCAGCAAAAAACCCAACGGATGTCAACAGACGTTCAAGGCAACAGCGTCGCCAAATTCCCTCTGGAATCACCCATTATCGGCAAAATTTTGTTCGCACCAGCACTGTCAGATCTTACTGTAGTCGGTGACCTCCCTCAGTCAAAATGTGACATACCAACCCCTCACCCCCATACACTGTCTAAACCTCTCGTTTGACTAAGTGACAGAAACTAAAAGCCACCATCAACTATAATACCAGGTTGTCGCGTCCAGTTTCTTTGGTACACTATGATTATCCTATTGTTAATGTTGATACTCCGAGTTTTGCGGATAAAATTGAGACCATCCCTAGGCTCAGGAGGGCTCAGGAGACATTGTGACACCGATTCACTTTTACTTTATAAAAGGCGTTATGTTTAGCGTTCTAACGTCTTCCCAAAGTAAAAATAACTAAAAATAGTACTAAAATTAATTAAAGCAGGTCAATTGATTAAAGCATTTCATTAAAAAAACTTCGAAAATACAAGATTTGTTTTATTGATGATCTAAATAAGTAATGCGCTATAATTAATATTTAATTCTTCCAATGACTTAGTTAATTAAAGAGGTAAATTAATACTGAAACAAATTAGTGCTTGAAGGACTTAAGAGTACAAAATTAGGTCTATTACCGGCTGATTTAAATAAACATTGCGAGTGTGATAATAACGAAAATGTGTAAATTAAGAGAAACAAGATTTGAAGACGCAGAGCCTCCATTTTTCTTTCCAACACTAACAGCTTTGTAATAGTCGGCATATGGTTTTAAATAGTCCACGACGGTGCCTGAGTACTTTATAAGACTTTCACAATCACCCCTGATCATGTCAGCTTTTTTCAGATCATCAAGCTTGGCACTCTCGAACAACTCTTGATATTTCTTAACCGTTTCATCGAATTTATTTTTACTTGTAACCAAAGCACTAGCGGGCTTGGTCCCAATGTAACAGTCTTCGTATTCACTGAGATCTAAAGAAACAAGAAGCGGGTATATATATTATACTAGGTTGCTGATCTGTTAACCTTTAAACAGTCTGGCTATATCTCAGTTGAGAAGCAATATTTACTCGTTTGCTATTAAAAACGATGTTTTTTGGTTGCCATTGGTAAAATTGCTAGGAAACTTTATTACCAGGTAGGCCATCTTTGAGGAACAATGTTCCCGGTCTGCCTATCATAACAAAATTTGTCTAGCTAGAAAACAATGTTGAAGTAAAAGGGTTTTTTAAAGAAGCTTGGAAACATGGCAAAGAAACATTGCATCTCTATTGTATATCTCACCTTTTGTCCCTCCATTGTAACACAAGAGTTTGTAGTCGCTCTCGGTTCCATATGATTTAGGATGCTTCTTGAAGAACGCTTGAGGCGAGCTCTGCTTCACGAAAGCAACTCGATCATCCTTTCCACTCGCCATTAATTCGAGTGCTTCGACGAAGGCTGAATCTCCCTTTGCCTCGCAAGATCCATTACACAAGCTGCATAGTTGGTCTTCAACGGCCTCACTTACATTTTCAACTGTTTTAATACCTGTACATGGAACGATGCATGTAACATTAAGCAAGGTTAGATGTAGTTTTGATCTACACCTATGTAACACTATCGGCCTCTTTGTTACCTATAAGAATGACCAATGAACTAATTGAGGTGCGATTTTAATCCAAAATTAACTGCCCGTGGGGTAGATCCTTGGTTATTTTCACCACGGGCGCCTGTATATAATTACAGCCCTTGCCCTTATATAGATATGCCCTTGCTCTATCAATTTCAGGTTGTTACATTTTCGTAGCTTCGGTAATTAAAGTCTCCATGTTATTTTAGGAAACTATGCATCCACAACTTGCCCCACTCCCCCACCCTCAACAAATACTCCACAACCCAGGAGGTTAATACTTTTGGCTAGTATCAACACTCCCCGTACCCAGCAGGGGGGGAATCTCCTGGAATGCTATCCACCTGGCAGGCAACTCTTTCCAAAGAACTCCGCGGCCGACTTGTATTGATTTTGCACAAATGGCATTTTCTCCTTGAAAAGAAGATATCCAACAGGAATTATCCATCCAGCATTGCGTCCAGGGCCGGTGTGACACGAACCTCTTCCCTTTAATTGATTGATGTCGAAAGTCGAATTTCTTTTCACGACAGCTATACCGTAATATTGCACGTTTTTCATTGGAACACCTTTTAGTTTCTGACCAAAGACAATCTTTAAATTATCTTCTATATAAAAACGAACTCAATAAATTGTTTATTGTTCAACCAATTACTCGTATTTATTTGAAGCATGCAGCATGTCAAATCAATGTGTTAGCTGTGTGTTTGTGTATACATTCGCATTCAAATTGGTGTTCTTACCCTGCTGGTGATTGATAAGCGTGTTAGTGTTACACAGATAAGGAGGGGCTATTATTCAGATAAGAGGGAAAGGGCGCTGTCTGCTGCCATACATGCAGATAAAATCAGTCTCTTCCTTTACATATATTATACTTACCATACTTGATCATACTTTTTGCAGATGCATGCGTTAAATCAGCTTTGCCCTCGGCAACTTCTTTTGTGCAGTCTGAATTGACTACACATTGTACTCTTATGCCAGCTTGTTTACACACTGTGTCATTGGTCGAGCAAAACTTTGGAACTAAAGAATATGGTGTACAATTTTTGCCAGCATTAACCCACATCGCTTACCCAAAGCGCTAACTGCATGACGTAATCTTAAAATGTTTAGCAAAGAGTAGTTAATATTTTTGTTGAAAGACAGAATATTAAATATATTTAACAATATTAACAAGAAGCGATTATTGAACCCGTGCTTAAAGTGAACGTCAAGTCCGTATGTAAACAAATGGTTTGTTTACATTTTGAACTTCTATAGTTTTAAAATACAATGGCTATATTAATATTTATTTAGGTTCGCTACGCTTCTAAATGAACGTAGATTAGAGCTTGGTAGAAAAATGGTAAACATGCGAAATTAAAACGGACTAGTAGGGCATGACTTGCACTTAAAATTCCAACCGTGTTATCAGCAGAAAATATGCGCAGAACGTACTTGAAATTTGATTTTGCTAGACGACTGAAAGTCTGAAAGCATCTTCATGGCCGAATGTGATGTATCAGCGATATTTAAGGTTGTTTTGCCATTTTTTAGTTTATGAGTATCCAAAAAACCCTACAGCAATTAGAAACCAGGCATGCATGTTGCCATTTGAATGTCTACGACAAAGCTGACACACTCATGACGTAGAAAATCCTATAACAGCTTACAATTTACTAAACAAAATCTTATTGTTAAAAGTCTTTTTTCTGCATTCGAATTTTATAATTTGCTATTAAGGTAATTAAGGACATAAAAGTGCCGAATGAGGGAAAATCACACAATTTTCAACCTAATTTCCTTAAGAATAAATTGCATGCATGTGACCTCCTTCGGCTTCTTGACAGATTTTGCAAGCCATTGGCATTGCGTTGTTAAGCTTCGTCAAGATTAGACATTCAAATCTTCTTGAATGGGCGATGGCTATTGTTTGCGGGATTTTTTACACACCATTCAATTTCAAATGCCCAGGGATTCATTATGATACGAGATATGTAAAATTCTTTATCCTTCGATAACCGTAGACATAATATTGAATTAAGGAGCAAATTCTATGTACATGTATGTCTCATTGCGACTGTGATGTTGGTTCATGGTACTGTTAGTTTTATAGTCAGTTTTTATATGCATTTCTGATGCCGGATCGGCGTAGTACAACACCAAGGCCTCATTTCTACATTTTAGCTAGTATCGCGTAATTAAAAGAAAATGAAAGAAATACATTTAACCCTTACGTGGATTGTCAGCTGTTACGAACGGTGCCAGAAAACACGAAATAAAAGCGGCAAAGAGATAGGACATCTTCAAAAAGCTTTCCTGCACGGATCTTTGCGGAGTGCGATTCAATTTGTGCGTACTGACACAGGTATGTGATGTGCTTCCGCAGGCTTTGGCATTCTGACGCAGATAAAAAAGCGCGCAATCCTATAAATTCATCATTGCGCAGAATCAATAGAATCAGACTAGTTTGGTTGGTTGTCATTAAGATTATCTAGTTGGGGGAGGGCCGACAACTTTGCACTTTGCTCAAGTGCTGTCAAAGCATGCTTCACTTCCTGTAATATTTTGAACACACTCTAGATTTAATAATTAATAACATGTCTTTTGAAGACTGCAATTTCCTCCGAATGTGTTCCAAAGTAGATTTATTCTTTCCGTCTCTATTCTTTCCGTCTCTAAGTTTCCTTCAATATCAAGGGATTGCTAGTTACCAGTTTTCCCTCGTTCAGTAAATCCTATCCCATGCAGCGATTTATACATATAAAGCCCCTATTTATACATATAAGGCCCCTATTTATACATTTAAAGCCCCTCAGTTAAGCCTCTTACAGACGAGCAAGTTGTCTATGACACGTTTCTGTATGTGTCTAGTTTTTTAAAATTGTTCGTCTGTACGCCCAACAAGTGTGCTTGTCATAGAAAAATTGTCAAAGCACAAATTTTGCTCGTCTGTATGAGCCAACAAAGAAAACTTGTCACATTATGTGAGCACTTGTATGCGGTAGGCCAGCGGACTATAGTATTTTGCAATGGCGCGCTCACGTTGTCCGCTGTACGATTACATCGCTGGCTGCAAACAAAATTGTCAAAGTAAACTTGCTGGCACTTTCACACGAGCAAATAAAACTTGTCAAATTTTGTCAAAATTGTGAAACTTGTCAAAATATTGTCATAGAAACTGATTTGTTGTACATACACACTGCAATTGCCAATTAAAACTTGTATAAAAAATGGTCATATAAAACTAGCTCGTCTATGCCTGTATTTATACATACAATTCCAAGTATAGATTTAAATGGAGTGAACACATCACTGCAAAATGCCTGGGAAACTTTACAAATACGTTTTAGAACTGACAAAAAATCTAAGGGACGATAACTGCATAGCATTCTTAAAAACGACATACCTAGCTGTCGATACAACTATGAGAATTAATTGTCATGCAATTATAAGAGGCCATTGACCGAATAAGATGAAGTCTCTGAAATATTATTCGTCCGTTTACATTGATCTCACCGTTAATATTTTAATAATCACGAACACTCTATTTCCAAATTCTATGAGTGTGCGTGAGAAGTTTAAAGTTTCTTTCAATAAATACAAGTCCGCCAAAGTCCGGAAATTAAATCAGAGTCTTTCTGTCTGAGTCGCCATTGTCTTTGGAATTCCAAAATTACCGTTTTATTGTTGATGGCACGCAACATTTCAAAAACGCACTTTCACTGGCCCACTATTAATAATCGTGTTTATTTTCTTGTGCATTAGACAGACAAGGCCATTTCTGAATTTCCTCCTCTTAAACTGGTCTGACTGCTTCAGCGCGGCATGTTGTAAAACATGGACTGGACTGGACTTGTAAACTATGGACTGGACTGGGCTGGACTTGTAAAACATGGACTTGTAAAATATGCTTTTAAGTATTTATAGCAATTAAATGTGTCATTGATGCAACTATATGACTCATATTGATGCACTATGCACAGATTATCATGATAAAAATATCACCCGCTGAAATGGCTGAATCTATACCTACTTACATTCGCAATGTCTGAAAGACCTATCGAACAGAGAACTCTATAAGCAGACTGGAACGATAACTCGCCTTGGCCGCTATGAGGACGAGGAACGTTAAAAAAGAAAAACCTTACTTTCTGTTCATTTGAAAGCGTGGTATATCTTAGGAGTATTGCATGGGAAATATTTCAAACCATGAACTAGCTGTGTGATATTGCGTGCGAATCGACACGGCCATTTTCGAGATATGCGTTGACGCACATTACAGACGAACAACATAGCAGTTAATATTGTGTTAAATGAAATTAGCAGGGGGACTGACGTCAACATTACTTGTTTTCCACGTATATTTGCTGTTTTTGCAGCAACAGAATAAAAGGTTTTGTGTGTTTGGAATCTGCTCGTCGGCCCCATCTCAAGTCATCGTAGTTAATTCTTTCCGCATTCTACATGCTATATGGCTTTGTGTGTCAGTGCCAAACCACAGCAAAAAGAATATCGAAATACGCAGCCGGAACCTTTTGAGCTTACACTCCTACGCAAACGTATAAATACCATTGTCTTCCAATCATCCTGGTGAAGTCAATGACATGGTTGGTGAGCTTTTACGCTAATCAACACGTCGAACTGATTTGTCCGCTACTACGTTCTCAATGTCGATTGCATGAAAATCAGGGATAAAGTACGTTGAAAATCTGAGCGGTCCTGTATATTATATTCCCTTGTTTTATGGCCAGGCTTGATTCAGGCCAAAATCTGAATTGCTAAACCCCATTTTTAAATGACCTCACAATGTGGAGCATTCTAGCCATACTTATTAACGAAAAACTCCTTTGGCCAATTCCGAGTAGCCATTCAGGTCGTCATTAATCACATGACCTTCAAAACTGTTTGGAAATTTTGCGATCGAAAATTTTTCAAGGATCATACGTTGACCGTTTGGTGGCTGTCAGGAAAGACAAAAATGCCTGTCGATTATTTGTTAAAGTTTCTGCGTCTGAAATTAAAGTTTTCATATGAATCGTGTTTCATTAAAGTGTTTATATGATGTTCAATTTCCGCTAATCTCAATTATCCTGTATTGCTCGTCATTATAACTGCTTGATTGCATTCAGCCAATCACGACGCTCCATATTGTATGGTAAATAGTAAAAAGACGCTGGAAAGCAGCACAACTCCCACAGTGCCAGTACCACAACACCTCTACATTCGAAGACGAACCTAGGAGAAATAAAATGAACTCTCTTTTTGTTGCTTGTCTTTCGTTCTTCTTCGTATCTTTTGCAGTGGCTGCTGATAGACGTAAGTTCGCATAACAACGTATGCGTATTTGTTTTGTATACGGCAGTATATCAATTTACTATATTAATGCCAATGGTGTAATTAGCAGTTAATATATCTTATGTGTAAAGCCTATGTGTAAACAGAGCTAACTGTGAGAAGACGTTCACGTTTCGATTTGGATCGATATACATAACTCTATTAAAAAGATCATAGCGACGAAAGCATTTTGCCCTTGAAAATATGCCGAGAATGAGTTGCCGCACCTGTATAGTGAATTATCGAGTTCCTCCCGCACTGTAGGGCGGGTTCTAACATTACTAATCATCCTTCAAAGGATCAGCGATTCTATAAACCGACATTTTTTTATCCAGGACCAACATTTTGTACTGATGATGTTTCAAAATGTCAGAAAGTTGCACCAAGCAAGGTGAATATTACCTGCGTGGCCCCTAAAACAGGTTCAAGCTGTATAAAAGACGTCATGAACGGCGATGCTGATTTTACGCTCGCCACTGCAAACAATATGGTCGACAATTGTAAGTATAAAATTATAAAATTTTACACATGATAAAGCCACATTTAAGTATTTCATGGCACATGCAGTATATGTATAGTGTTTATTTGTGAACTTCCATTTTGCCACTTTCCATTTTGTCGTAATTGTCGTGAATAAGTCATTTTTTACCGTTGTGAAATGAGCTTTTACCGGATGTAGCTAAATTTGTCTTTAGTTCTGTATTCAAATCGGTCATTGTTGACTGCATTTACGTAGAAATATTCTACTAATCACATCAACCGCCTGGACATGTTCACGACACTCAGGACTAAATGGAAACCAGACATTATAGTTTATAAGCAATATTTTGCTTACTTTAATGCATGTACATTGACTCAACATATGAACAAAAAGTTTACAGCATGTCAGTACTGAGGGCTGCGTGACTATAGTCGAATATTTGTGTGATTGAATGTAGCGGGCAGTCTAACGATAATCCAAAGTCTAAAGTTCAAAAACATAGAGAATTACGTGCAATATTATGGCCTGGCCGTCGTTAAGAAAGGAACGACTTTCAACTTCACGCAATTGAAGGGTGAAAATTCGTGTCACACTGGAGTTGGAAAAACTGTGGGATGGGTAATTCCTGTTGGCTATCTTCTGTACACGAAAGAAATGACGTACACCGATAATCAATACAAATCCGTCGCAGACTTCTTTGGAAAAAGTTGCGCCCCAGGTACGTAGAATTTTGACGGGTTTTCCCCAATGAATGCCGCCCAAAATTGAAATAAACACTTTTGTCGCTACCATTTCCAGGCATTGGTGGAATCAGTAAAGCAAGTCAGGCGGTGAAAGACGAACTCTGCAGTTTGTGTACAGGAAATTGTACAACGGATGGTCCGTTCGCCGGATACGAGGGTGCATTCAAATGTATGGCTGATGGAAATAAAGATCGAGTTGGCTTCGTTAAACAGGATACAGCCGGCAAAGTCCTCGGTTCAGGATCTGGACCGTATGGCAATATGGCCGATTATAGACTCTTGTGCACGGATGGGACTTCACAAAGTGAGTGAAAGCCTTATTAGGCCCAGTGTGACCATATATGAATATTTTATAAGCAAACCTGCTCAAAATCAAGTTTGATGCCCCCACCCGCATCCTTGTTTAAATTTGGTAATTATTAAAATCAGGTAGAGCTGTTTATGTGCATCCGACTGAATCTAGTAAAAAATTACCAGATCTGGTCACACTGAATTTAGGCCCCATACTTCAATACTCTAGCATCAAGTTTGCCGGGAACTGTCGACTACAGCCATACTCGCCTTTCTGTACATTTAACTGAAATCCTGGAAAATTGGTGTTAAATTTCAAAGGATCACGGAAACGATAAATCTTTGAGAAATTTTAAACAATGCCATTCGTCTAGAACCTTTAAAACGTTCTTCACACCAGATAGCTTTTTTCGAAAAATGAGCTTATTTTTCAGATCAATGGCCATGCACCTCGCCCTTCACACCATTATTATTACACATCCATCAATCTACCACATTGCCCAATACCCTTGCAAACTTCACCGCTTGTACAACAAAACACTGACTTCCCACTTCAATTATTTTTCTTCAGCTCTTGACAAGTACAAGGACTGTAACATTGGCACCAGACCTGCAAGCGCTCTTGTTACAGGTAAAGGGAATTCCGTGGGGACGATTAACGCAATTAGGAGCATTTTGCAAAACGCCAACACCACCGATTTGATAAATGGTGGCATCGTCGATTCAAAAACTGAAGATCTGGTCGACTACTCGGGAACTGTGGAGAAGTACGTTGAGCCATATGCTAAATACAAAAATGCTTTGGTTATGAATGTTCCAGATTCTGCTGCATCGTCCATTCTTGCCACTTTTGCCTTGCAATTTGTTGCCATTCTTGCATTTGCATTCCAAAGTTAGGTTATCGTGCCCGACTAGCAATAAAATATTTCGTATTTCTGAATCCTGAAACTTGGCATTTTCAGCAGAAACTTTAAACTTGACTAATTAGCTAATATTAAAGGGTAGATTTACTTTTAAGCGTGTACGTAATTCTAAAACATTTGCCACAGATGGAGTTGTCTATGTTATTTTTTGAAACTAAACTGCTGTACCGTACTATATATAGTGTGATCAGCTACATGCTTGGTTTCAAAATCTATACCACAATTTCGTATTTCTATATACTTAATTTGATTTGAACAATAAAATGTAGAAATTTACAACATCCAGTGGTTTTCTAGTTCAGTGGTGGTGTGTTCTAGTTCAGTGGTATCAGTGATTTTCTGGCATTCGGATTGTTCAAGATTCACAAGTTCCATTTTCATATTACATTTTACAAAACAAGAAATCAATTTAAAATCAAAATTAATAGGCAATTAAGACCGTAATTTTACAAGAAACTATCGTGCATGCATGCATTGACAATTATGTTTTATAAGATCTCGAACAAGCACTCAAAATTAAGGATTTTTTTAATAGTAGGTACTCGTGATGCTTAAAACTGTTGACAAAATAAATCAAAATATTAGTCTTGTACATTGTACTTGCCATGCATCGCATGGTTTCCCAAGACCTCTTCGTCACATAAATATATATAGCCATCTGCTCTGATCTCTCCCAGAGCACGCTAGTTTGCGGAATAGTACTGAAAACGAGGCGATTCTATTGCGACCAATCGCTTTCAACTTTTTGTAAATTGATATTGTTTACGAATCACAGTGAGATAAAAACTAGAGTGTTTCCAGTATCCAAGTAGCCTTTGGCCCACCGCTTTGGAAGTCGAACACCAAGACAGCTAACAAGCAACAAGGACTAATTCGCCAAAAGATTGGAAATGAACTCCTTGTTTGTTGCCTGCGTTTCGCTCTATCTTGCATCGTTTGTCGTGGCTCGCATTCATTGTAAGTACTCAATAAATCATAATTCATTTCATGTATTTCATCTATTTACACGCAGTCGCAAACCATGCAATGGTACGGACGATAATATTTCGTCTGAACTTGCTGCGTACTTCATCTGCACCCGCTTGATCAGTTTTTCAAGTCAGCGCCGTTTTGTAGTTTGCATGTTTTGCAGTTTGCAACCCGGTAGTAGCTATGACAATGTTTTTAAGCGTTTTGAAGTTTTTAGGCGAGTTTACGCAAACCGCAATCCAGATTTATAGGTTAATGCAATGTTCACAATAAAAGTGACTCTTTCAGGCCAGTTACACTTTTTGCTGCGATTCTATGTGCGATTTTCTTCTTTTGATAGATGTGAACGAGTGAATCAGTTATGCATGTTCAAATGAGAGTTCTTATACATGAGAGCATTCGTAACTAATTACTCGTTCACATCTATCAAAAGAAGAAAATCGCACATAAAATCCCAGCAAAAATCGCAAGTGTAAACGAGCCTTTAGAGTTTGATATGCAAATCTTTTTATAGCGCATTGTCGGGACAATAAGATTTGCTGAAACGGGGTCAGGCAATGTCAGATTCAACCAAGTTCACAGGTTTCAACTATATTCTGTGCATCTGGAATGCGGAAATTACATTACGCATAAATCTGATTACATCGTATGATATACGCCGCGACCTTTATTGTCTATAACGCGATAGCAAAGGACTTTGGCAGGGTATTTTGCAATTTTTATCTTTTTCTCTAACTACGTCAGTATCATTTCTCCCTGTATTCAGAATTGATGATGGATCAGGTTTAGCGGAATTGAAGCTGCAGAATTTTAGAGATTTCATGGTGGGGAGAGGCGGCCCCTCCACTTTTGAGATTCTCCAAAACACTTCACTTATACCCTATAAAATATGAGCCTAATGAAAATTCACCACAAATATACAATTCCCATAAGTTGCTGTAAAGATTGTTTGCAACGTTCAGATCAGGTATAAAATTACCAATCTGAAGGGCTTCCATTCCCCTTCACCTTGGAAGGTCAAGGTAGTTCTGGGAAAGTGAAGAAATCTCGTGGTATTGATTGAAATGTGGCATTTAATCTTCAGTGGTCTCGGATGAACATTTAAGCCCGTTCCAGGCTTCCAGCGCATGTTTATCGGTCATATGCATGGTGAGATTGATTTCCAAATCATTGTGCGTCTTGTAGTTCATTTTTTTTACTGTATCATTTAATTGTGAAATTTAGATAACATTTATGAGATCTCCCATGCAATCGTACGCGAAATAAAATTGAGAGAATAAGTAATCTATCTGTTTAATTGTTGAGACGAAATGAAACGCGCTTGCATTGGATAATATTAGATTCTGATGATTGATTAGGAGATATTTAACAGGAACAAAATCTAAGGAGATTTTATACACTTCAGCGATTATTTTAACGTCAAACCCTATGGCAATGAAACAGAAATGGGATCTTATAGATCGTAACTAGTCTACGTGTTATCTCTTCAATGTTTAGAGGAATGATTTTGTCACGTAAAATATAAAAAGAATAAAACAGTGAAACAGCAAGGATGTTGTGTTACGTTTTGACTAATATATTGGAGTGAGGGAAGACTGCATCTTACGCTATGCCAAAACTCAAATATGTTTTTATATATACAACCAATGCTCGTTCTTTTATCAGCTTATCCAAAAAATTAGACAAGCCATTAGTAAATAAAAGGAATTCAAAGAAATGATGGCCTATCATACATAACTGAAAAAATAGAAGATCTATTCTAGGATGACTTCATCAGCGTAAATGTTGTCCACCTTGATTCCGAGATTGAACGATGCTTGAAAGGATTTTGAGATATTGAAATAAGTCCAGATGCATACGAAACAGGCATAAAATTATGATACTGTCGGATGGTCGACTACAATTAACATGCAGTCATTAGTGGCAGGATCATGTTTTTTCCTTATCTCAATACCTCAGAGTCATGTCGCGCAGAGGTGCCAGATTACAGAATAAATAAGCCAAGCATTAGTATGGGCGACCTGCTTGTTTTGAAAAGAGAAAACGAAGGTCACGATAGCCTATTTTATTCATTACCTTGACAACTTTGATATGTCACGCTCTTCATTCTCGGATTAATAGCACCACACACCTAATAAACTCCTCCAATCAAAACCGGTTAGTTTATACCTGCCACTTCGTGAATCGAGCAGCTTCATTCGGAGAATAAAATCTATGCTTACAGATAAGAAGATGAAGCGATAAAAATGCACTTGGAATCATCTCCAGATACAGTAAAAGTTTATATTCAAGTTTGAAACGTATTTTGAGATGATTTCAGGTATAGTTTTTCACAACTGTTCAATAACTTGAAATCATGTTTTCTTAGATAAAACGTCTGGCCGACAACATGATCATTCGGTTTCAGTTACAAATGGTTTCGGGAATAATGAAGGAAATAATAATAAAGGTAATAATGAAGGCAATAATGAAGGCAGATTTCAAACTCTAATACAGCAAATATTCATATGACAGGATCAATGCTCCATCTTTGAGATTTCCATTCAAATCTTCTTTTGTCTATAACAGTCGAAGCAGTTTTAATAACAAAAAGCAAGTTTTTTTAAATTTGCTGAGTAACAAAGATTTGCTTATAAGCAAAATTTTTCGCTGAGTAATCAAAACTTTTAATCTAATATTTGGCCATATTCAAATGAACGGCGATGAAAGAAACATTGATAGACAGAACCGGAAGTTACTTAGCTAAGCTAGAAACTGGTAAAACTGGTTTGCTTCATCCTGAATCTTAAATTAAGAATGAAGGCTTGTTCCCAAGATATAATTTTGTCGGATAAGGCAGAGCTTTTTTTCTACTTTTTACTTTCGCAATCAATAAGGCTCAGCCACAGGATGAAAAGTAGAAGAGTGTACATGCAATGTCTTTTTTATTTCCTTTTTAGTTCCGACGTTTTGCTCCAAAAATGTAACAGCGTGCAATTTAGCTGGCTTAGATGTGACATGTGTTACGAGTCCGGACTGCACCAAAGAGGTTGCTGAGGGCAGAGCTGATTTGACGTATGCATCCGTTAACAGTATCATAAAAAACGGTGGGTATATAACAAGTTAGAATCTCTAGCATGAATGATTTCAGTTTCTGGGAATAGTTTCCAAGTATAATTAAGGAGAATAATTCTCGAGTTACTATCATCAGGTACCTAATATAACTCCAATATTAACCTATTTGAGGTTGATAGATTTATGAATTATTTTGGATAAATGATGATACTTTTTTGTAGAGAATAAACTGAAAATCGTCTTGAGTCAGAAGGTCAAAGGTGTTCCTCAGAAATTTGTATTTTACTACGGCCTAGCTGTTGTTAAGAAAGAGACGACTTTCAATTTCAATCAGTTGAAAGGCAAAGATTCGTGTCACACCGGAGTCGGAAGAACAGTCGGATGGAACATTCCTGTTGGTTATCTTCTTCACACAAAAGAAATGCCGCAACGCAAAGATCAATACAAATCGGCTGCAGATTTCTTTGGGAAAAGTTGTGCTCCAGGTGAAGAGATTCGTTTATAGATTCAGCATTCAAGTAAATTTTCCATACTAGAGATCGTTGCTCGACTACCTTTGAGCGGATATCAGCAGGAATGGTTACTACAAGACTTTTTCGTTACCTTTTATTTTGTCCGATATTAGGAACCATTGGAAAAATAAAAGTGAAATATTGCTCTTATTTTAACTGAATAAACTGAAATATTAATCATATTTTAACTGCATATACTTTTCGTTGTCATTCCAGGCGCTTCCAAGATTACCGCAAGCCATTACGTGAAAAAAAATCTGTGCAGGTTGTGCGGTGGAACATGCAGCTTTTCATCTTCCGTGAATCCGTACGCAGGCTACGTGGGTGCATTCAAATGTATGGCTGATGGGAAAAACCGAGTTGGATTCGTAAAGCAAACCACAGCAGATGAGTACATCAAGAATTATGGCGGTAAAAAGGAAGACTATAAACTCTTGTGTAAGAATGGCATGACAAAACGTGAGTATTGAAAGTCATTGTTTGTCAAAAATATAAATACATTATTTGATTAAAGTTATATGTATATTGATTGAACTTCAGTTTTTTAAATTCCAGCCTATATCATGAGTTCGAAGACACGCTTCCCATAAAAATCAAAATATCTAAAATTACACGCTCTCCATGAAAAAACAATCTTCCAAAATGATTTCTTCCAGCTCTGGATCAATACAAGGACTGTCACATTGCTTCGAGACCAGCGAGTGCGCTGGTGACAGGTAAACACACATCTGGTGGTATGATCAAGAAATATCAAAACATGTTCAAGCAGGCCAATATCGAGGACTTGAGAAATGCTCGCATGGTGAGCAGAAGTACTGAAAGTTTGGAGGAATATACTGACACAATCTACAAATATGTGGGACCGTACGCCAATTATTACAAAGCTGCCAAAAAGACAGATACAGGTACTGCATCTCGAATGCTCCTTTTTCTTTGCAGAACCCTCTTCGTCGTCTTTAAATTAAACGAAAGCTTGATTATTTGGAAGAGCATTTTTCCAAAAAATTTACTATCGATTGTTGGAGGCCTCTGAGAGAAGTTGCTAAGGAAGACCGTCATTCAATACCAGTGAAAACTTTGAATCCTGAGGGGACATGTGATAGCAAACGTTTTGTGAAAGTCAATGTTTTCACTTTTTGGAAATGACTTCAGACTACTATTCCCGGTGTGAACTATCGTTAGCCATTCACGAAGTCATTCTTTTTTAGTTCCAAAGTTTTGCTCCCGAGATGCAAATGCGTGCAGATTAGCTGGCTTGGATGTGACGTGTGTTACGAGTCAAGACTGCACCAACGCTGTTGCCGAAGGCAAAGCCGATTTGACGTACGCATCCGTTAACAACATCATCAAAAATGGTGGGCACATAAAAAATGTTACTCTCCATAAATAAAAAAAAGAACATCTATCTGTTGTAGAAAATCAAACTTAATAAAATAAACTGATTTTAGGATTATAGTCTAGGCATTCTTGAAACGGCTAAACACGAAGATGCCTGAGGTTTTTACAACCAGATGGGCATCAAATTTCAATTTACCGTGGTCATTACTTATTGCGCGCAATTTTGACTTCACAATCAACTCGACATCATTGAACCTACTTAGCATAGATCAGTAGAGTCACCAAGTATAAATCAATCACTTCTTGTATAGAGAATAAACTGAAGATCGTCTTGAGTCAGAAGGTCAAAGGTGTTCCTGAGAAATTTGTGTTCTACTACGGCCTAGCTGTGGTTAAGAAAGAGACGACTTTTAATTTCACGCAATTGAAAGGAAAAGACTCGTGTCATACTGGAGTTAGAAGAACAGTCGGATGGAACATTCCTGTTGGTTATCTTCTTTACACGCAAAAAATGCCGTTAAACAAAAATCAGTACAAATCAACTGCTGAGTTCTTTGGTAAAAGTTGTGCTCCAGGTGCTTCCAGAACTACCGCAAGTCAGGATGTGAAAAATGATCTCTGCAGTTTGTGCAATGGAACATGCAGCTTTTTTTCATCCGTAAACCCGTACGCAGGCTACGTGGGTTCATTCAAATGTATGGCCGATGGAGAAGATCGAGTTGGATTCGTAAAGCAAACCACAGCAGATCAATACGTTGCAAACTATCCTGGCAGTAGTAAGAGTGATTATAAACTCTTGTGTAGAGATGGAACGACAAAACGTGAGTAGGACTTTGTGATTTAGCTAAATATACATAGATGTACCCGTTTACATTCCGTTGAAATGATATTCCGTTGAAATGACGTGAGGATCAAAGGCCTGTCCCACCTAAAGAACATTGTATTTGACAAACGAAGACATTTGCAAATTCTAGATATGGACGATAAAGTAAATCAGGACACTATTCTTCAAATTCTTTCCAGCTCTTGATGAATACAAGGACTGCCACATTGCCTCGAGACCAGCGAGTGCTCTAGTAACAACTAAAGGCACATCTCCTGGTATAATCAAGAAATATCAAAACATGTTCAAGCAGGCCAATATCGAAGACTTGAGAAATGCTCGCATGGTGAGCAGCAGTACTGAAAGTTTGGAGGAATATACTGACACAATCTATAATTATGTGGAACCGTACGCCAACTATTACAAAGCAGCTCAAAAGACAGATACAGGTATCGTACCTTACATGCCTCTCTTATCTACACAACTTTACATATCGACTTAGTTGTTTATGCAACACCATTGATCGCTAGAAGAAAAAAGACAATAAAAACGTATACTTCAACACATTACATGCTAGACTAAATTTCATGGACTAAGAATTACATGCATGTAGAGAATTTTGAACCGAAAGTACCAACGGCCACAAACTATCGTATTTTCGGGTGTGGAAAAGTTAGCCATTCATTTCGTTGATACTTTTTAGTTCCAAAGTTTTGCTCAAGAGATGTAACAGCGTGCAATTCAGCTGGCTTAGATGTGACATGTGTTACGAGTCCAGACTGCCCCAAAGAGGTTGCTGAGGGCAATGCTGATTTGACGTATGCATCCGTAAACAATATCATCAAAAACGGTGGGTATATAGAACATTATCAGTTCTAATATAGGTAGTATACAAGGCTTTATTATTGACGTATTTCACGTGTAAATTATGCTTTTCTCGTATAGAGGATAAACTGAAGATAGTCTTCAGTCAGAAGGTCACAGGTGTTCCTGAGAAATTTGTGTTCTATTACGGCCTAGCTGTTGTTAAGAAAGAGACGACTTTTAATTTCAATCAGTTGAAAGGCAAAGATTCGTGTCACACCGGAGTCGGAAGAACAGTCGGATGGAACATTCCTGTTGGTTATCTTCTTCACACGAACGAAATGATGTTTGACAAAAATCAGTACAAATCGACTGCCGAGTTCTTTGGTAAAAGTTGTGCTCCAGGTGCTTCAACAACTACCGCAAGTCAGGATGTCAAAAATGATCTGTGCAGTTTGTGCAATGGAACATGCAGCTTTTCATCATACGTAAACCCGTACGCAGGCTACGTGGGTTCATTCAAATGTATGGCCGATGGAGAAAATCGAGTTGGATTCGTAAAGCAAACCACAGCAGATCAATACCTTGCTAAATATCCCGGTAGTAGTAAGAGTGATTATAAACTCTTGTGTAGGGATGGAACGACAAAACGTGAGTATATGAATTTATTGTAAAGCTTATATCAGCTTCATGGTCAGCATATCAGCTTATAGAAAGGCAACCAAAATGTTTTCTTCTAAATTTCTTTCAGCTCTTGATGAATACAAAGACTGTCACATTGCCTCAAGACCTGCGAGTGCACTGGTTACAAGCAAAAGCACACCAGTTAAAGTGATAGAAAAATATCAAAACATGTTCCAGGAGGCCAATATTGAGGACTTAAGAAAGGCTCGCATGATCAGCGGGAGTACTGAAAGTTTGGAGGAATATACCGACACAATCTACAAATATGTGGAACCGTACGCCAACTATTACAAAGCAGCTCAAAAGAAAGATACAGGTATCATCATATCTTGCATGTTTCATTTATGTGCAAGACGGGTTAGCCGTTTTGGCAAACAATTACAGCTTGATAATTTCCTTAAAAAGACCATTGCAAGATCAGTTTTCGATATTCATAGGAATTAAACCAGATATAGGCACAAAAAAAACAAACAAATGGCTACTGGAAACTATTTCAAGAGTGAGCAGAATCGTAACTCATACATGAAATCCTTTTTCAGCGCCAACGTTTTGCTCCAAAGATGTAACAGCGTGTAATTTAGCTGGCTTAGATGTGACATGTATTACGAGTCCAGACTGCACCAAAGAGGTTGCTGATGGCAATGCTGATTTGACGTACGCATCCGTTAACAACATCATCAAAAACGGTGGGTTAAGGTTGTCTATACATCCCCACTCTATTATTGACGTATGACGTATCTAGCATTGATAAAGGTATCACGTATTAGCAAAAATATCTTTTCTTGTAGAGGATAATCTAAAGATGGTCTTGAGTCAGAAAGTCAATGGTGTTCCTGAGAAATTTGTATACTATTACGGCCTAGCTGTTGTTAAGAAAGAGACGACTTTCAATTTAAATCAGTTGAAAGGCAAAGATTCGTGTCACACCGGAGTCGGAAGAACAGTCGGATGGAACATTCCTGTTGGTTATCTTCTTTACACAAAAGAAATGATGTTTGACAAAAACCAGTACAAATCGACTGCAGAGTTCTTTGGTAAAAGTTGTGCTCCAGGTGCTTCTACAACTACCGCAAGTCAGGATGTGAAAAATGATCTCTGCAGTTTGTGCAATGGAACATGCAGCTTTTTTTCATCCGTAAACCCGTACGCAGGCTACGTGGGTTCATTCAAATGTATGGCCGATGGAGAAGATCGAGTTGGATTCGTAAAGCAAACCACAGCAGATCAATACCTTGCTAAATATCCTGGCAGTAGTAAGAGTGATTATAAGCTCTTGTGTAGAGATGGAACGACAAAACGTGAGTAGGACCGCATGTGCTATTAAGCTAAATATAAGAAGATGCACCGGTTCAAAATTCTTTAAAGTGTTAATTTCTGAACTTCTGTCACTTTATTAGCCAGCATTTATCTAATGTGAAGATCAAATGCATCTTTTAAAAATTCATGACTAACTACCTAAAAAAAAAAAATATTTTGCAAACTGATTTTACAAAAAGATGTAAGGTCTAAAGTAACAAAAGATTCTTTTCTTTTGAATTTAAATTTCTCTAGCTCTTGATGAATACAAGGACTGTCACATTGCATTGAGACCTGCGAGTGCACTGGTAACAAGTAAAGGCACATCTGCTGGTATGGTCAAGAAATATCAAAACATGTTCAAGCAGGCCAATATCGAGGACTTGAGAAATGCTCGCATGGTGAGCAGCAGTATTAAAAGTTTGGAGGAATATACCGACACAATTTACAACTATGTGGAACCGTACGCCAACTATTACAAAGCAGCTCAAAAGACAGATAAAGGTATCGTATGTTGCATATCCCCTCCGCTGTTAATGGTGTCTTCTGCCTTTCCTTGCATTTTCGGGAATTGCGACGAGATTCTCAATGCGTTTTTTATGATCTCATGATTATCCCAACTGCAATACACTCACAACTGACTTCGCCGTCGCAATTGCCTTAACTATAAAGACACCATTGCATTCTTTTTCAGTTCCAAAGTTTTGCTCCAAAGATGTGACAGCGTGCAATTCAGCTGGCTTAGATGTGACATGTGTTACGAGTCCAGACTGCACAAAAGAGGTTGCTGATGGCAATGCCGATTTGACGTACGCATCCGTTAACAACATCATCAAAAACGGTAGGTATATGACAAGTGTTGTAGGTATATGACAAGGACGTCTTTTTGTATCTTTATGTTGAATGTACTTTCCTTTTTAAGTTTGACCGAGCTATCAGAGTAAATGAATCATATTTTCTCCAATAGAGGATAAACTGAAGATGGTCTTGAGTCAGAAGGTCAAAGGTGTTCCTGAGAGATTTGTGTTCTATTACGGCCTAGCTGTTGTTAAGAAAGAGACGACTTTCAATTTAAATCAGTTGAAAGGCAAAGATTCGTGTCACACCGGAGTCGGAAGAACAGTCGGATGGAACATTCCTGTTGGTTATCTTCTTCACACGAACGAAATGATGTTTGACAAAAATCAGTACAAATCGACTGCCGAGTTCTTTGGTAAAAGTTGTGCTCCAGGTGCTTCAACAACTACAGCAAGTCAGGATGTGAAAAATGATCTCTGCAGTTTATGCAATGGAACATGCAGCTTTTCATCATACGTAAACCCTTACGCAGGCTACGTGGGCTCATTCAAATGTATGGCCGATGGAGAAGATCGAGTTGGATTTGTAAAGCAAACCACAGCAGATCAATACCTTGCTAAATATCCTGGCAGTAGTAAGAGTGATTATAAACTCTTGTGTAGGGATGGAACGACAAAACGTGAGTAGACGTTTATACTAGCTAAATTTTTTAAATATAAGTAACAGTTTAAATTCCCTTCAAGATATATTTAGTGGACGTCAGTCACTTACTCATATAGGCAGCGTATCAGACTCTGAGAGACTGCCATATTTATGTTGGGGAGATGCAACGCAAGCTCCAAAAACCCCTGCATATACATACAATTTCAAATAATGCAAAATGATATAGACACGGATAAACACAGACATGTGGGAAATCAAAATATTAGAAACTTTTAAATTTAAATTCACAATTTCTCCAGCTCTTGATGAATACAAGGACTGCCACATTGCCTCAAGACCTGCGAGTGCACTGGTTACAGGTAAAAGCACATCTCCTGGTATGATCAAGAAATATCAAAACATGTTCAAGCAGGCCAATATCGAGGACTTGAGAAATGCTCGCATGGTGAGCAGCAGTACTGAAAGTTTGGAGGAATATACCGACACAATCTACAACTATGTGGAACCGTACGCCAACTATTACAAAGCAGCTCAAAAGACAGATAAAGGTATCGTATGTCGCATATCTCCTCTGCTTAATTGCGTCTTCTGCCTTCCCTTGCATCTTTTTCGGGAATGCAACGAAATCAGTCTCAATGCATTGTTTATGATCTCATGATTATCCTAACTGCAATACAATCACCACTGACTTCGCTTTCGCATTTGCTTGTTTATCAAGATATCGTTGCATTCTTTTTCAGTTCCGAAGTTTTGCTCCAAAGATGTGACAGCATGCAATTCAGCTGGCTTAGATGTGACATGTGTTACGAGTCCAGACTGCACCAAAGAGGTTGCTGATGGCAATGCTGATTTGACGTACGCATCCGTTAACAACATCATCAAAAACGGTAGGTATATGACAAGTGTTGGAATTATGCACATACCTTAATAGGAAGTGTTTTTGTATCTTTATGTTGTCTATATTATCCTCTTTAAGCATTGACCGAGCTATCAGACTAAATGAATCATATTTTCTCCTGTAGAGGATAAGCTGAAGATGGTCTTAAGTCAGAAAGTCAAAGGTGTTCCTGAGAGATTTGTGTTCTATTACGGCCTAGCTGTTGTTAAGAAAGAGACGACTTTCAATTTAAATCAGTTGAAAGGCAAAGATTCGTGTCACACCGGAGTCGGAAGAACAGTCGGATGGAACATTCCTGTTGGTTATCTTCTTCACACGAACGAAATGATGTTTGACCAAAATCAGTACAAATCGACTGCCGAGTTCTTTGGTAAAAGTTGTGCTCCAGGTGCTTCAACAACTACAGCAAGTCAGGATGTGAAAAATGATCTCTGCAGTTTATGCAATGGAACATGCAGCTTTTCATCATACGTAAACCCTTACGCAGGCTACGTGGGCTCATTCAAATGTATGGCCGATGGAGAAGATCGAGTTGGATTCGTAAAGCAAACCACAGCAGATCAATACCTTGCTAAATATCCTGGCAGTAGTAAGAGTGATTATAAACTCTTGTGTAGGGATGGAACGACAAAACGTGAGTAGACGTTTATACTAGCTAAATTTTTTAAATATAAGTAACAGTTTAAATTCCCTTCAAGATATATTTAGTGGACGTCAGTCACTTACTCAATTGGGCAGCGTATCAGACTCTGAGAGACTGCCATATTTATGTTGGGGAGATGAAACGCAAGCTCCAAAAACCCCTGCATATACATACAATTTCAAATAATGCAAAATGATATAGACACGGATAAACACAGACATGTGGGAAATCAAAATATTAGAAACTTTTAAATTTAAATTCACAATTTATCCAGCTCTTGATGAATACAAGGACTGCCACATTGCCTCAAGACCTGCGAGTGCACTGGGTAAAAGCACATCTCCTGGTATGATCAAGAAATATCAAAACATGTTCAAGCAGGCCAATATCGAGGACTTGAGAAATGCTCGCATGGTGAGCAGCAGTACTGAAAGTTTGGAGGAATATACCGACACAATCTACAACTATGTGGAACCGTACGCCAACTATTACAAAGCAGCTCAAAAGACAGATAAAGGTATCGTATGTCGCATATCTCCTCTGCTGTTAATTGCGTCTTCTGCCTTCCCTTGCATCTTTTTCGGGGAATGCAACGAAATCAGTCTCAATGCATTGTTTATGATCTCATGATTATCCAACTGCAATACATCACCACTGCTTTTCGCATTTGCTTATTTATCAAGATATCGTTGCATTCTTTTTCAGTTCCGAAGTTTTGCTCCAAAGATGTGACAGCATGCAATTCAGCTGGCTTAGATGTGACATGTGTTACGAGTCCAGACTGCACCAAAGAGGTTGCTGATGGCAATGCTGATTTGACGTACGCATCCGTTAACAACATCATCAAAAACGGTAGGTATATGACAAGTGTTGGAATTATGCACATACCTTAATAGGAAGTGTTTTTGTATCTTTATGTTGTCTATATTATCCTCTTTAAGCATTGACCGAGCTATCAGACTAAATGAATCATATTTTCTCCTGTAGAGGATAAGCTGAAGATGGTCTTAAGTCAGAAAGTCAAAGGTGTTCCTGAGAGATTTGTGTTCTATTACGGCCTAGCTGTTGTTAAGAAAGAGACGACTTTCAATTTAAATCAGTTGAAAGGCAAAGATTCGTGTCACACCGGAGTCGGAAGAACAGTCGGATGGAACATTCCTGTTGGTTATCTTCTTCACACGAACGAAATGATGTTTGACCAAAATCAGTACAAATCGACTGCCGAGTTCTTTGGTAAAAGTTGTGCTCCAGGTGCTTCAACAACTACAGCAAGTCAGGATGTGAAAAATGATCTCTGCAGTTTATGCAATGGAACATGCAGCTTTTCATCATACGTAAACCCTTACGCAGGCTACGTGGGCTCATTCAAATGTATGGCCGATGGAGAAGATCGAGTTGGATTCGTAAAGCAAACCACAGCAGATCAATACCTTGCTAAATATCCTGGCAGTAGTAAGAGTGATTATAAACTCTTGTGTAGGGATGGAACGACAAAACGTGAGTAGACGTTTATACTAGCTAAATTTTTTAAATATAAGTAACAGTTTAAATTCCCTTCAAGATTATTTAGTGGACGTCAGTCACTTACTCAATTGGGCAGCGTATCAGACTCTGAGAGACTGCCATATTTATGTTGGGGAGATGCAACGCAAGCTCCAAAAACCCCTGCATATACATACAATTTCAAATAATGCAAAATGATATAGACACGGATAAACACAGACATGTGGGAAATCAAAATATTAGAAACTTTTAAATTTAAATTCACAATTTATCCAGCTCTTGATGAATACAAGGACTGCCACATTGCCTCAAGACCTGCGAGTGCACTGGTTACGGGTAAAAGCACATCTCCTGGTATGATCAAGAAATATCAAAACATGTTCAAGCAGGCCAATATCGAGGACTTGAGAAATGCTCGCATGGTGAGCAGCAGTACTGAAAGTTTGGAGGAATATACCGACACAATCTACAACTATGTGGAACCGTACGCCAACTATTACAAAGCAGCTCAAAAGACAGATAAAGGTATCGTATGTCGCATATCTCCTCTGCTGTTAATTGCGTCTTCTGCCTTCCCTTGCATCTTTTTCGGGAATGCAACGAAATCAGTCTCAATGCATTGTTTATGATCTCATGATTATCCCAACTGCAATACATTCACCACCTGCTTCGCTATCGCATTTGCTTATTTATCAAGATATCGTTGCATTCTTTTTCAGTTCCGAAGTTTTGCTCCAAAGATGTGACAGCATGCAATTCAGCTGGCTTAGATGTGACATGTGTTACGAGTCCAGACTGCACCAAAGAGGTTGCTGATGGCAATGCTGATTTGACGTACGCATCCGTTAACAACATCATCAAAAACGGTAGGTATATGACAAGTGTTGGAATTATGCACATACCTTAATAGGAAGTGTTTTTGTATCTTTATGTTGTCTATATTATCCTCTTTAAGCATTGACCGAGCTATCAGACTAAATGAATCATATTTTCTCCTGTAGAGGATAAGCTGAAGATGGTCTTAAGTCAGAAAGTCAAAGGTGTTCCTGAGAGATTTGTGTTCTATTACGGCCTAGCTGTTGTTAAGAAAGAGACGACTTTCAATTTAAATCAGTTGAAAGGCAAAGATTCGTGTCACACCGGAGTCGGAAGAACAGTCGGATGGAACATTCCTGTTGGTTATCTTCTTCACACGAACGAAATGATGTTTGACCAAAATCAGTACAAATCGACTGCCGAGTTCTTTGGTAAAAGTTGTGCTCCAGGTGCTTCAACAACTACAGCAAGTCAGGATGTGAAAAATGATCTCTGCAGTTTATGCAATGGAACATGCAGCTTTTCATCATACGTAAACCCTTACGCAGGCTACGTGGGCTCATTCAAATGTATGGCCGATGGAGAAGATCGAGTTGGATTCGTAAAGCAAACCACAGCAGATCAATACCTTGCTAAATATCCTGGCAGTAGTAAGAGTGATTATAAACTCTTGTGTAGGGATGGAACGACAAAACGTGAGTAGACGTTTATACTAGCTAAATTTTTTAAATATAAGTAACAGTTTAAATTCCCTTCAAGATATATTTAGTGGACGTCAGTCACTTACTCAATTGGGCAGCGTATCAGACTCTGAGAGACTGCCATATTTATGTTGGGGAGATGCAACGCAAGCTCCAAAAACCCCTGCATATACATACAATTTCAAATAATGCAAAATGATATAGACACGGATAAACACAGACATGTGGGAAATCAAAATATTAGAAACTTTTAAATTTAAATTCACAATTTCTCCAGCTCTTGATGAATACAAGGACTGCCACATTGCCTCAAGACCTGCGAGTGCACTGGTTACAGGTAAAAGCACATCTCCTGGTATGATCAAGAAATATCAAAACATGTTCAAGCAGGCCAATATCGAGGACTTGAGAAATGCTCGCATGGTGAGCAGCAGTACTGAAAGTTTGGAGGAATATACCGACACAATCTACAACTATGTGGAACCGTACGCCAACTATTACAAAGCAGCTCAAAAGACAGATAAAGGTATCGTATGTCGCATATCTCCTCTGCTGTTAATTGCGTCTTCTGCCTTCCCTTGCATCTTTTTCGGGAATGCAACGAAATCAGTCTCAATGCATTGTTTATGATCTCATGATTATCCTAACTGCAATACAATCACCACTGACTTCGCTTTCGCATTTGCTTGTTTATCAAGATATCGTTGCATTCTTTTTCAGTTCCGAAGTTTTGCTCCAAAGATGTGACAGCATGCAATTCAGCTGGCTTAGATGTGACATGTGTTACGAGTCCAGACTGCACCAAAGAGGTTGCTGATGGCAATGCTGATTTGACGTACGCATCCGTTAACAACATCATCAAAAACGGTAGGTATATGACAAGTGTTGGAATTATACACATACCTTAATAGGAAGTTTTTTTGTATCTTTTATTGTCTATATTATCCTCTTTAAGCATTGACCGAGCTATCAGACTAAATGAATCATATTTTCTCCTATAGAGGATAAGCTGAAGATGGTCTTAAGTCAGAAAGTCAAAGGTGTTCCTGAGAGATTTGTGTTCTATTACGGCCTAGCTGTTGTTAAGAAAGAGACGACTTTCAATTTAAATCAGTTGAAAGGCAAAGATTCGTGTCACACCGGAGTCGGAAGAACAGTCGGATGGAACATTCCTGTTGGTTATCTTCTTCACACGAACGAAATGATGTTTGACCAAAATCAGTACAAATCGACTGCCGAGTTCTTTGGTAAAAGTTGTGCTCCAGGTGCTTCAACAACTACAGCAAGTCAGGATGTGAAAAATGATCTCTGCAGTTTATGCAATGGAACATGCAGCTTTTCATCATACGTAAACCCTTACGCAGGCTACGTGGGCTCATTCAAATGTATGGCCGATGGAGAAGATCGAGTTGGATTCGTAAAGCAAACCACAGCAGATCAATACCTTGCTAAATATCCTGGCAGTAGTAAGAGTGATTATAAACTCTTGTGTAGGGATGGAACGACAAAACGTGAGTAGACGTTTATACTAGCTAAATTTTTTAAATATAAGTAACAGTTTAAATTCCCTTCAAGTTATATTTAGTGGACGTCAGTCACTTACTCAATTGGGCAGCGTATCAGACTCTGAGAGACTGCCATATTTATGTTGGGGAGATGCAACGCAAGCTCCAAAAACCCCTGCATATACATACAATTTCAAATAATGCAAAATGATATAGACACGGATAAACACAGACATGTGGGAAATCAAAATATTAGAAACTTTTAAATTTAAATTCACAATTTCTCCAGCTCTTGATGAATACAAGGACTGCCACATTGCCTCAAGACCTGCGAGTGCACTGGTTACAGGTAAAACCACATCTCCTGGTATGATCAAGAAATATCAAAACATGTTCAAGCAGGCCAATATCGAGGACTTGAGAAATGCTCGCATGGTGAGCACTAGTACTGAAAGTTTGGAGGAATATACCGACACAATCTACAACTATGTGGAACCGTACGCCAACTATTACAAAGCAGCTCAAAAGACAGATAAAGGTATCGTATGTCGCATATCTCCTCTGCTGTTAATGGCGTCTTCTGCCTTCCCTTGCATCTTTTTGGGGAATGCAACGAAATCAGTCTCAATGCATTGTTTATGATCTCATGATTATTCCAACTGCAATACATTTACCACCGACTTCGCTATCGCATTTGCTTATTTATCAAGATATCGTTGCATTCTTTTTCAGTTCCGAAGTTTTGCTCCAAAGATGTGACAGCATGCAATTCAGCTGGCTTAGATGTGACATGTATTACGAGTCAAGACTGCACCAAAGAGGTTGCTGATGGCAATGCTGATTTGACGTACGCATCCGTTAACAACATCATCAAAAACGGTAGGTATATGACAAGTGTTGGAATTATGCACATACCTTAATAGGAAGTTTTTTTGTATCTTTATGTTGTCTATATTATCCTCTTTAAGCATTGACCGAGCTATCAGACTAAATGAATCATATTTTCTCCTATAGAGGATAAGCTGAAGATGGTCTTAAGTCAGAAAGTCAAAGGTGTTCCTGAGAGATTTGTGTTCTATTACGGCCTAGCTGTTGTTAAGAAAGAGACGACTTTCAATTTAAATCAGTTGAAAGGCAAAGATTCGTGTCACACCGGAGTCGGAAGAACAGTCGGATGGAACATTCCTGTTGGTTATCTTCTTCACACGAACGAAATGATGTTTGACCAAAATCAGTACAAATCGACTGCCGAGTTCTTTGGTAAAAGTTGTGCTCCAGGTGCTTCAACAACTACAGCAAGTCAGGATGTGAAAAATGATCTCTGCAGTTTATGCAATGGAACATGCAGCTTTTCATCATACGTAAACCCTTACGCAGGCTACGTGGGCTCATTCAAATGTATGGCCGATGGAGAAGATCGAGTTGGATTCGTAAAGCAAACCACAGCAGATCAATACCTTGCTAAATATCCTGGCAGTAGTAAGAGTGATTATAAACTCTTGTGTAGGGATGGAACGACAAAACGTGAGTAGAACGTTTATAGTAGCTTAATTTAAATATACGTAAGAGTTTAAATTCCGTTGAAGATATATTTAGTGGACGTTAGTCACTTACTCAATTGGTCAGCATGTCAATCTCTGAGAGACTGGCATATTTATGTTGGGAAGATGCAACGCAAGCTCCAAAAACCCCTTTATATACATACAATTTCAAATGTGAAATGATGTAGACACGGATAAACACAGATATGTGGGAAATCAAAATATAAGAAACGTTTAAATTTAATTCTACAATTTCTCCAGCTCTTGATGAATACAAGGACTGCCACATTGCCTCAAGACCTGCGAGTGCACTGGTTACAGGTAAAACCACATCTCCTGGTATGATCAAGAAATATCAAAACATGTTCAAGCAGGCCAATATCGAGGACTTGAGAAATGCTCGCATGGTGAGCAGCAGTACTGAAAGTTTGGAGGAATATACCGACACAATCTACAACTATGTGGAACCGTACGCCAACTATTACAAAGCAGCTCAAAAGACAGATAAAGGTATCGTATGTCGCATATCTCCTCTGCTGTTAATGGCGTCTTCTGCCTTCCCTTGCATCTTTTTGGGGAATTCAACGAAATCAGTCTCAATGCATTGTTTATGATCTCATGATTATCCTAACTGCAATACAATCACCACTGACTTCGCTATCGCATTTGCTTATTTATCAAGATATCGTTGCATTCTTTTTCAGTTCCGAAGTTTTGCTCCAAAGATGTGACAGCATGCAATTCAGCTGGCTTAGATGTGACATGTGTTACGAGTCCAGACTGCACCAAAGAGGTTGCTGATGGCAATGCTGATTTGACGTACGCATCCGTTAACAACATCATCAAAAACGGTAGGTATATGACAAGTGTTGGAATTATGCACATACCTTAATACGAAGTGTTTTTGTATCTTTATGTTGTCTATATTATCCTCTTTAAGCATTGACCGAGCTATCAGACTAAATGAATCATATTTTCTCCTATAGAGGATAAGCTGAAGATGGTCTTAAGTCAGAAAGTCAAAGGTGTTCCTGAGAGATTTGTGTTCTATTACGGCCTAGCTGTTGTTAAGAAAGAGACGACTTTCAATTTAAATCAGTTGAAAGGCAAAGATTCGTGTCACACCGGAGTCGGAAGAACAGTCGGATGGAACATTCCTGTTGGTTATCTTCTTCACACGAACGAAATGATGTTTGACCAAAATCAGTACAAATCGACTGCCGAGTTCTTTGGTAAAAGTTGTGCTCCAGGTGCTTCAACAACTACAGCAAGTCAGGATGTGAAAAATGATCTCTGCAGTTTATGCAATGGAACATGCAGCTTTTCATCATACGTAAACCCTTACGCAGGCTACGTGGGCTCATTCAAATGTATGGCCGATGGAGAAGATCGAGTTGGATTCGTAAAGCAAACCACAGCAGATCAATACCTTGCTAAATATCCTGGCAGTAGTAAGAGTGATTATAAACTCTTGTGTAGGGATGGAACGACAAAACGTGAGTAGACGTTTATACTAGCTAATAGTTTTAAATATAAGTAACAGTTTAAATTCCGTCGAAGATATATTTAGTGGACGTTAGTCACTTACTCAATTGGTCAGCATGTCAGTCTTTGAGAGGTTGGCATATTTATGCTGGGGAGTTTGTAAGGGAAGCTCCAAAAACCCCTTTATATACATACAATTTCAAATAATGCAAAATGATATAGACACGGATAAACACAGACATGTGGGAAATCAAAATATAAGAAAGTATTAAATTTAAATTTGCAATTTCTCCAGCTCTTGATGAATACAAGGACTGCCACATTGCCTCAAGACCTGCGAGTGCACTGGTTACAGGTAAAAGCACAACTCCTGGTATGATCAAGAAATATCAAAACATGTTCAAGCAGGCCAATATCGAGGACTTGAGAAATGCTCGCATGGTGAGCAGCAGTACTGAAAGTTTGGAGGAATATAATGACACAATTTACAATTATGTGGAACCGTACGCCAATTATTACAAAGCAGCTCAAATGAGAGATGAAGGTATGGTATCTGATATGTTCTGTATTACAATTCTGCTGCTTTTTCATGAAATGAAACCTGATAGTTTTGGTTTATTACAAAATAAAACAAATGATTTTGGGGAGAGGACCTTTAGTAACATTTCCAATGCTACCCAGATTACACGAGTGGCAGTGAGTTTTTGGGTGGTTTTTGTCATGAAATACAAAATTCAAGCTTGCACACACTTTGTATGGGACCAAATTTTGATCTCGTCAACATGGAGTATGGGTTACAATACCTCATGTGGGGTATTTTGATAGGATATAGGCGCAAAGTTAAGTGCAACAGGCAACGATTTCAAAGACTAAGTCAGTCACTTTGTGTTTAAATACGTTGCGTATAATCGTACATTCGTCCATACCATAATGAAGAACATGAACCATTTATTTTGTTTAATATGTATATAGCATAATATATATTATTCCCAAAAGGCTATTCACCCACTGGAGAAGCCCCCGAGAAGGTGGTCACCTTCTTTATAAATATGCATGAGCGAATAGAAAAAAGGCGAACTAACTATTAGTTTTAGCGCTCCTTTATAACGTATAGGAAGGTTTATAATTGCCTTAGTATAAATCGACAAGCAGTACAAAATATTTTCAATACGAAAACATACAAATTTTATTATTTATTTTCATTTATTTCTACCTTTACACCACCTGGAATTTCACTCACTTGCATCTTTCATGTTGATTGTTAATAAATGCACATTTTCGATCAAAATTTAAGCAAAATTCGAAAGAACTCTTCGATAAAAACCTGCTGTATCTTTAGACCGTAATATTTTGGATTGTTGGCCATGAAGAGAGCACATTAGCGATGCTGGTTAAAGGATATTTTCCACAGATTCTCGAATTGACACGAAATCCGCCATTTTAAGAAAAAAATTTCGCGCCAATTGTTGATGCCACAAAAAACATACATCAAAAGACGAATTCCGAGAGCGGTCTGGGGCGGAATGAGTAGTTCTTTTTAACAAATTCTTCTTTTGCTGTATAATTAACATTTCAAGACAAGCCGGAATGTCCCGCTTAATCTTTCTTTAGTCCAGATTGCTAGTTTACACTCTTTTTTAAAACCATTTTAGTTCGAACTCCAAAGTTTTGTTCCAAAGATGTAACAGCGTGCAACTTAGCTGGCTTAGATGTGACATGTGTTACGAGTACAGACTGCACCAAAGAGGTTGCTGATGGCAATGCTGATTTGACGTACGCATCCGTTAACAACATCATCAAAAACGGTGGGTAGAAATATATGATACTCGTCAGAAAAAAATACATGCACATCGACCTGTTGTGGGAAGCAGTATAATTCCTTTTTAACTTTTCAAGTGGCATGTATATTGCTCTGATATCGATGTCTGGGATAAATATGTGTAACAAGTATAAATAAATTATCATTTTCTTTATAGAGGATAACCTGAAGATGGTCTTGAGTCAGAAGGTCAAAGGTCTTCCTGAGAGATTTGTATTTTATTACGGCCTAGCTGTTGTTAAGAAAGAGACGACTTTCAATTTAAATCAGTTGAAAGGCAAAGATTCGTGTCACACCGGAGTCGGAAGAACAGTCGGATGGAACATTCCTGTTGGTTATCTTCTTCACACGAACGAAATGATGTTTGACAAAAATCAGTACAAATCGACTGCCGAGTTCTTTGGTAAAAGTTGTGCTCCAGGTGCTTCTACAACTACCGCAAGTCAGGATGTGAAAAATGATCTCTGCAGTTTATGCAATGGAACATGCAGCTTTTCATCATCCGTAAACCCGTACGCAGGCTACGTGGGTTCATTCAAATGTATGGCCGATGGAGAAGATCGAGTTGGATTCGTAAAGCAAACCACAGCAGATCAATACCTTGCTAAATATCCTGGCAGTAGTAAGAGTGATTATAAACTCTTGTGTAGGGATGGAACGACAAAACGTGAGTAGAACATTGTTAGCTTGGGCCGGGAAGTTAGGCTGACCTAGACGACTCAAATATCTGAATTTTGTAGACTTTCTAATAAAACAATAAGAATCCACTATTCTCGTAAAAAAGGTTAAAGGCTAGGGTAGGTTTAGGATAATGTTCCACAGTTCGCAGTTTTATCAATTTCCTTTTTAAATTTAATTTCCTCCAGCTCTTGATGACTACAAGGATTGCCACATTGCCTCACGACCAGCGAGTGCTTTAGTAACAACTAAAAGCACATCTCCTGATATGATCAAGAAATACCAAAACATGTTCAAGCAGGCCAATATCGAGGACTTGAGAAATGCTCGCATGGTGAGCAGCAGTACTGAAAGTTTGGAGGAATATACCGACACAATCTACAACTATGTGGAACCGTACGCCAACTATTACAAAGCAGCTCAAAAAACAGGCCAAATCCCAGTGAATTAAAATGAATTGGAATCGGACTTTATGGAATAATATGACTTTTCGATAAAAAATTGTTTGATGAAAACTATATGATTGATTGCACGTAAATTTTATCCAGCGATTTGAACTAATATATTGCTATCATTAATATTTCAAACAAAAATACGTATAACTTTGGAGTCATTTCAAGATAAAAGATTTTTATTTTTTTCTGCTTAAAATCAACCCATGCTGCGCGGTGCAGGAACTCTCAATTTTATGCTTGAAAAGCATCCCAAATCTTGTTCGCAAAGTTTGGTAGTGTATTGTGTAATGTCGAAGTGAATGTGGAAAATATCGCGTGATGAGATCAGCAAATAAGTCATAATAGCGGCGCTTCGGCTCCAGATTTTAGCCTTCTGATTGGACGAGAGAGATTTTGACTGATATGCATCTTTGCGGGGGTCTGACTAAGCTACGCTTTAAATAAGCGATCTAATTGGTCAGTACTCATATTGGTTCGACTTTTTTGACACATCTCTTCCTGATCGGCAATATGATTTGCGTATTCATTATCACAAGTGCTTGTATTGCGTAAGTTGTGATCAAGTTACGTTTGATTGTCAGCAGTTACATACCAAAAAATTCTTTAAAGAGTACTGAACAACGTTCTCTCTGCTGAGAAATAGGAATATTCTGCGTCGTATTATGCGCGCTTCTCTTAGGGTTTTCGAAAACTTTGTGTGAAAAATGCCATTTTGTTTTAAAGATGTTTTAGCCTGCGAATGAGTCACAGCAAGAACAAGATTAATGAGACGTCACGAAGCAACTCAACAAATGCCATGGTGATGATGTGCATGCGCTACAAGCCTTGCAAATACAAAGACTATCTAAATTCCTTACCGGAGCATGACAAGTAGCGACCTATTAGTTTTCTACCGACCAACCATAATTGACTAACCAAAAATTGTATCTGCGAAACATGCTCAAATATTTCTGTGAAATATTCAATGCTTCTGATAATAACGAAAGATTAAAATCAGTGTAATTTGATATTGTTTATATAATCGCTATGGAGAAAAAAAGGGTGATCCAAGACAATTGGTGGTCTTTTGCCTAGTGGGTCGCAAACAGAGTTGTCGTGAGTATCAGGACTAATAAGGCGAAGGATTTGAAAATGAACTTCCTATTTGTTGCTTGTGTTTCTCTTCTTGTGTCGTCCGTTGTTGCCGACAGTGACTGTAAGTGTCTAATTGCAAATCAACATTTCATTCATATTTTATTAACGTAAAATACGCATGCAGATCAAGACGGAAGCGAAAGCTACCAGCGATTACGATTTTGTCTGAACTAAGCTAAAAATGAAACTCGGAATCAGCATCTTCGGTGTACCCCAAAATGTCGCATTTACCTGACTAAAAGTTTCCACGAAATATACTGGCCTAGATTTGTGCGGTATAAACTAGTCTCAGGAAAGCTTCAGCCAGCAAATCCGGACTTTCAACGTATACCGCGCGCCATGTTTATACGAGAATTAATACACTACAGAAACCCACTTCAATGCTAATATCTGGGCCTGGCTATGGCCTGGCCTAATCTCATATGTGAACACGCCTCAATAAAGATCTCTGTTTACTAATAAAGACGAACCGTCTTGAGGACAAATTCGCAAAATGATCACCTGACTCAGTGATACCACTCGCCCCCACTGAATTATAAAAGGTGACTTTTTAGAATTTTATCCTCTATGCCAATTAATAAAGCGCTTCATTCGTCGACGGATCATTAATGACTAACGATGGCAACCGCCAAAAATTAAATTATGATGATTCAGTAAGATTCAACTGTAACATCACAAGATAATTTCTTGAGATCGTTCAGTAACCACGCGAAGCAACCAAAGCATACCGAAGCATCCTGAATTGCGAGCGAGTTTTGCAGTTACTTTTTACCTGTATCAGTACAGTGTGTTTCTACCCTGCGGGAAATTCCACGGATCAGCGCAGGAAATTTTAATGGAAGAAAAAATTACAGCGTGAAGGGAATTTGCAGGAAATCACGACATAACCAATATTCGTAGACAATTTCCGGAAGTCTTAATTTGTGTCATTCGGTGTGCTAAATTTCGAAATGCCGATACGGAAGCACCTTTGCGGACTGCGACCCAACAAAGACATAAAGAAGCCTGTTTCTGTCTTGCAGTAGGACATGCATTTGCCATGTGTACACCTGACGGGAAGCTTGATTTTGAGTGACAAATTTTAACATTTAACGTGCATAAAATGCTTCTGTACAATCTGTGTACAATTCATGCTTCTGTACAATAACTGTGCAATTCATTGACTGATTGGAAGGATCATTATTCAGCAGATTGTGATTTTTACTTTTTATTCAGCGCCAAAATTTTGTTCCTCTAATGCAACTAAGTGCAACTTGGCTGGCATAAATGTGACGTGTGTCGAAAGTTCAGACTGCACCAAAGAGGTTGCTGAAGGCAAAGCTGATTTGACGTACGCATCTGCAAACAATATGATAAAAAACGGTGGGTAGTAGTAGAACCAAGATGTCAACATGGGTTTCTGTGAAGAGTAGTTCACTTTCATTATTTTTTTTGTTTAGTGGATAAACTGCAGATTGTTCTGAGCCAACAGTATGTCGGTGTTCCTGAGAAATACGTCCTCTATTACGGCCTAGCTGTTGTTAAGAAAGATACGACTTTCAATTTAAAGCAGTTGAAAGGCAAAGATTCGTGTCACACCGGAGTCAGAAGAACAGTCGGATGGAACATTCCTGTTGGTTATCTTCTTTACATAAAAGAAATGCCATTAATCAATGATCAGTATGAATCAGTTTCAAAATTCTTTGGCAAAACGTGTGCTCCAGGTAACATGATTGACTTTTGTATAAAAAAAAAATTAAATTAATAAAACTGGGAAGCGAATTGAAAGTTTTCAAGTTGGAGGTTTCTTTTCAGTTATATTTTGTTGGGAAATATATTATTAGGAGACATTTATATTTTCGTAAGAAATATATAATAATAAATTATTATTTCTAACAGCTCGTGCATGCGGTTATTTTGGACGTTGCCACCTCGTGAGGTGATCTAAGCCTGTCAAATTTTTCAGGCACTTGTCAGGTTACCGTTTCCACAAAAGTGGACGTCTTGTACTCAATTCCATAATCGGTGTGTATAAGTGTAGCATCGTACTCACGAGCAGCGGTCAACCCTAAATTAAACGGCCTTAACCGGTTGTGACACACGATCAAATCCGATCCAAAAATATTCACGGTGACTTTATTAACCATCTCGTATAAAAAGTTTCAGATAGTATTCAATGTGATGTTCCCGTCTAGGAGCTGACAAAATTGTCGCAAGTGAATCGGTAAAGAAAGATCTTTGTAGTTTGTGTTTAAATGAAATATGTAGCACCACAGCAAGCAACACATACCTGGGCTACGTGGGTGCATTCAAATGTATGGCTGATGGAAATAATGACCGAGTTGGATTTGTGAAGCAAACCACAGCAGATGAATACATCAAGAAATATGGCGGGAAAAGGGAAGACTTCAAACTCTTGTGTACGGATGGGACAACAAAATGTGAGTAAGATGTAACAATCTCGGCACGAAGTATGAAATCTGTTAAACGCCTTAAATTTCGTTGAAATCTGCCAAATTCCAGTCACTCATTTAACCTGCATGCATGATGATGAAATTCAGAACATGTTCCCTGAATTCTTTTAACTAGAATTTTTAAGCCGACCTAGGAACAAACAGCAGAGGGTAGGAAAAGTAACGATGGTTGTGCACAACCGAGGAAGGTTTATAAAAAGCCATATCTTTTGAACGTTCCTCAGTTGCCTTCGAGTAAAACCTTTGAAGGTGTAAGATAACATTTAATCTCTAACATCCCTCAAAGCATGTGTTTAGTTAGTGATACCATTATAACAGAGATAAAAATGGCAAAATGCAGTAATATGCTCCTCAAAAGTAACCTCTGAACAACTTAGTTTGCATAAGGAAGAGCTATCAGGCAGGTTTAAACGTTTTGAACAATTTCCAGAAAAGACTTAGACTAGAATGACTATCATAAAGTTTGCTATATTTCAACAAAACAGGAATCATTTAATAACATAAAATTAAAATCTTTTCATTTTTCGCAAGCAAACTCAAGATGTCAAATTTCAGGAATGAAGACTGTTTCTGGGAAACAAAATGGTTTAAAAAGCACATTGATGTTTCAAAGGCTAGGCCCTAAAGCAACATTCATTGCAATTTAAATATTTGAAGGCATTTCTTCATTGGCATGCACAAGCAGTCTATATCTATAGCTGCATGGTTTACGATATGAATATTCAACGTTTGTGCTTTTCAGCTCTCGACGACTTCCAGTCATGTAACATTGATAAAAGACCTATTCATGCTATTGTTACACGTTCAAGCAAATCTGCAAAAGATGTTAAAAAATACCAAACCTTGTTCAAAAATGCCAGCCTTGATGATTTAAAAGCAGGTGGAATGGTTTTTAACGGCACCAAAAGCTTGGAAACGTACCCAAAAACGCTCGAAGATTATTTGAAGCCGTATTCCCTCCATTACAATGAAGTGCAAAAGACCAACAAAGTTACCAAAGGTGCTGCATCCACGGTCCTTGTTTCTTTCGCTTTGCATTTCGTCGCAATTTTTACATTTGCTCGTTTAATTTATCTTAGAAACACTACATCTGTGTTGTGTTTCTTTTTCATTACACGCACTTGTTGCTTTGTATTTGTCATTAGCCGATAAACTTAATTAACCGAAAATATTTTTGTACTTTTATATGCATCCGTCATAGTTTTATGTTTCTCCGTATACGTCAATTTGCACCGATGGAGTTTTGAATGATACAAAAATGGGAATTTGACCCTTATTGCCTTATCCCAATCCCATTTTGAAGACTCCATTTTCCATTTCCAATGGACCCAATCCCAATTTCCAAGTCTAATTTAAATCTACTCTCTCAGGACCCCCTGTATAGTACGCCCTTGTTCATATTTTATTTATTCGTGATTACACTCGAAATTATACAATGACTTATAATTTATTGTTTATCAAGGACCAAAATTTTGTGGAGATGCTACAAAATGTAATTCTGTGAAAGACAAGGTCCACGTTACGTGTGTTGAAGCTTCATCGGGCTCGAATTGTGTTAAAGACGTTGTTGAGGGAAAAGCGGACTTTATGTTGGCAAATGCTAATGATATGGTCGACAATCGTAAGTATTAAATACCACCTTTAAAACGTTTAGTTTTTGTGGCGCAAAAAGTTGTGTGTGAGTTTTAGAATGGCAAGAGCCATTGATAAAATACGTCGATTGTAAATAATTTGAAAATTCAACGAGACTTTTTCGGGAGATGAACTCAATCTAGTTCATATTGATGTTCTTAGAAGCATGCCAAGGAAGTATTTAGGATTTTTGTTATTATAGCTAAATAAAATTTGCGAATCATTGAATCAATTTCAGAGGGTAAACTTAAAATAGTCAGAAGCCAAAAGCTAAAAGATTTAGAGAAATACGTGCAATATTATGGCCTGGCTGTCGTTAAGAAAGAAACGGCTTTCAACTTCAAGCAATTGAAGGATAAGTATTCGTGTCACACTGGCGTTGGGAGGACCGTTGGATGGGTAATTCCTGTTGGGTATCTTCTTGACGAGAAGGAGATGCCGTTGATTAAAGATCAGTACAAATCAGTCGCTGAATTCTTCAAAAAAAGTTGCGTTCCAGGTAGATGCACTGAATTCAATAAAGATGTAAATAGCAATATAGGAAATGGAAAATTCAACCTTAATTACATGTATAATATACCTTTTTTAAAAAGAGAGAAAATTTGCTAGGTGCGTAGCAGTTTAATTTAGGTTTTCATCTGGGACCGGTTGTATAAAACTCTTTAACTACATTTTGCATAGTTAAACCTAATCAACTCAGAAATACACAACTCTGATTGGCCAATTCTCTCCTTACTGACTGCAGTTAAAAGTTAACTAGTCTTTTATACAACTAGCCCCTGGTACGTAAGCTCGATCGAGAGCCTTTCCCAACCGGAAGTTCAGTCCAACAACTTTCAAGGCCTTTAGGTCGAGTCATCAAGATCTTGTATATTTCGTATGGGTATTTTGTGATCGTATTCAATTGAAAGATCTATAGGAAAACAATTAATCCATCTTGACGCTATTATTTCATGCAGGTATTGGCAAAATAAGCAGTGCTAGCCAGGCCGTGAAAGATGATCTGTGCAGCCTATGCGATGGAACTGAGAATGTGAAATGCACAAGCAATGATCCGTTCGCAGGATACGAGGGAGCATTCAAATGTATGGCCGCTGGTAATAACGACCGAGTTGGCTTCGTTAAACAAGACACGGCAAATAAAGTTCTCAACAGTTCCGGGTCGTATGGCAGTAAGAACGATTATAAACTCTTATGCACCGACGGAAAGTCAAAACGTGAGTAATCCATGCCGCCTTAGAGTCTTTTCAAAGCTCAATATGAAAAAAAATCAGGAAATTTACACGTGAAACTTTCTCTTAAATACCAGTACCAGCTGACAATTTCAAAATAAATGAACAATGATAACCAGGCTAAAATTTGCATTGCGGGATGCCACTAACTTCTTCAGACACGCTTGACACTAGTTTCTGTTTGAAATGGACGAGTATATAGCCTCTCTCTAGACCCTTTGAATAAATAAACAAGCCACGGCAACTGCAAGTCTGATTAGTTTGGTCCAGATGTTTCAGATAAATCTCTTTCCAACGTTCAAAATGTTGCTACTGAATTCTAAACTGAGGTCTCCTGTCAGATGACTTAACCAACAACGTGATTATATTAAAAAGTTCCACAATTTTTCTTATATCTTCAGCACTGGACGAATACAGGAAGTGTTACATTGGTACCAGACCTGCAAACGCTTTGGTTACGAGTAAAGATAAATCTAATGATACGGTGGCGAAAATTGAAGACAGCTTAAAAATGGCGAACCTTCCTGACTTGGTAAAAGCTGGCATAGTCGATGGAAATATTGAAAGTTTGGAGGAATATTCGAATACCGTCGAGAAATATGTGGAAAAGTATGCTAAGTATAGAAGCGCCTTGTTGGCGAAAGAAAGTTCAGCACCGTCAATCTTTGTCCCTTTCATTGTGAAAGTCCTCGCTGTTTTTGCATCAATTGTGGTTCTGCTTTGAGGAATTTAAAATGAATAACACATGTTTAGTTTTGGGATGGAGTTCATGAAAACGGCCAGTAGTGCCTCTCCGTATATTTGTTTATTAAAATTATAAAATTAGATTAAACTAAACTAGAGATTAGGCTGATTAGCGATAAATGTAGTACAAGATATATATTGGATAATTTAAAACTGATGTTGGTCTTAATAATTGTACACGTACAGTATCATATTGCTATTGTTACTTAATTTCCTGATGCCGTGCATGACTATACATGCATATACTTACTCAAACTTCATGTACCTGCTTATTAGGCCGAAATAAATCGAGAGCACTTAAAATAATGTCTGTTTTGTGATATTCACTGGCATGGTTATGTAAGCCAGCTGATATAACTAACCATTTGTGGTTTGGAGTGTTTTGTTTTTCAGTTTCCGCCAGCTCTTTTAACAAAATACTCAGTCTTAGTTTTAGAAATTATTTATTATAGCGATGTAAAAACGATGTCAATATTTAAAATGTCGACGATATTCAAACATATTGGTCATTCATAAATCTCGCAGGACCCATCACTACCACAGGCATAAAAATGCCGTGATCTTGTGCATGCATAATTAGCGTGCTTGTGAAAAAGTGTCCTTGTATGCGAGTGTTAAGCCCTGATTCCACGAGCGAAATTTTCAAGCGCAATGCGAAATATTTCGCTTGCTTCTTTTGAATTGTGAGCAATCAAGCGGAAGTAATGTATTCAAGTGGTCACAATTCAAAAGAAACTGGCGAAATATTTCGCCGAGAAAAACCGCCCGTGGAATCAGGCCCTAAAAAAGATGACTGAACACGACTCGTCGTAAATTTGAGACCGCAATTCGCAATACTTAGGCTTCAAATTTTGCGAGAAAAAATCTTTATAAATCCTTTTGTACACGGCAAAAACGAATCGTATTATCATAACTAAATTAATAACCTTGTGTATACTTTGAGCCTCAAAATAGCCATTTCACAGCTGTCAAATGTGTATGATGAGCTGTCAAAAGATTGCAGATAGCGCAATCAGAAGAAAAATTGAACTTTTTAAAGTCATTGAATAGTTTTCTCTTCGATAGCCACACAGAAATGCACGATTGATTGAGAACCAGTCATTGCATTTTCGGGTTGAAACTTTATAAACAAACACCAATTTCTGCGGTCAGGTTAGTGAACCCAAGCATGACTAAACTCACGGAGTAGATGTTAATAATTTGCATGCTTTATTAAGCTTTTTATAATTGGCTATATGAGTGGTTGTCAATCTGGAATGTTCCGACGATTTGTGCACGTCCAACCAAGCACAAAAGCCAACTAAGAGCACTGAGTCTCGTTTTCAAGTTGACCATGCACCACTGGAGTCTATGACGTTGAAACCAAAGAGACCGAAGAATTTTGGCACTTTTATCAAGGAAAGGTTCCAGAACTGATATCTGGTAGATCTCGACTAAGCATTTTTGTCGTTTCTACCATGGATGGTTCAAGATACTAGCTATATACATGATATATAGACATGAATTACTTGGTTAATAATTAAGATCTTATATATAGACATGAATTACTTGGCTAAAAATTAAGAACTTAAGGATTAAAGCATAACATATAAAGGATTAAACGGGAGCAAACTATCTGACCCTTTAGTCTTAAATTAATCTTTAATATCCGGCCGAGTCACTCAAACTCCGTAACATCATATAATGGCCTTTTGTGCAGGGTTGCTAGATCACTGAGTAAATTAGCCATATATTATTACTGAGTACTGACAATATTTGTTTCTTTGTCTGAAACAAAGAAATTATAACAATGTTTGGCTTCTTTTGTCTGGAATCTGACATCCCTGGTTTGGTAACCCCTTTAGAGTTCCAATTTTGCCTTTGCTAGATGTTAATCAAAGATATTAGTAGGTGGTGTTGTCATTATGCTAACATTTCCCAAGTGTATTCTAAATATCATTAACGTTTACCCAAATCAAATCGAGGACTTTCGCAATTCAGAAACAATCTCAAGTTCAGAGTCCTCCTGTTCGCAGGCAACTGACTCGATTTGGTATTCTGCTATGGCCTGGAAACGAGTTTTCGTAATCACAGAAAGTAGCCAATCATAATTAACTGGGCGTAATTGATATTGTGTATATTTATTGCTATGGCAAAAAGGGTGTTCCTAGAATGCGAACATTCTTTTCGCCACGGCATCGAAGTTGATAAACACAAAAGAAAATCTGCAGGGTGTAATTAGCGAAAGATTTGAAAATGAACAACCTGTTTATTGCTTGTGTTTCGTTTCTTCTTGTATCGTTCGTCGTGGCTGATCACCATGGTAAGTATATGTTAAATTAACTAATATTTTATCGATATACCGTGATCTTCATGCCAACCATGCATGGGAGCTATAACCGACAGTGCAGCCTTGGCTGATAATGGACTGCCGTGAATTTACTGCTTGCATCAGTGCAAGTTTGTTCCTTGTTGTTACTCACTAATCACTATACAGTGTATTCACTGTCATTAGTTTAGAGATGTTCAGGATACTATCGGACTGTAGTGTGAAGTAGGTCGAAGCAGTTCAAAATCGAGACGGTTTGCGTAATGACTCATGTGTTACTTGTTCATACGAAAGGATTTTTGTTGCGCTATACATGCAGAATTTCATGTGCACTGCGGACTGTTCATGATTGGGAATGCGTTTCTCGAGTTGAAGGTCGAATTTAACTGGCTTTTGGGGCACTAAATATACAGCGTCATACAAGTATGTGCATTTAGGCAATAATGATACACCCAAACGCGGAAATTGATATGAGCGTCAAGCTGAATACCATTGCATGCCGCTCACTAAAAACCCCGACTTTGAAGTTTTTGTCTAGAGTTCCTGGTGTAAAACAACAAAGACACATCTCAATGGCGCATCGTCAATGAGTACGAGAGAATTTTGTTAGTGGAAGTAGCATCTTTTAGGCTATATTGTGACTATCCCAGATTACATACTATTTCGAGCTATGCTATTTGAAATCCGATCTGTTATCAACGGTCATGCCATCATTGTGAAATTGTGAAATGCTTCTGTAGCAAACTGTAGCCAAATTATGCACGAAGTTCTGGTTGCTTGCTATCGCATAATATCCAGCAAATCAAACATAGATAACATTCGCATATATCAAGACTTAAACATTTGTGCACTAAAATGGAAATGTAAACGTTATGGTAATCTTCGGAAATCGTGAGCCGAAAGCTAAAATGGGAAAGTGAAAAACACATTGCGAATGAACAAGACATTTCAAAATTGCAATATATGATTCATATTGGGAACCGTATAAAATTCCAGCATCATTTTAAGATTGTTTTAATTTTGGTTTGGCTGTCCAGTGAAAGTTGCGTTTTTAAATCTGTCTATATAAAGGTTTAACTCTTTTTTGAATCGACGAGCGAATGAGACAAAGAATGACAACGGCGAATGACTACTCATTTGCATGTAAACAGCGTATTTGTTTTACCACATCTGGTATGAACGCATTCAAGCACGTTTCGTCTTGTCTTAGCAAATACAGCTTATTGAATATTGACCTTTTCGTCTTAATGTGCAGAGTCATATTACTTAATATTTTAATGCTGATAATGAAGCTACTGCTTTTTAATTAATACATATATAGATAATTCTATATTTCGTAAACAAACTGTTCTAAGTTAGATTATTGGTCTCGTATACACAGTATATCTTGTATGACAGCCAAACAGTCGAATATCAGCTTAAGAGAATAAGCTCAACACTCCAGATTAAATTCCACTAGTTCCGGTGTGAAATAGCAAGAGATCATAGCAAGGCTTGTGCCATTTGTGATTTTTCAACGTTTGCCCGGAATTTGGAAATTTGCTTGATCCTGCAAGAGGGACCGAAATGGAAATATCCTTATTTTTTTTTAATGCTTCAGCTAATCCGAACGTCAGTTGTTACTAGTATAGACCTTTAGCTTAACCAATATGACAAACCGCAAACAGCAAACGGCTAATTTCAAATAACATTTAAAATTAGATTTTTGGCACTTTCTCGCCCATAATTTGTCTCGGTAGTCATCCTGTGTTTGAAAATAATGCACCAATTGCCTCAGAAACCTAGCATTTGTTTTGAAAATTTGAAATAAATTTTTCTGTTCGCCGTTAGAGGGTTGTCGTTACGAACGTCAAACTAAAGTAATTTACATCGTACTTAGTGTCTATAGCGTTGGTATTTAGGATAGAGCATGGGCTAGGAAGATTTGTAATGCATTAAGAAATTGGTAGAAAAAACCATGACCATGCATCCAAGAAATATAATAAAAAAATTGACTGAACAAGGCATCTCGAGAATGGAATGTAAGATCAAAACAGAGGTTGAAACACTTAAATTCAAGGTTAACATTAGAATGAAATACTATACGTATACGCTACCATTGGTAATTGCGGTGCCCAAACCGCATTATATTCTGCGTTTGAGTTTGTAAGTTTGTTCGCATCAATACGTTTCCTTAATCGTTTAGTAAAAATTCCTTGCATGTGCTAGGAATTTATTCCTAATTTATTATTAATCTCTTGCACGTTTCCAGAATTCCCTTTTTCCAGGAATGTTTTCTTTTCAATATTAATCTCACGATTGCGTCGTATCTCCGGTTTTATGGACCCAGTAAAGACAAAAATAGCACCATTCGATTCAGCGTGAGAAATTATACTAACAGGTGTCAAATATATTACTAAACAACAGTATTCTAGCGATATATCATATATGGCCTTTGAGAGACAAGCGAAATTATACTGTTGCCAAACTTCTCACTTCGATACAGTTTTGACTAGCCTGCGCACAGACTGTAATATTATGATATATCATAATCAAATACCTCAGTCTGTGCACAGGCTAAGTTTTGACCTTATTGTACAGAAGGTGAACGAGAGTTGACAGTTGTATTCGACCGACGGGAGAATGTAGGTTGCTGATGTGGGTAGAAACGGCGGACGTTTAATTTTCTAGGCGACCATTGTGGGCCCCGCATTTTCGTACTGTGTCTGGTTTTATCTGCATTTCCCACAATATTTAAAAATGTAAAGTATGCCAGAAAAAGAAAAACCAACAAAGCGTTCATATAACTTAATGTCTTTCCAGTTGTCGGATTTTCTCACCCGCCTTACGTCAAAATTGTGGTAAATATAGCTAAGAATTAGATATGGCTAAATTCTCTGTAAATATAGCTTGTATTTTAGTTTTACTCGTCTCTATCATGTTTCGAAGAAATGTATTTTATTCTTTAAAGCAAAATCGAAAATTCACAGTTTAATCTGCGTCTTGTTTTGAATACTATATTGCACCCAAAGATGACTTGTAAATTCCAGCATAAGACGCAGACAAATATGGAAAAAACCCAGATGCATGCCATACATAAATACACTAGTGCTGGGCGATACCGAATACTCAGTATTCGATACCAGCGATACTAGCGAGCGTGGTATCGGTATCGATTACTGACCTGGTATCGTTCGATACTTACACCCCTTTTTCTAGGCAAATGTTGATTGGAATATTTTTTATTTTTTTGAAATCGTTTTGTTTTCAAAAAGTTAAATCAAATTCAATAAATCGTGAACAAAGTAAAAAAAACAATGCACCACTATACGACTCTTTATTCTATCTAATTTTAAAAGTACTGGGGCCGGTTTGCTTCTTCCGCTATCACAAAATGCGCCTAAAAAGCACCCATCCGTTTTGTCAAAACCACGCAGCGCGCTTAAATCCATGTGTACATCCCTTCCCTTTTACATGACTTAAAGGGGTAAATGGGTGTTTTTGCTGCTTGAGTTTCAAAATGTAAACTTCTATTGATGTTAATCTTGGTATCGAAACTGGTATCGAAACACAAGATTCTTAACAAATTTTAGTATCGAAATTGGTATCGGTATCGACCGATACCAATTATAAAGTAGTTGGTATCGGTATCGAAAAAAATTTCCTGGTATCGCCCAGCACTAAAATACACGTGCATATTCACGTGCATTCAACAGTACAGTGTGTTTCCACTCTGCGGGAAATTCAACGAATTCCCACAGTCATTCCATAACGATATTCACACCTGACGGGAAGCTTGATTTTGAGTGACAAATTTTAACATTTAACGTGCATAACATGCTTCTGTACAATTCTATGCACAATTCATGCTTCTGTACAATAACTATACAATTCATTGACTGATTGGAAGGATCCTTTCATTATTCAGCAGATTGTGATTTTTACTTTTTATTCAGCGCCAAAATTTTGCTCCGAAAATGCAACTGAGTGCAACTTGGCTGGCATAAATGTGACATGTGTCGAAAGTTCAGACTGCGCCAAAGAGGTTGCTGATGACAAAGCTGATTTGACGTACGCATCTGCAAACAATATGATCAAAAACGGTGAGCATCAATTCTGTGATACCTAAAATAGTTTCATTCCTCATCAATTCTTCTATAAACTAATTGTAACATAAATCACTTACGTTTTAAATGCTTAACTTAATTTTGTTTAGTGTTTTGAAAACGTTTTATTATGATATAAACGAGACATTTATGTTGAAACAAATGCTTGATTTCAAACAGATGTATCCCGTAAGATGTCAACCTGGATTTCTGTGTAGTGTAATTCACATTTATTATTTTTTTTTGTTTAGTGGATAAACTTCAAATCGTCCTTAGCCAACAGTATGACGGTGTTCCCGAAAAATACGTGCTCTATTACGGCCTAGCTGTTGTAAAGAAAGATGCGACTTTTAATTTCACTGAGTTGAAAGGCAAAGATTCGTGTCACACCGCAGTTGGAAGAACAGTCGGATGGAACATTCCTGTTGGTTATCTTCTTTACGAAAAAGAAATGCCATTAATCAATAATGCGTATGAATCAGTTTCTAAATTCTTTGGCAAAACGTGTGCTCCAGGTATCGTCATTGAGTTTTGTATCAAAAATAATGAAATTAATAGAACGGGAAAGCGATCTATTGACACGGGGTCATTGGTTAAAGTAAGTTCTCAATAAAATCCTGCGTCCATCTTACACGATTTCCAACATACTAAATGTTTTTTGAAAATTTGACGCTTATATAAAAGCATCATCATAAAATCAACATTATCATCTGTTCTTCGTAAAAAATATACAAATTATTATTGCTAACAGCTCGTGCATGCGCAGTTATTTTGGACGTTGCCACCTCGTGAGGTGGTCTTAGCCGGTCAAATTTCTCAGACACTTGTCAGGTTACCGTTTCCACAAAGGTGAACATGTTATTTGTCCGATCCAAAAATGTCCACGGTGACTATTGTTACGAGCCGGTCCTTTTAATTACTAATGGCGGCGCTTTTGGCTCAATTCGGTCGGAACAAAGATTGTGAAATCGATTACTTTTCAATTATTTATTCTTTGATACTATACTTATAGTTAAACAATTAACGTCTTTAAAACTTTTGATATAAAATACTACTTAATATGATTTAAACAGTTCAACTCGTCTGTCTGAGCACAACTCTCGATATCTTGACAATTCTGTATTCTTTCTATCGTAATGGTTCTCTTTAGTTCTTTTGGTTTGTGGTTCTTTTCACGTTACTTCTTTAATTTCGTTTTTAAAGAAAAGATGCTATTCAGGCTAGCGCCTTTTGAATAATGCATGCCTTAAAGAGTTGTGCTCTGACTTTTATATGGTTTGCTAGGAGAAAAAACTATAAAACTATGACATATTTCCCCTAATAGTTTATAAGTTTGAGATATGGTTCACAGAATAATAATTTGGTAATTGTACTTTAAGTTGATGATAAATATTTAAATTGTAAACAAGTTTTAACAATGATCGATTAAGCAAAAGACCAATGCAACTCAACTAGTGCGTCAACGCCCTTAAGTAAACAAAATACGAGAGCTGGACCGCGCTTCTAACGCGAACTGACACTTGTAAAATACAACGTTGATTGGATAGTGTGAATCACACCACTTTACATAGGGCGTCTTGAAGATCCCCTCAAATTTTATTATAAAAGGATGTGCACAGCAACAGAACCCTCAGTGGACTAACGGAGTAAAAGCCATATGAAACGTTGAAGAAGCTCAACATTACAGAACCGACGATAAAGACAAGAACAGTAACGACGAAGATCTAAAGGGAAAGAAGAGAAGAACGAAGCAATAAACGAACATTAATGAACATTAGTTAACCTCTTGTAAAGATCTTCTACCTCGCGTAGAAAGAATAAAAACCATTCAACAATAGCATAAAAAATTCAGGTAATATTCAATGTGATTTTCCCGTCTAGGCGCTGACAAACTTGACGCAAGTGAATCGGTAAAGAAAGATCTTTGTAGTTTGTGTTTAAATGAAATATGTAGCACCACAGCAAGCAACACATACCTGGGCTACGTGGGTGCATTCAAATGTATGGCTGATGGCAATAATAATAACCGAGTTGGATTTGTGAAGCAAACCACAGCAGATGAATACGTCAAGAAATATGGCGGTAAAAGGGAAGACTTCAAACTCTTGTGTACGGATGGGAAAACAAAATGTGAGTAAGATGTAACAATCTCGGCACGAAGTACGAAATCTGTTAAACGCCTTAAACTTCGTTGAAATCTGCCAAATTCCAGTCACACGTTTAACCTGAATGGTGCTGAAATCCAGAACATGTTCCCTTAATCCTTTATATCACAAGTTTTAAGCCAAGCTAGAAAAAAACAACAGAGAACAGGAGCAGTCGTACACAACTGAGAAAGGTTTAGTAAAAGCCACACCTTCTTAACTTCCTTTCTAAATTTGAAGGTGTAAGAAAACATTTAATCTCTAATATCCCTCAAAGCATGTGTTTAGTTGGTGATACAATTATAACGGAGGTAAAAACATTGGCATAATGCAGTAATATGCTCCTCAAAAGTAAGCTCTGAACAACTAGTTTGCCTAAGGCAGAGCTGTCAAGCAGGTTTAAACGTTTTGAACAATTTTCAGAAAAGTCTTAGACTAGAATGATAATATAAAGTTTGCTATATTTCAACAAAACAGGAATAATTTAATAACATAAAGTTGAAATCATTTTTCGCAAGCAAACTCAAGATGTCAAAGAGTTTTCAGGAATGAAGACTTTTTCTGGAAAACAAAATAGTTTAAAAACGACATTGATGTTTCAAAAGCTAGGCTCCAAAGCAACATTCATTGCAATTTAAATATTTGAAGGCATTTGTTCATTAGCAGGCATAAGCAATCTAAACTTTTGCTGGTTTACGATATGAATATTCAACGTTTGTACTTTTCAGCTCTCGATGACTTCCAGACATGTAACATTGATAAAAGACCTATTCATGCTATTGTTACAAGTTCAAGCAAATCTGCAAAAGATGTTAAAAAATACCAAACCTTGTTCACAAATGCCAACCTTGACGATTTAAAAGCAGGTGGAATGGCTTTTAACGGCACCAAAAGCTTGGAAACGTATGCAAAAACGCTCGAAGATTATTTGAAGCCGTATTCCCTCCATTACAATGAAGTGCAGAAGACAGAAAAAACAAACGATGCGTCCACGGTTCTTGTTTCTTTCGCTTTGCAGATCGTCGCCATTTTTGCATACACTCGTTTGATATAGTTTGAAACAATACATCTATGTTGCATTTCTTTTTCATTTGTCATTAGAACTATAAACCTAAACGCTTTGTAATTGTAGTTAAAGCATGCATTTATAGTTATTTTTTAGATAAAAGAAAACTTACTCTGTTGCGGTGAACAGTTTTTTAATGTTTTTCCCAGCTTTTAGATTTAGGTTGGATTGTTGCGTTTAGTTTAGATTGCTGGGTCAAAGCAAATAAACGCTTTGCTTCTATTAGTATTATGATCTCTATATACCTTTCAAAAACTGTATGTGATTTATATAATAAATATTTCTAGTTTTGATGTGATGGTTTTGGGTGCACCCACAACGCAGTTTTGCTAAAATCAACTGACTATACCACATTCACAATATAAATACCTCGGCGTAGACGAACAGCATTGCAACGTATACGCAAGCGTGCATGCGCGAAGGCGTTCGACCGCTGTAATTCAAGTACAGTACTGTGGGCACGAAGTTATTTTCCTCTATGTAATCCGCGATAATGATGTTAAGGCCGTTCGGTCCGGCTTTGCGCTTTTTCATCCACTTCACCAAACGCATCGAAGCCGTTTGCGAAATCCAGGCCTTTAGCGTCGCATTAACGGTTTGCCCGGCCAGCATTTCAATCCAATGCGGAAGTAGTACACCTTGCGTTATATAGAACCTATTTCGCGGACGTTTGTACTTGTATCGTGTTGACAAAAACGCCATCCATTTTTCAGGATCTTCGAATGTTTCCTTATCGAATGGTGATAATATATTAGTAATGCTACTCCAGGCGAACCTTGGTAGGTCCTTGTTTGCGCTGTCGACGAAAAACAAGACTTGTTTTCCGCTTCGCCATACGTATTGCATCGTTATGCGAGATATATCTGTCCTTGGGCACAAGTGTTCGCCCAAGATAGCGTTTACCTCGGAAATTAATAGAGCAAATGCGCCGAGTCTGTGCCCAATTGGGGCGTAGACGTGATTAAAGTCGAGTAGGATGATTTCTTTTTTAAATTTATTGACGAAGTTCTTGATTTGCATCAGAATGTCGGCCAACTTTGCTCCGACCAAGCTGTGAGCGACGTATCTGGAAAAAAACTCTTTTGCTTGAATTATTCGATAGATGTGTACGAGTATGCTCGTACGCATATTCTAATTGCTTTTCCAATAGAAATTTTTCCTACTATTAGCACAAATTTAAGCCGTATTTCTAGGTAAATATGTAGTAAACAGTCTGGAGGGTATTATAGGAGTACGACTGTGAAAGCTCGCAGAGTTGTTTACAAAGGCGTTCCAGACACTTACAGCTCGTTCTGGGAAGGTTCAAACGATATCCTCATGTCCAGGTATCGGACGCCGCTTCTTAATTGTTCTCCTATAGTTTGAGCCTGCGTTACGGACCAGCGGTATAGAAGGTCTTTGCCAGTAACATTATCCATTAAACTAATAATTTCTTTCACCTTGAGTCGAGAGAATTATGAGAAAAAGATGATATCTTAATCGCCAGAAGTATCTCTGTTAATGTTTATGATTATGATTAGATTAGGATTTTTAGGTACGGTGTTTTAAGTCTTGATACGTTTGTATCACCTAATTTAACGGCAATGCCACTGGCGTAGCCAGCACGATAATTGGGGGGGTCCATATTCATATATTCATGTAAACAGACTGTAAAGACAATTGATTTGAAAAGAAATTAATCCTGCGTATCACGAATATATGAATATGGACCCCCCCAATTATCGTTCTGGCTACGCCGTTGGGCAATGCACCCCAATATACAATATACGATTGCTACCTTAGGGTCCAGTCTGTTGGAGTACGGAGATTGCGGGCTCAGCGAATAGCTGCCCGAATCGTGGGAACCAGGTATCGCTATGTCGATCAGCGGTTTATTGTGAAAGCGAGACGGTAAATTTTCCATCCAGGAGGAATAGCTTATACGGTCAGCTGTGTGAGAAAAATCCAGGAAAATTTTGAACAGGCTGAATTGGAATCGGTAAGTTTATAAAGTTTGGTAGAGAATAAGTGAAGCTTGGAGAATTTAAATTACAGAAGCCCAGGGAGCTCGTGAAGTAAAATGAAAAATTATGAATTGAGAGAAAACATGTGCAAATTTTCTGAGGTTATTTTCTTTTGGTGAAACCTTCAAATTCATCATTAAAAGTAGGTTGGGAAAGTATTTTTAGTCTATATAATATACCTAATCAAAATATAATCCACCATCAAAACATGCAGGTAGAGTTTCAGCGATGCATAGAATAAGTGAAAGATGTACCTGTTGTGTTTTGAAACTTTACGGACAATGTCAACGGAAACACTCCTTGAAAGATCATTTGAAAACAGTAAAACCGAGAGATGGTATGCAAATATCTGCAGATTCAAAATGGAAGTAAAAATTATATGCATGCATGTGTCCGCTAAGTATCAATAATCTTTACTTTTAGGTATATATATGTATAAATCAATCCATGCCAACCAGAAGCACGTATGGAACATTGTTATTGTTCGATATTATTATTTGTCATTGTCAATAAAATAATACAAGTTTCAAAAAAACTATAATTTAAAAATACTTACAGCTTGTCATTAAACCTTTTTATCATGTTTTTAATAGATTGCATGTTTGATCCTTCATTAATAAAACGAATAAATGTAAACACGTCGGACACAATATTAGTACAAGAACGTTTAAATGAAATACGTTTTGAAGAGTGTGACATCGTTTGCTATCTTAACCGGTGGCAACAGGTCGGTTGGTCATTTGTTGAAAAAGTGATCACGAATCCAAAGATCAATTTAGGCCTTTTCCGATTGTGCTCGGCAACTTTTAAGCAACTTTTTAAATACTGCATACTGCATACTTTTTAAATACTGCATTTGGTAAATACTGCATTATTAGATGTTCCTCATCCCCGCAGGAATTAAAGAGTTTTGAGAAAATACCAGAGATTTCTGCATGAATTTGAATAGGTCATATTGGAATATATTGAATAGGAACATATTGGCCACATGATTGGTTAATCTGATATCGCATTTCATTGGTTCATGTTCCGCTAGTAGATACTGGTAGGCGAGTCCATTTTCTTTTACTTCGCAATTGGTTGAATTTGATCACTTTTATTTTTTTCTTGATAGAAAACCATAAGCAGCCGACAATTAAAAAAAAAATTATTTCTTTCTGTCTGAAGATGACTTTGAAATGACGTCGAAATATTACAGTTTCAACCTGTGTCTTGCTCGATTCATATTTTGACTCTCATGCAAGATGTCCTGCTTATTCCGAATTTGTTTTTTACTTTAGTTTTCTTGAATGACGGCATCAGTAAATAAGAGACACTTCACTGGATGGCATCCAATTCTTACAGAACCTAGTCTTTCAAGCACATTGTGTTGATCTAAGATAAATATTATTGATCAAATTCGATGTAAATTAATTTTAATCAGGTATAACTCATCTTTTTATCAGATGTTATGGAAGAAATTAATGGCACACATTCCGGAAACATGATTGGACTTATCGGGATGCAGGAAGCATGAAAAGTCTTCGTTCCAAATGAATTGTCAAAAAAGTTTTTTCCGCTTACAAAATACAAATTAATCCGATTCTGAAGATTTGCCAAGCCCGCGCACGCGCGGCGTAGACCGTTCTGTACATTCCTCTACTAATTAGCTGTGTAACATAAGCGATAGCTTTTCGCGGTGACATGAAAATGGAAGTGCAATTTTTTCATTCATCCGATCCTTGTCGCCATTGAACACTGCCTACCCCTGTTGATGATTGCGTGCGCGCTGTGTTAGACTAAATACTTCATGTAATTAAAAGCATCACGCTTCATGGACAACCGCGGTCACGCGATTTTTGTTGTTTTCATAGCGCGGTGTGAAAATGAAATGCGGTGAAAGAAATCCTCCAGCGTACTTCCTCCTAATAACCTAAATCTGTTTTGCAAAGAATGTGTTTTTTAGCTCACTTTACCAAGTTTTCTTAATATCTGGAGATTCGCTTTAAAATTTCATTTAGTCAGAGAAAGGTGTTGCTTAGTTTTTCAAACCGTTTTTTTATATAGTGTCTGTGTTGAGGTATTCAAATACTTTGTATATGCCACAAATGTGTTAAAACAACTGGCCCTTTGTTGGAAACTTTGAGAAGTGTATTGTCTATTTCAGGCAGTTGTTATTCCACATTTGATGGGGAGATGTTTGAAAAAGCTGCCGCGCTGCTCAGCTTCCAGCTGAAGTCTTTGCCGGCAAAGTATTGAGCATCTTTACAGGATTATAACGATTATCTTGAATATGGCATATGCATCGGCGATCCTTTTGAACATTTCTATCCAATGTCCGGTGGGAAGGTGCGGAATAATGGGCATAAGATGATCACAGCTTATCCGAGGTGGCCAGCCTTGTTGTAGAAATCAATATCCTATGTTGAAACGTTTGCTTCAACTTCAAAGATTGCCAAGCGTTGCCGAAAGCTCCTTCAGGGCAAAGCAAAAGTTTGACAGTAATTTGCCGTAATTAGGATGGAATATACTTAGCAGGCCCTATAATGCATGCTCGGATGGAGATTTGCGCCGACTAAACTATGATTGCTGGATTGCTATCGTAACGAGTCAAATTTTGTGTAATAAAACGGTGTATAGAGTCTTAATATTAGAATTAAAAAGTCCTTTGCCTTCTTTTAAAGAGTCCTTTGCCTTTGGTATGTATATAGTTTAAAAGTTTCAATTTACATTTGTGCTTTCTGTTACTGAATAAAACTGCGAATTAAAGAACGCCGGACAAATAGACGGTTGTCAAAAGTTTATTCTAGTGAGCTTCACTTTTTTCGGTAGAATTACTCTGTTCTATATTATACGAATAGGCTTTTAGGATTGTCTCCAATGCGATTTTCCCCGGAAATTAAGATGTAAGTGTAATTATGTGGTAGTAATTATGTGGTAGATCTTTTTTTAATTCAACCTTTATTGCTTGATTTCTTCAATTTCATATACTTGTTATTTTTAGTGTTTTACAACCTCCCCCCCCTGTAGAAATAATTTTCAGTAAGTGTTACCGGGGTGGCTCGTTATGCTCTCCCTATCAGCATAACCAATATAGAATAATCTAAGATGAAGAAAAAGTAATGATTATTTTATTATATGAACTGTTATGAACTGTTGTGCTTCAAATGTTTTAGCACAGTACAATTAAGTAAGTTACTTGAATGGTACATTGTAATTTAAGCCATTGTAAAACGAATATCTATATTGGCTTACTCTGTACGGGATTAACCGGTCTTTATTGGGCTAGCAAATACCATCAAATCCTGACTAATGAAGACGGCTCTTTACAGAAGCTTGGATGTTGTTGATCGGAATACAAAACATTTCAGATTTACGCTCAAACATAATTTAAAAGGGCCCACGTGAGTGTGCCCGACGTTACAATGCGGAACTTTTGCTCCTACATTTCCATTAATTCCACATCAAAAAATTTAAAAGATTCATTTTAAGAATATATATTACTGGCAGCGATCTGCCATCATCACTTCACATATTCATGTTAAATCTACCCTTCATCACTGAAATTTACACCGCAACCCAATTGTTTATATTTGAAAGTGATATGCACGCGAGACTATTGATTGAAAATGAATGAAAATATACGTGGATTCTTTCTCAGACTCTTTTTGTGCGGGAATCTTTCATAACCAGATAACCGCCTACGTGATAAATTAAACCCACGTTTGTCACGATGCAGACATTTGTCAAAATGATTTAGTACAGAAATTTTACTGTCGAGATGGCTTTTCGTTCATCTCACACACAAATTAAGGCGACTCCTAATTTTCATTAGAACACGCCGCCATGCACATCTGTTAGGCGGATTATATCACGAGACACTCCTCGGATATGATATTCCCGCAAACATGTATATAGGAAGTTTATCTATTTGAGGTTAACGATTTTAACAAGTGTCGTTGTATAATGTAATAGTGAGATGAATAGCGCTAATAGCGCTTTAATCATACACGGGTGTTGACAAAAATTAGCCTCTAACGGCCTATGAAGCGAAGTCTCGCCTGTCCTTCGCATTTTGTGATTAGAGATCAAGACATTCACTTGCAGAGATTCGTGAACAAGAATTGTTATATATATATCAGGATTTTTTGCCCAGTTTGAGTTTGTCATTTTGCTAAACAAAACTAAAAATTGTCAGTCGTCTTTGAAGTTCTTTAGTAAATATACCTCGGTCTTCGTTAGTACATATTTGTTTTTGTTTGATCTAGAATTTTCCGTTTATAGTTTCAACGCGAATGCAAAATACCGCCAGATATACGCAAGCTTACAAAGTTCCCGTGAATTATCCTTATTTTACGGAATTCATATTTAAATTACACGGAACTTTCAATATCCTAACATTTTTTGGCAAAACAACTCGTAAAATAAGTTCTTTCATGCGGACGTTAAAATTTATTCGCATTTTTTATTATACGAAAAACACGACTTTTAATGCTTGCCATTTTCTCACGGGATTTAAACACCAGGAAACTTCCTTTACAAAAAATATTTGCGAGAAGTGAAAAATACCGAGACAAATATTCTCAGCTACAAAATTTTAATAAAGTAAACAAGTCAACGGCTGGCTGACATATCAAAAGTCTAATTAATCTATAGTATAATGTTTGATCAAAGCCAAGGTTGGTCTCGAGAATTAGCTTAATGTTATGTAAACGTTCATGGAGATGTTTTGCTGAGGGTTAAAATCGGATGTTTGCGCTGGCTTGCTTTGCGATTTGGACGCGGAAAAGGATGTTGAAGGCCAAGTATACTGAGAGCCAGGAAAGGCGTTCTATGTAATGTGGTTGCAGCAGAATCAAGCGCCTTTCACCAATGACTTAATCGCTGAGTAAGACTCAAAAATATATCGCAGATTTTCTTCCTCTAAACACCACGAAAAGTATACTTTATTTAGCCAAAATATTGCAAACGTTCTCAAAATTCCGTTGTAGTTTTACATCTGTTTAGCTTGGAAAATGAAGTTTCATTGCTTTATATTTTTAACGAAACACTCCACTTCATTTGTAAATATTACAGGTTAGACCATATTGGCCGCTTAATTTAAAGTGCCCATAGTCAGTTCATGCGGGATATCTCCGGAAAATCTTTGACATGCATTTTTTGTACGAGGAATTTCAAAAAAGCACGATTTTTTTATTTGATACCCCTATCCGTTACACAGAATACGAAGAATGAATAACATAAGAGGTGCACATGATATCGTTTGCATTGTCTGGTCTCACGACGACAGATATACAGTTAGTTTGATTTGAACTGTGATTCCCCCATGTATAGAGAATCCTATAAAAAACATCAATGACCTTGACATCAACTCTTTGCGGCAAAACGCTAGATTTGAACTATTTTAGCTCATGAAGACTAAACAGAGTTGGTTTAAAATTAGTTGCAGCAAGTACTTGAACAGCCATAACAAACTATTCGGAAACTAAACACTTCGCCGAATTTTGACCCGTCCAGTGGGATTATTACACTATCACACTTCCTGAAGTAGTGATAAAGGATCCTATTGTCAGGTTATGTTATGCTTTATTCTAAACACCGAGATATCACGCGTCAAATAAGCCGTAAATACAGGACAGGCCGATAATAAAAGATAAATAATGTACGGGGATTGGATTGTGTGATCACATCTCTGCTTACTTGAAGTTCACGCCCGTGGTAAATAACCAGCGGTGTACGATAGTGAGCAAAAATGAATGCTTTTGTACATAGCTTTCTGCCAACATACTGCAGACCATCGAAGCGTGGAAACTCGACTTTCATAGCCGCAAGGGTTCATATCAAATGAATGTTACGCCACGCAGATTATCTAGGAATTATTTTTAATTGGGTAAAACCGATTTGTTTAATTAGTTTATAGGCCTACGGGTTTTTTTTTAATTCGAAAATTAAGTTTGTCTGAGCAGTTCGAATCAGGAAGAAATCCTCATAGAAAGCAATCTGAAACCATTATCCTCATGAGAGTGAAGATCGCTATATGCATGACGGCCTTACACGAGTCGTAACCAGTCGAGCAGAGTTGGATTATTTTTAGCTTTTGTTCTTGCGAAAATCGCATGCCATCTCGAACTGTAACTGCATGCCATCATTTCTCTATGCAAGGTATTACGTGATCCGATTTGCTTTCGAACTTTCGCAAAGGACTCATACTGAAAGTCAAGGTGAGAAACGATCAGTGAAATGCACAAGATAACAACATTGTGGCTGATAAAAGGCGGATAATATTACCGTGGTAAGTAACGTAAGTGGATTATAGGCGATACAAAAACATGGAATGGTAGAAATTTGCTAAAGAGCTAGGGATGACAACAACAACAACGCGAAAAACAAAAATCCTTTGCACCTATTTTGTTCAAACCGAAGTGATAATCACTGAACTACTGAGGTTACCACGTACTTAACTTTCTTTAAACAACTTCAAGTAGTAGCCAGTAAGAATAAACATAAATCATTCTCGCAAAAACGGCATCGAATGTTCTAACCGCTGGCATTGCTAAAGGCAGATTTCCATTCAGTGTACGATATATTCCTTTGTAATTCGTTCTTTCAAAATCTGTGCAGTAAAGCGGAGCGAATCTTGTTTTTCTCTGCTACACTTTTCACACATTTCGAATAAAAAGCCATAGTGAATTTGGTCGTTCAAGATCACGTATCTGTCATATGAATAGCTAAACCAGTTGCAGCTATGTTGAACTGATCGACTGAACTTAAAAAATCAAATTCGCTGTTTTGGCGATGTCCGAAGCGGTTCTACGCGGTTTTTTGTTGTTATAGCAGAAAAGGAAAATGATTTGCCAAACAATAATGATCATGACCAGCTCTATTCTTCCTAAATCTTAAGTTGCAGATGAATTGGGAGCATATTTTCAACATCATGGCCGCCATAAATAAATCTCACTACGGCGTGTTTATTTTCAGCCTTTGCACCATTGAAGCTTTAGAATTAATAGTAGGTAGAATTTATAGTTCCAGAAAAACTGGTAGAATTAATAGTTCCAGAAACGTGCCTATGCCACGATAAAGTTTTCAAGGTTGACTGAATTTTGTTTTGTTTTGAAAATCTTAACTTCTTAGTTTTACCAACGACGTATCAGTGACAGTTTAGCCGGAATAGAAAACCGAGGTTAATCTTCCTTAAATATTCCTAAGCATTTTAAGAGGACTTCATGGGCCCTAAAATAGTCATGATAAACTTATACCATTTGCGTTTTGGACATATCGTTTGCGTTTGCCTCTTCTTAGAAGATAATCTTATAAACATACATCTCAATATAGTAATATTTGATCTCATTTTTTTAAAATTTAAATTTTTTTTTGTAATTAGTTTTTACTTCATCGCTATTTTTTTTTGTAAATAGCAACACCTTAAAAAAGGCATCCTGAATCGACTTCAAATCAATATGATGAAACTGCGCTTGAATTAAGGACTGTCTTAAGAAGTTTCTAGCTTGAATTATTGTAAGAAATGTCCTTGATATGATTACTGAAAGCATTTGAATGCCAAATTCGCTAATGCGGAAGTAAAATAGCTTCGAAAGCCAAAGATTACGGAGGCATGAATGGAAGAAGATACGGCGTTAAGAGATAAACTTTTGGGCATGTCATGCATGCACTTATAGAAATGAATGGAGATGGGAAGATTTTGGAGCGGAGATAAAGAAAACAATAGTGAGAGAAGCGATAAGTCCGTGCCGGATGGAAATATGCCATAAGCTAGGGTAAAAAAGGTGTGATGAGAAAACAGAGGGAGGACAGAATACGTATTAGGAAATGAAAAGTTGAACAGATGAAACTCTAGGAAACTGGGCATAAACGAAAACAGTGAACACGTGTGGACGGAAGGATGAACACGTGAATGGATCAGTGCGTAAACGCTTCAAACGTTAAGGAAATGAAAGCGATGGAGAAGGATGTGGGCTTGAGGAATCCGGGAATTCGACAACCGGCGAGGCTAATAAAAGATGTAAAAAACAACAAAACAACGTGCGTGTGTATTTCATTCCCGCTGTGAGCACGGGCGAACTAAGCAAGCTGTGCGATCAGCAGCAAGATTACCTTGCTTAAATCATCTTCTGCCATCTGTCAACGATTCGCGAAACGTGGTACGAATAGACGCGATTTTAGCGCGACCTGTTGCCCTACACTTGATGACATGTAATTAAAGCTGTTAAAACGAGAGCGTTGACGATGATCCCAGCTCGACCTCACAGACTATAAATTAAAAACACGGCGCGTGAACAACAAGCATTTCGCCTGGACGACGAACAGAACGGACAACATGACCGCACTTTTGAGCGTAATCTTATTTTGCCTCTGGGGCTCAAGCATATCTCATCAGGAAGACACTCGAAGGACCTCGAAGTTGACAGAGGTTTGTGTGAAGTAGTGATTTTAAACCCGCTGCGCAGGGCTTCAATGCACTTGGCAGTCTAATGGTCGGTAATATCTGCTGTATTTACACTGCTAATATTCCCCCGGGTGTGTAGGTCTTTCCACGTTGTTTGGTTATCAAATAATACCCGTGTATTTCTTTGGGAATTCGAATGGTGCGTATTGAGAAGGCACGCGCCCGATGTTACAAAATGTTAACGCGCTATGATCATTTGAAAGCGCTCGTTTGCATGATTATGGTGGAACGCGTAGGTTTCCTTGCCCGTCTGCTTGATCAGCATTCTTATTTACCTAAAAGATTTTGAAGGAACTTGTGCGAACGCAGCAGTTTATGTAAAAACGCTATCGACGTGAAATTCAAGCACAAAATATCACGTTTCCGTTTGAAACAACTTATTCGCATATTTATAGCAGTTACGCACATATGCGGGGATTTCATGGGGAAATTGTCGAAGTTGGGATGCTTAGTTGGCATTTATTGCCAAATTGTCGAAAGTTGGCATAATAAGGCAAAAACCGTAACTTAGCCATCAGAATAAAGTACGGGGATTTATACTTTAATAAGCTAATCAATTGCGCTAAGCTTAAGTTAGATTGTACTACAATGCTTTTTGCACAGTATAAGCCGAAAAGCGCAAAATTCGCAATTTATGTTAATGAGTGCGCAAATGAAGAAACGTAAAATTGCTGATAGCTACGAGTATTTACATTCGAATCAATAATATTGATTGTAACGTTGATAACACCAATTCGATGCAATTCGAATTTGAGATGACGCACACGGTACGTATCAAATGAGCAAATGTTAAATTGACACATATAACATGTGTTCTCGCGTGAGTGAGCATTTTTATAGAACGGAGCGCGCAACTCCTGTTGTTGTTCTCCCTGCGTGGAAAGCATGCATACGAAGCAAATCGTTAAGCGAGTTGGCGTGAGCTTAGATCAGACCTAAAGCTATAAAACCTTCAAGTGGGTGATGATTCTTGTGATAAGGAAATATTTATAACTCTTAGAAAGGCACTCGACTCGAGAATATGGGCGGGACTTTTCTCCCAGAAACAATGAATCGCTCCTCGATCATTCACAATTCAAGGAAGGAATCAGAAAGGATTCACAATTTTTGAAAGCAATGTTGCTTCGCGTATCTTTCAAAGTATTGAACAAGTTCTTCCCAGAAGTTGGGATGGCACGAATATTTGGAAGTCACATAGATTCAAGCTCGCTTTAGTATCTCATTACATTTTCAATTCGTGTTTTCATTGGGTAGCTTAGGATTGAATTATCTGCATGGCCCGTTGAAATATATTTCAAATGATGGGAGGTTCCTCTGTATTTTACCCGCGAATTGACATGTTTTGTCTGGAGTTGTTGAACTGGGATATATATAGATATATAGATAGATTTGAATGGTATCAACCGAAAAGAGAACTCGTCAACGCGATTGTCGATGTCACTGCAAAAATCTGTCGAAACTTTTGTGCATTTTAGACCAGATTTAGGTTAATACCTTTCTTGCATTTACTTGAAAAAGATGTGTTTTTACTACATCTGTCCATATCGCACTATATAAAATACATAACACAAGAGAGTTTTATAACAGGGTAATGTGCAGGAACATAGGATCTAAGCAGAAGTCCCACTTGGTAATTCAAAAAAAACTTTGTTTTGAATTCAGCGATTTAGGCATGAAATGATATATTCATCCTGCGTGATTGAAAGATTTTTCAATATACCTCAGCGGCTAATACAATTACCCGTGTTTATTAGTGCGCGTGATTTATAGCATGATGCAATTCCATGGTATGCTATAACCCTGCATTTGGCGACAGATAAACTGCACGGTAAAATATTGGTTGCCTGCGATTTATGGTACTCCGACATTTTTGAGCTTTCCTTCGTTGTATAACGCTCAGGCCCGGCCAGGCTCGCAAATCCTTGTGGAACGGCCTGTTTCTTCGTGCGCGCGCATGTCCACGAATTATTACCCCAACTCAGCGCTTGAAAGTAAAATCAGCGTGGTATAAAAACATCGTTTATACCCAGGCTTACCCAACTTCTCTTGAATTCCCATAATCGAGTACTTGTGGTAGCCGTGAGGTCAATAACATAAGCCTGACAAGTAATTAGCCATTATAAGTCTATAACCTAAAGTCATTCGCATCTTTCGAAACCTGATGAATTCTGTTCGTATTGATGTCGAAATTCGCGTTCAAAAAAAATTAAAAAATGGAAAAAAATCAAAACTATAGCCATTAAGCAATTTTGGGGAAAAAACTGCCGTTTGACTAAAAGCCATATGTTCGGCTAGGCGCAAAATTTGCAAACTATAACAACAATATATATACATAAATACATTAGTACCACTCTCGCCTATTTCTTGTTCAAATATTGCATACCTTTAGCGGTATTCTAAGGTGTTTGTGGCTTATAACAGTTCTCAAACACGCATACTTATTTACAATATACTAAAATAACACTTAAATTTGGTGTTTGCCCGAAGGCTTTATAGTCGAGCCATGAAGTTTTGAAGTATTGCAAGTTTTACTTATGATAAAGCACGCGTCTTTGAATTTTACCGTGTACATTTATACACGAGTATAAACTCATAGTTTGTACGAAGCCTTTCAGAAACATCGCATGTTATTTTTGATAAATAGCTTTGCGTGGAGTCCCCGTACGCGTTTCCTTCGCACGTCCCCTTTCGTGTAGACTGTAGACAAAGGAATTATTACAAGATATTTAGGTTTCGTGTGTTAACTTTTTTATTTTGTTTCGCATCCGAAAACTCGGATGACACTTTCAAGTACCCACGTAAAAGTACTCACTGTAAAAGTATTATCTACTAAAGTACTCACAGTAAAAGTACTATAAACGCAGTGTGTATGACCCCAGTCACTGCATCAGTGGAAGGCTTAGTACATATGACATTGCCTAATGTGGTGATTTTGGGATTATTACTCGCTCACTGCGACTGCGCGAGAAATGAAGTGAATGAAGAACATTTGAAGCAAACTCTCTCAGTTTGCGAGATTATTGTTTTAAGCACCAGAAGATTATGTAAAAGTACTCACAGCTATGACGATTATAATTAGCATGTGAATGTATACTTAATAATGCACATTCATATAATCCCATTTGTGTTATGTCGCTGTACTGAATGTATGCAATTAAAAAATACAGATTGATGTGACTTTTTCGAGGACTTGAACAGGTAAAAGACCTCATCAAGTCACGGATGTTGCAATTAACGCGGACCACACAATCTTTGATGTACATTGTTAGCCGCACATGCGATTCCTTCTACCAATTCTTTTTAACTGAAGCTAGGAACCTAAAGGCTACTATTAGAATATATACTTCGGAAGAAAAAGTTCTCTTAAGCGTTTCTACCAAGTATATAATTGTTGGAACAAAAAGGGTGGGGTAAGGTTTTCAGGTGTGGCCCTGCCCTTTTTCACCCAAGTTGTGGGGCTAGGCACCTATTCGTCCCGGCATGAATGCAGATAATAAGCAATACATATTCCACATATGTAACTTGTGACATGAAAATGTAAAAAAAATACCGCATGGACACGGGTCCTCGCTAAGATGACCTCGATCTTTGGCGAACAACGCGTGCAAGGGCCATAGTTATAGGATATCACTCCCTAAAAATGTGCATTTAGCTTCACTATATATTTTTGTATGAAAATGCGTTCATATTTTCCAACGCCCTGTCTGAGAATGTATCTGCGTACATCGCTACATATTACTTGCCGTGCGTAAACAGTTTTGCAAATGCTCTTGGCATTTTTGATTAATTGGAATTGTAATTATCAGGGATCAGCGAATAACTCGTGTGATTTGATCTTTAATTGCGTTCAGTATATATAGTTGTTTCTATTTTTCTAAGAATCATCGTAACACCTACAATTTAAATGACGCTTTACCAATTACAGCTCTAATGAGTCGTTTTACCAAGTAGAATTTTAATTGCGCACGCATTTAACAAACTGCGCGCCGCTGAAGGACGCGTTTAAATCGACGTACTATTGCGAATGCGCGCTGTGACGCACTTATCTCCTTAATCCAGCGCACGAAATTTGTCAAGCAGGAAGAGCTCATCGCATTCATGGGAAGTTCTGGATACATATTATCCATTGTCGTTTTAACCTTTTCTGTCAGCACCACAATCCAAAGTTAAGTTTATTCAACTAGCAAAACCGAGATGGAACTAATTTGGAACAAATGCGTTTACAAGATGGCTGGCAGCTAATGGGAAAAACATGTAGGCGCGAGCGACATACACAGTTTATCTTTTTTTAACAGCAATAATTACTTATTTCCCGAGTTTGTTAATATTATACTATGCATAGCTATTGCCAAATAGGACCACAGAGCAGTAGTGGAAATCCTTAAGAAACTTGAGTTATTAATTACGAACAATTAGTCAATTACGTGTCACAGTGTATGGGATAAACAACACGCACGATTACTTCATTGATCTTTTCATTGTATTAAATAAATATTGTATACAAGAAAGTAAAACAAGACAGGCAGCGTTTCATCATCTATTTATAAATGTTCAAAATTGGTGAAGTGATTCAAAAGTAGCCTCGTATAAAATTTCGTTGTATCATCAAGAGGCTTTGGTTCAGCGCCAGTGAGATTTTGACTGGATATGACTGGATTTTTAAAAAAAAATTGGAGGATTTTTTGGCCTGTAAAGCGAGTATTTTAGTTGAGGTCCATTCGGGCAATTCAAACATTGATGTAAGTTCATGTAACAGTCAAAATTCGATCAATTTTGTTTCCATTTCGCTTCGTGATATTTTGAAACCACATTTTTTGAAACCACATTTTTTGAACATAGAAGTGTTGAACAAATTGAAAACTTCGTATGTCACAACTGCATGCCTAATTATCCGCCATGATTTATAGGTCTGAATCAGCTAATTGATATCAATTAAGTACTATTCAATCCCGGAAAAAATAACTGTTGTTTCGAATTTACATTCCACGTTCACCGGCTTTGGACCAAAGTTAACCGATTCATTCTCACGCGATAGCTTTATCGGCTTCACAAGTTGTCCTTTTGAAACGTTTGGTTCCCTTTCAAATCCATCGCGTTTGCTGCACTTGAAACAGAAACACAGACACTTAAACTGCTCCAAATGTAGATATGACCTTCTGACGGTGGTAATGAACTTCGTAAACAGCGAGCATTTGTACCAAATAAAGGGCCACCGGGATGTATTATCCACGCGTATACCATACGATGTCTTACCAAACGTGATAAAATATCACCGCTTACATAGACCTCCTGCTAAATGAAAATACGGCAATTCAAATCCAAATCATTTCGACTGCCAGTTATAGGTTTACCGCGAACGAGTTACTTGCTATTTGCGCTTCGCTTTCCATATTTGGAAATTTGGCTGAAAATTTTGGAATATTTTGCGACATTTATTCATTTAACCCGCGCAACAAGCGTCGACCACCGTGGACTGGTAATTACCTGCTAGATTATTGGTTTAATGGCGCACTGATTGGAAACAGTTTGTGAAAGTTTGCAAGTGTGTGGGCTTGCTGGTCGCCTAACTACGATTTTTTAATTGCAATCCTTCATCCAATCGTTGTGAATAAAGCCAAAGATCTTACTAATTCACTGATAACAAATATATGTCGCTATCAACATGTTGTCTTTTTTACAACTGAAAATCCAATTTCTCAAATATTACCTTGGCAAGTGTTTGATTATATGGAAAGCCCATCTTCAATACAGCGTTTCAGACGTCCTTAATTTGTTACTGTCGAAACCGACTCCAATTTTGCAAAAAAATGTTTTTTAAGACTTTTTAAGAGTGGCATGTCGAAAATCATTAGTACAAGTGGCGCCACCAGGAATTTTTTTGTAAAGGGAAAATTCCAGAACGCTCTGGGATTAATTACATCTTTTACTCCGCAACTTCAGTAAAACTTTCCATTTTTAACAACCTCGCTTCTCAACCTTCTTTCATGAAGTATACAGGGGTTGAAAACAAGGGCGCATATCGCATCCAGGGAGGAAGGAAATTGAAGGGATCTTCTTCCTCCTGCTATCTTTTCGCGACAAAAAGCTCCGAGCCTGCGGTTTTACAGCATCGAAAAACGGTGTTTCCAACCTTGTTCACACTTGTCAACAGCACTGGACAGTGTCGTTGAAAATAAAGAGGATGTAACGATGTTGTTCAATGCTGATGACAACGGTGAACAATATGGGCAGCACAGCAACATAATTTAAAGATATTCACATCAATATTGCAACAAACTAATCGATCACTTTCAGGCGTGAATATACTTCATGTAACCCTTAATCAAAATCAATTTGTACCTGTAATTAATTAAATCCCCTGGTGTCATATATTATCCCTCTGATCCTACCATTACCTTGACTATTTTTACGCATTATTTTCACAGCGTCTTGTTGATAACAAGAAGATAAATCACTCACATTGCGGCATTGAAAAAACTATGCACCAGGAAATGTTTTTATTGCTCTGAAACGTATGCATGCTGGTACCCTAGGAAACCTGTCGTTTTTTCTATTAGCTAAATTGCTAACACACTGTGTCGCATTTAGATACCTTGCTGAGGCCTCAATGGGTTAAAATTAGGTTATACAAATGCATATGTGCATATGAAAACAACGCTAATTTCCAGTAGCGTAGCCAGCCTGTCGATTTGTCCCGCTATGCTAATATTTTGGTGTTCACTGACTGTGAATTAAAACAATAGATTTCTAAAGACATGAATGATTATAATAACTCAAAATTTACATAGCGGGACAAAATCGTCAGGCTGGCTACGCCACTGCTAATTTCTGCTTTATTTGTTTATGTAAATAATCCTATAATAAGTCTAAGTGAAATTGTTTCCAAAGACAAAGTCGTTAGATTTGCATGCAATCAAAAGTCGATTTGAAATGAACATTTCAAAGATACGTGTACTTTTGCTCTAATTTCCAAAAATCCTAAATGCATGCAAACGCCATGTTGATTAATCAGTTTCACAAAAGAAGATTAGAGTTGGAATTTCATCCAAAATTGCATAAATTCTTTTGTCTTTGACCTTCTACACACTTGCCAAATATGCAATCAAAATTCTTTTAAATTTTAACTACATTACTACTAAAGTTTTGGAATACACATTTTGAAATTTCAGTGACATGCATTTTGAAAATTCCTATTCACAAATATGATGATACAACTAAAGCAGAAAATTGCTTCAAGCACGATTTTTACCTTAGTGCAAGACACGGGGGGTCATGACAGCATATTTTACAGGTATATTGATTGGCTCAGCAGCTCAGTCGAGCCAATCAAATTTCATGTAACATGAAACCTTTCGCGTTCTTATGTGATTATGGGAATACCTAGACTATACTCGCTTACTTACTTGTAGAATACCGTGATGATCCAGTTTTTAAAGATATCTACCAAATATCCGACTACCCAATCGGCAAACATACTGCAACTTTGCAACATATTTGGTTGCTTTTATTCCAAATAAATTCATTCCACAGAATTATATCGCAATTATTTCAACATTGGCAAATATTAAAATGCTTTTCTATAAAAGATTAGATAAAAATAATACATACATTGTGTTTGAAGTTTTGAAATCATTGACATATGTACGTCAATAATTGAGATTTCAAATTTTAAATCGCCCGCCATTTTGGTTGTTATTGGGTAGAGCCGCTGAACGAAATGATCGGGCTGAGATTTTGGCGTAGTTTATGTGAATAGGAAATTCACTGCATGTAGGTCCGGTATGTATTTTTATGTAATAATTTATGCAACATTCTCAGAAAATCAAGGTCAGGGGGGTTCTTAGACTACCACCAAAGAAGAGGAGGTCAACCTTAGTACCCTCTTTTTAATTGCTGCTGCCAATGCCGGAAATTTATGAGTGGAACCTATGTAATTTTATCATTTACCCGTACTTATCCTTGTTTATATCTTCTCCAGGCGCCCGTTTCAAACAGAGCAAGTACGAGCTGTCTTTCAGATGCTGACTGCATCAGAAATGAATACTGTCACGATTTTTATCGAGTTTGTCTCCGGCAAAAAAGACAAGGAACGGCAGCGCCCGTGAGCAACTCTCGAAAGGGATGCTCTGAGGATTCGCACTGCAAGATGACGGAGTACTGCCACAATTTTTGGAAAATATGCCTCCCGGCCCAGGCCGTTCAGGTGAAACGGCCACCGACCCAGCGACCATCGTGGTACTGCCGAACCTCCAAAGATTGCCGAATAACTGAACAATGTCACAGGCGTTTCCACGCGTGTTACACGAGGCCCGCGATGTCCACTGTTCGACGAGATGTGGGGGGTTCTCGGAAATGCGTGAAGACAAGCGATTGTGGGCAAAACTTCTACTGCCATGATCATTTTAAAATTTGTCTCAAGAATGTAACGACGGTCACAACGGTGGCAAAACCGAAAACAAAAACAACAAAACCCTGTGGTTCTGGTGCTCCATGCCCGAACGGGATGCTCTGTCATAACTTCTGGAATATTTGCTACATGCCCCCACAAGTTGTTACCACACCACCGAAAAACAAAACAAAGCAATGCCAAATTGACAGCGACTGTAGATCTGGCGAGTTTTGTTACACCATGACTATAGGTCAGGTAGTCGCAAGACTACGGCGGAATGTTCAAAGCGTCTGTCTGCCTAAGAAGTCTCCAAAGAATAAGAAAGTTGCAGCATGTAAAACAGACGCTGACTGTGGGCCTAATAAATGTTGTTTGGGAAATCTTGGTGTGTGCATGGCGTATAAATTGCCTGGAGAAATGTGTCTCATGGCGAAGGTATGGTTTGTTTAATACATCATTACAAACGAACTTTTTTGAAAACATCGTTGCTGTTGTTATGATGATGTGTATTTGCTCTCGTTGTTGCTTTTAATCGTGGTTGATGTCATTGTTGACTTGTTGTTGTTGACGTGTTGTTGTTGACTTGTTGTTGTTGTTGTTGTTGACATGTTGTTGTTGACTTGTTGTTGTTGACTTGTTGTTGTTGTTGTTGACATGTTGTTGTTGACTTGTTGTTGTTGACTTGTTGTTGTTGTTGTTGTTGACTTGTTGTTGTTGTTGTTGTTGACATGTTGTTGTTGACTTGTTGTTGTTGTTGTTGACTTGTTGTTGTTGTTGACTTGTTGTTTTTGCTGTTGACTTGTTGTTGACTTGTTGTTGACTTGTTGTTGTTGTTGACTTGTTGTTTTTGCTGTTGACTTGTTGTTGACTTGTTGTTGACTTGTTGTTGTTGTTGTTGACTTGTTGTTGTTGACGTGTTGTTGTTGTTGTTGTTTTGATGTTGTTGTTGTTTTGATGTTGTTGTTGTTATTCAGTGTAATACTATATCTGTTATCGTCCCTGTGGTCGTTATTGACGATGATGCATGGATGTACTAGCTGGTTCAGTTTTCGCAATTCAATTGTATAGTTCATACAAATTGCTACTGTCTGTTTTATTTACCATGCACTCTCTTTATATCATATCATAGAACGTCGACTTCGTGTGTCCTTGTACCAGTGGATCGTATTGCAAAACTAAACAGAAATGGGTTTCCCCAAGAAGGATCATCAACAAGATGAAACTACCTCAAAAAGCAGCGAACCATCTCCTGAGACGAATTAATAGAAAGAAACATAAAGCTGGCAAATGTACGCCGTCATCTTTCTGAGACGAAAGCACAAAGTGGTTGGAAAAGAAATGTAAATAGATATATAACTTATTCTCATGCAATACGTTCAGCCACCACCGCGATGGAAAAGCGTCACATGCAGAAGCGCGTTGGACGATAACATTAATGTTTGCCTCAACGTCTTCAGCCTTTGCACCGACATTCAATAGACCTTCCTCATGATGACGTCGAACGCGGAAAGCCTAACGTTACACGAAATTTGATTGGCTCCTAATTTTTGCGGAGCCAATGAAACTTCCTGTAACTTTAAGCTTTCCTCGTTTGACGTTTTCACGAGAAAAGACTATTCTCTGAAAAGTGTTTATCACATATTCAGCACGCACAATGGTGAATAGAACCATCTGTATGTTTACTGTATCATAAAACATTGTAGCTTAGACGAAATCAAACCACTACTTTGCTGACGATGGATAACTTCTTTTGCAAGGATTCTGATTTGGTTTACAACATTACGGCAAGGGTGCCTATGCATGGCTGTACTTATATTGAGCCTATTTTCAGATGTATTTAATTCGTAACTAACATTTGAATGTAGATTAAATCGCTAATCAATACTATATACATATTGTTGAAATATACAGTGATACCTTGATAAACTATATGCAACATATTGTACTGATTTATTGCATTGTTTTGCGATAACCAATTTCTGTGTAAACCACTACGTGTTGGTAGAATGCATATTATATAAAGAACTATCGTTTGCATGAAGAATTCACTTCATATTTACTGAAAAATTATCAAAATAAAATCTCTAACTTTTTGTCTTAGCGTTGACTTAAATAATTGTCAGATGCTATATTTATTGAGTGGACTCTGTCATTGAACATTACAGCTACGCACATGTTGATAGAGGCTCTGAGAAGCCCTAAAGATGTTATGGGCAAAACATTTCTAGCAAGCCGCCATGTTTATAGCGATGACAGGAAACCTGGGAACGAGTATGACAATGTAGACAACATTTTGATGGTAAAACCCATCTTTGGAGTAAAGTTATATACATATGGCTTTTTGAGTTCAAACTTCAAATATTCTTCATTCTTTATCTCCAAGAAATCGAAGGAAATGCATCTTCAATGTCAATTAAGTGTTTTCATTTTACGTGATAAAACATATATATATATATATATATATATATATATATATATATATATATATATATATATATATATATATATATATATATATATATATATATATATATATATATATATATATATATATATACATATATATACATATTTTCACGGCTTGCACAAAATTATTTTGTAAAATGATTTCGCTAATGTTTTGATCAAAAGGAGCGTTTTCGAAACATTCTTGACTAATCTTGTTTTCTCACAGTTTACATTAAGGCAGGAAATTGAATTATTTAAATGAACATACGCCTTACTCGAATATTTGGAATTTTACACAACTTGTCGGCAAGGAAAGGCTCAATATCAATAATTACAATAACAATTATTAAACATAATCCAAATTTTCCGTTAGCATTTGCCATTAGTGATATTGCTGAGTATATATATACCGGCTTTGACTATTGCGGCATGAAGTGGAAATTTTATCGTAGCTTTCATCAATATTTTGTACTAAGTTTTTGTGTCGATGGGTTCAGGTTTGTAGTTGCAAAAAGAAAGATTTAAATGCCATGCAGAGGTGCATGGATTTTGTCCATGGTCGTGTCGCAAAACACTTCAGTTCTCTTGTTTGAAATGTTAATATGATTGATGCGGAAATGGATTGACGCAATATATTGATTTCTTAATAACATGGAAATGAGCAATTAAAGTCAATATCATGCACTTATAATAGTGTAATAAACACTGGATCAAATCTTTCGAATTTTGAATCGTCTAGCTTCGAATTGGCGCTGGTTTCGGCAAAAGATAATTGCGGAGGGAACATATCAGCGTTGCATTCCTAGCTGCAATTCTCTTTATCCCCCCTTTTTCCAAAGAACATTGGGACTCAAAACAATATCAGCAGACATATCTAGTCTGGGAAAGAAAGAAAGAACGATCATGTAATGGATATATTAGTCAATTAATTGAGATAATGCATGTTTATGGATACTTCTCGATCGGGACACAAAGTTTGCGAAGAATTTTTCCATGCAGCGTCATCGTCACATGAGTGTTTACAATTGGGCCAGATTAGACAGATTATACATGCGCTAAAATGTATCTTTTGAAATAGTATCAATTTGGATTGAGCGCATGAGTTGCGTTTTTGTGCCTCATCAGTCGAAAATAGAATTGAGCCCTTTGAGGTTTGCCGTGTGTTCATATAACCATGTCTCGTAAGATTTTTGGCAAGTCGATGTATCTTAATCATTGAGATAAGCAGGGTGAAAACACAATAGATAATTATAGGGTGACCTTATCTTATACATACTCGAAATTTCTTCCTGCAAAATGCGACGGTGATTTCGTATTCTCTGTCTGTCTGGTAATGATTGTGTCTGTCGAAATTTTGCGTTTAAGGACATAACTGAGCGAAACCATAAGTTCGGCCAGGCAAATTTGTGGTAGGTTGCTAAATGTAGCAGTTTTTCATAGTCATTGTATGCTGACTATGACTGATTTCATGTATGTTAATTCAGTTACCCGTGTTATAATGACTATTTTGTGTGTCGATATTTGTAAATTATCTCATTATATGCTTGCCCATGTATTTGTGCTTTTATTAAATAACATTATATATACCGTGTTGCATGAGACAAGAAGTGACAGCCAGCGATATAAAAAGTGATTGTAATAAGAAATTTTCGCGTGAATTTAAAATGCATGTTCGCGGCAATATCAAATTGGAATATTTAAAAGATACCACTTTAGCCTGTCTTTAGCTCAAAAATTATATATTATTATTATTTCTCTCATCATGTAATGAAGGCTATCAAGGCTATGAAGCGAAATTCAAAGCACGGTACTGCATGCTAATCAACTGTCAAATATTTAAACCTTGCTCTTTTCACCAGGCCACCAGCGGCAGTCCCCGTGTAAGTACACACACCTTTAGGACGTTTAGCAAGGCTATAAACAAAAGTTCAATTGCGAAGATTTAACCAAACCCCGAGAGCAGTCTGAATGAAATCTCAAAAAAATTGTTTTTGGCTTCTACTTGATTTAACAGATTTTTCATATATTTCTTCATTTGTACTGTTTCTTTCAGAATAATATTTGAAAGGTAAACCTATTCGAAACGGCACAGCATGCAGACTTGTCTAATCGTAAACAATTCTATATTCCTTGCTGTTCAGGAGCATAAATTATTTGGGCATACGTGCTGCATGGGTAATGTGGATTACAAAACTCAAAAACACCGGCGGATTACCTGTTCGCGGCATCAATAAATTGATCTGTGACTTAAATATATTGGTTCGTGAGAAATTGGTGCCGACAAATTCAGGTGTCATGCTATAATTACACTCCCGGCATAAAAATGTTTTGTATGAGCAAAACAAAAACTTTATACTGGCCCAATGGTAAGCCTATTGTGAATGCAATATTTTTTGATAGATTCTTTATTATAAAGCATTTTAGTTGTTTAGATTAGCTATGTTAGAAATATATAAATCAACCGTGGTTAAAATTATCTGTAAGTATTGTATAATGTACCAAAAGTTCCCAAAAATCACTATACAATGAGTTTTAAAAACTATCATGCAATACAGGTTAGGTGAAAAATATAAATAAAGCTATAAATAACAGACTAATTTTCTCTGCATGTCTAAAAATATTGTGAAACTTTAGTTTATACCAGACTGATTTAATGATTTGTCAGATAATTTAATAATGAGGTATGCATATATATATACGAGGTCACCAGAAAAAATAGTTCGTCGTATTGAAAAATTGAACTGACAAGTTCTATCCATGTGACTGACATGAAGTATTCAACCCACTGTATGGAAAAGACGATTTGCGTGCATTCGTTCCTTCGTCGTTATGATTTTCTAGGCTCGTATTGCATGAGAACGTGAAATATTTGCTGTGTCAGAATGCATGCATGTATACAAGGAAGTGCCGTGAGCAAGCTAGTAGCTAGGTTACTAACTGGAAGCATCCTGGCATGCATGGTCTAATATATACATCCTTTTACTAAAACAAAACCATCCACAAAAGGAAAACAGTCCACTAACACTCACGTTGGTCTATAACCAGCTATATTGGCATACCAATTATGTACGAGTCGCAAAAAGAACCTTAATTGATGAAAGTGCTCTGTTATACAAATTTATGATGTGATTAACCATACGGTAAACTTATACAGATTATAAGTTTCAAGGCAGTTCCATATCTAAAACTTCAACCCCACCCGACTATATACAATAATAACGACTTTGAAAGGTTGAAAACAAATTATGATGAAAATGACAGCCCAACATGGAACTATAGAACATTTCAGTAACAAAAATAGGTTTAAATATTTTTACATCGCCAAGGATACCTTGACCACGTGACGTGCTCATATTACCCTTGATTCACCCCTTATCCCGGCATCTAAACTATTTCGAAGTTTCGACTTTGGAATCGGCGAAAGAGCGAGAAATTTTAGGCAGTTAAAGAAAGGTTTCACTATTTAAAGTGATGAAAACATAAAGATGACCAAAATGCATGGTTTGTTTAATTCCATACTGGTAGCTATAAAAATAGATCTGCGTTGTTTTTTGGCGCATGTTTTTACATGTTTTAAAACTGATATTTGAGGAGGCACTAGAGTACACTTTCATATTACTAGATATTTCAAGTATCCTTTAAGGATATTATACAAATAACACTGCTTGTCGTCCATATATGAACTACAAGAGCAAAGTATGTTTCCTGAATAGTCATGTCATTGTCAATATTGAATGTCAAAATTCTGTTGCATAATTGAATGGCAATGTAAGAATGTCAATATTGTGCTGAAATATGTAAGAATCATTATCACGATTCAGGTTTACCCAAACCTGTTTTAAAATAAGATAGCTTTTCTTACAGTTTCGATTTGTTTAAATTCATTTGTGCCACGATTAACCAGGTAATATTCAATACTTTCTTTCGTTCAGTTTGTCTGTCAACAATTTGCCAAAAAAAGATTACATTCTTTGATGCTCGTGTCGACCAAATTTGGATTAGAAATCTGCATGAAGTTCGCTAATTTGGTTATATGCAAGTTTCTGTCACGAGGAACTGAACCAATTCAAGTTCAATATTCTCAAGAGGTGCAAAACGGTTACAAAAGCACAAAAACGATTGTATATCAAAGAATCTTTCAATGGATAAAGCGTATGTAACCGCATATGCGTAAATAAAAATGGATTTCAAAAACACCGACTTCAATTGCACTTGAAATGTACAACTATATTTAACAAGATGAGGAATAAGATTAACATAAATAATACTGAGAGTGTTAGAGAAATATTTTAACAAATGCTCGGAATGCCCTCTGAGGAAAATTAAAGAAACTTTTAGAAAACCAAAATGAAACTAAAACCTTTCCAGCTCATTTGGGTTCTTACATAATGAACTAGTTTTGAAACGTGGACTGCAAGGACGTTAACCTTCACTTTCTCTTCAATACTGAATCAATTTGAGAACGATGCTCGCTTGAAGATATTCCAATTTTTCTAATCTGTTACCTATAATTTGCTCCAAATTACAGAAACTATAGCTATAATACTCGTGCAGTGTCATATATAGTTGCAACCTTGTATGGCAGATTGCCAATGGCAATCCCTTGAAAACATTGTGACATTTGATAGCAAGTGCCCACAACAAGGCCAGGTCGACTTGATCTGAACACATGCACAAGGCGTCAACGAATCTCAACCACAGGTGGCCCATACGTAATAACATACCATACAGGACAGTGAACTCATAAACAATATCACGGTAATCTGGACCACCAACGGCTTGATTCATAATTCTAACGTTTTGCACGAGTTTCCTGCTTACTCCTCCCATGGCTCCGAAATCTTTCCGCATTTTTGCTCACCAAAGTCGGTGTGACGCAAGTTGGCTAGAAATCGCACTAACTGACGATGCATCATTGTAAAAGCCGACACGTTTTCATTCTATTTTGGCTGTTTTCGTCGGTCATTTAAGGTCGAAAATATAAAGACTGCTCAGTGAACTGAAGCTTCAAATAAGTGGATTAATGTTGTTTCGAGATCAAAAACTTTTGTATAACCGTTTAATCCCAGTATCCTTCAGATAACAACCGAAGCGTCCTAAGTAAATCAACAACTTAACTCTTCAACAAATGACTATTTAAAGAAAATGAACTATAACGATGACTAATATAAAACTGTATGCACACTTCCTACCAGAATACATCAAGATATCACATACAAATTTAAGAGTTCTTAATCTGTTCTGACCCTCTCATATTAATTTCATGTTTTTGGTTTTTGGAAAGGCTTCTCGTGTTCAGTTGTACAAATGGTCAGCGGTGTCGTAAACATCACGATTGTGCATGCATATTACTCTTGAAACATGTTAAAATCAAACTTCAAGTAGTGAAAGTTTTAGTATCTTAACTAGGTTTATACGTTGATGATAGCCTGAAGTGAGACGTAGTATTGACGTAAGAAAGGGTGCTCTAACATAAGGACATTTTTGAAGCTGAAAGAAAAAACATCTAAGCACCACTTTCCTCTATCTTTGTTTGAAAATTGTGAGACTCGATTTGAAATATCACTGGCGCTATTGTCAAACAGCTCTTTTAGGCTTGCCATAATGTGCCCCTATGATATAGCCGACTCATTGAACCGCCTTTTCGAGACGAAAACTTCTTTCACGGGTTGTTACACTCCCACGAAAGAAAGATGTGACAAAATGATCCTTTTAAAGAGAATGACTAATCGTTATTAACATGTTTCGAATCGACCCAACACGCAACCAATCTAAGTGGACCCTTGAATCCGTGGACTGTGTGAATTCAGAATTCTCGAAATAGTATGAAAAACGTTGATGGTTCATATTCTATCAAGTCAGCTTGGTTCAAACTGACAATGAAACAAATTTTAACAATTCAAAATGTGGCTAAGAGCTTTTTACAACCTGCATGCGATGTATTTTCATGCACCCGTAGAAATTTCGAGATTTACTTTAGTCTCAATCAGTCTTAGATATCCAAACTATAATTGCATGGACACTCCATGTGAAATTACATATAATTTTCGCAGTAGGTATAGGTATTATGGACACAGATATTTCACGGATGGTGATAAAACTTGTCGAATTATATATGCACTCATGCTCCTAAAATTTGACTGCAATATCTGTGATGCAGTCGAACACACGAGCAAGGCTGTTATTGGGTTTTTTTTTGCTAAACCCTTCATTCACGAGTGTCTAAGCTTTCGCAAGAAGTATTAGGCATGAGAATAGAACTTGTAAATTCTTTGTTGTGTGACTCCTCTTGAAAAAAACGTGCACGAAGCCTCGTTTAAGAAAGGGAACTTTGGAAGCAAACGATTACAAGGGTTCATATTATATACTTCTATTTAAAGAACAGATTTAAATTCCTAATACGTGTTTCTCTTTAGGGGTTTTCTTTAACGAAATCAAGATTACCTGATGTTATCATTTTAATAATTCTTTAAATACCATCATTGAAAGAGAAATACGTATTGTGCGTTGCGGCATAATAGCTATGAACGAAACCTTCCGAGTAAAATATCTTCACTTTGAAAGATGTGGAACCTTTAGGAGGTATATATCATGTTGTACAAGTTGTCTTTCGATAAAACAGTTTGCTTGGAGTAATATAACCTTGGTAACAGTATATTTCATATAATGAGAGCTATTAGAGCTATCGCAAATCTTTATTTAGGCTCCAGTGCTAATCGAATTGCTGTCATGCAATCGACTTTCATGACACGGTATGGCATGAAATGCTGACTGCAAAATGCATTTCCGAACGGATACAACATGACATAACAACTTTCTATAGAGGAAAACGTTGTTGTCATGTGATTGGAAATTGAGTAATATCGGCCAATCGTTGCTTTTTCCCCTCAAGATATCCCACGGTGTTTGGCAAGTCAAAAACCAATACTAGCCGGTGATGTATAGAGGAAGTGTTATTGCAGAAGTTCTGCGTCATATTGATTTTATCGACTTGAATTGAAGTTGGATTGTCTTAGATAAGTGTTTCAAATGTTGCATACATCGATTATTTGTTGCACGTATGGATCCTCACAAGAGAATTAAGAAAAATTAAGACATTTAGCGCGCAAGGAATGTGTGTTTTAACTTAGCCATGCCTAAATATTCAGGTTAGGAACAAGTAGCCCCTACTTCTATAAATGCTGCATATACACCAGGGTTTCTTTCATAAGTTTCATTATTCTAGCGATGACAAATTTGCCCTATACTGCATGCATATATAGAAAGTTATCTTTCACAATAGTTTGCAAAGTTTTCCGATTCTAAGATTGCCATAAAAGTTAGGGATGCGAGGAAACGAAGGAACGAACGAGTGTTTTCTGAATTAACCTTACACACATCACATTTGAAAGTTTCAAAAGTCAAAACTTGTTTCAATCTACTATACTTTCAACCGAGTTAAAACTAACTGATAGCCCAACATTAGGTCTTCCAGTGTAGTCAGTTGAGCGCATATGCATGATGTCCAATTCATGTTTGCTGTGTTCAATCAAAAGTAACTTCAGAGTTCAGTAAAAGTTATTATCAATCAGATCAACACTATGTAACCTCAACAAAAATGTGTTAGAAGAGGTGAATAACAGTCCTTTTATAGTTAAATATATATGTGTCTGCGTTTGACGAATTTTTTATTTTGAGCGCTTGATAACGAAATGCCGACATTGTGATAAGGTTTGTGGTAAACAAGAACATTAAACCAGCTCTAATTTTTTTTCCTCTAAGGAAGAAATTCATCAGCAGGCTGCAGGCATCGCCCGTTCTTTTCCCTTCGGTTCCCAAGCAAATTACGTTGGGAATGATCTAATTACAACGAAATTGTTTCCAAAAACGTGCTGGCGTTTGTTGGTCTCTGGCATCGCGGTCAGAAAAATCGCTGGAGCGTGCGCTGGTTTGCGCTAACACCGCGTTCTCACACATTTCAAAACACGCATGGTGCAAAACAAACACTATTTTCCCCCACGTCGGTACCTTTGACAAATCGATTAGCGAAAAGCAAACGAGGCAGGCGCTGTCAGAACGAGATCAACGCAACCAAATCGCGGGTAATTTCGCCCAATTGGTCGTGGATGGGACAGAGGCAACACAAACAAATTAGCAATACATCACCAACACGCTAAATGCATTTAATCATATGCGTGATTTTTAATTGCCATCGGATTAAGGCTATAAAAAGCGACCACTTAAAGTTGAAAGTTTAGTTAATTGAGGCAAGTGAGCTGGAGTGGGTTGAACTCGAGCCGTGAATTTGCGCAAATTTGTTTCCAAGTGAAACGGTGAGAAGGTGGAACTTTTTTATATGCTCTTGTACACAATGGCAAAGCCATCAATCGAGTTATTTTTATTCTTCGTCGCCTGCTGGTAAGTTTTCAGTCTTTGTGCGAGTGTTGTTCGCTTATCTAGAGGTCTTTGTGTACGGCCAAGTTAGAGTCAGCTCTTGGAAGTCTATATACTTGTTTACCTCAGTTAAACGTTCATGTAAAGTTGTTAATTTTAATGGCCACAATGAATTCAACATTCCTGCGATGAAATAAGTATATACTATGTAGCAAGAAGTATATATGCGTGTATTTGACATGTTTGTCTTGTGAAGTGTACACAGATTGTATTTATATATATTTAATACTATATATGCGTTTGAATGGCAGGACAAACATCAGTCTTGGCTCTCTAAACTTGCTGCGACCAATGTTTCTTATATAGGTCCTAATTCACTTTTACTCACGATAAATTGAGTAAATTTCATGACATAACTTCGAGGTCACTTGCGTATTCGGTGTATGGTGAACCAAGGCTAGAATCTTCCTGTTAGAGTGGACCAAGGTCTAAGTCTCACACCACCATTGTTGCACCGGTAGTCAATCTTTCTATCTACTTATTGTCGACGGAATAAGCTCGCCCAAATCGTTGTCGAGAGGGAACAACCTATAGTTCTGCCTACCCTTTCATCGCTCGAGTCTCGATAGAGGGCGTAACTCTTTGATTTGTGTAGGCAGGCTGTCTTTCATGATCAGGAATATTCTAACAAGCGTTCAGTAAACACTGTGACGATTTTTAATACGTGATTTTTCCTTGCCAAAAACAAGAAAGGAGCGTATTCGAAGCGGTTGGCTAACGCAAATAAGATCTTTTAAACCTTAGATTAGATAAATAAACAAAGCGAAAAGTCGGGCAGTTATCGAGTCGCTATAATTGTTCAAAAAAAAATGTACAAAGCCATGTCCGCCTAATTCTTTGCCGCGTTCTACCGCTTGGATTCCGCTTGGCAAGTTGACATTACTAATAAGCTTACATCATAGACCAACTTTTACTCATCTTCGTTACCCGATGGCCGTGCATATATACGTTGTTCAAACATGCAAGGTATATTAAATTACATCGTTTAAAATCGATTTAAAAGCTACATGTGCAAATTAGTCACAAATCCGGTCGGCTACGATAATTAAGAGGTAATATATGCGTTTAGTAGATTGAAACACACGCTGTAATATCATGGTTATAGTGCCAAAAGACGAGTTCAAAGGAATATATCTTTTGCAAGTAAACTGGTAATCATAGGTTTATTTGACAAGGAAATTGGATGGAATTTCGTTTTAAAACTATGTATACATGTACACGCTTGTAATGGCAATGTAGCATCGATTCCGTTTGGGAAATATAAGATATTTGCTGCTGAAGCACAATAAGTTAACAACGCATGTTTCATGGGAAAGTTAATACAATGGCAAATACAGACATCCGTTTCTTTGTATTGGATAATAAAAGATAAAATGACCTCAACTGGATACGATGATTGTATCAGTGTTTTGCCGTTGCTTTGTGGCATTCTTCTGTGACCGTATGAACAAATATCACTAAATATAGGTAATTGTTTTTGTTCCGACACATTATTGTGGCCTAATTTCCTTGTCGCTTGAGGCTTTGTTAGACGAGCAATGAAAAGGATTAGCTTTGGTTGATCTTGGCTGAATGCTTGTGTATTTTATTAGACCAATAGATTTCTGCCGAGATAATGAACAATCCAAGTTTCAGTCAAATGAAGCCGGATTTTGACTGCATCGGATATTTTTAGATATTTGGATACAATAATATAATTTTTGTGACTTAAATCGACCGCTGAGAATGCAATGGGAGAATAGTTTCTACTTTTCCTACCATATATAAGTATGCAGGGTGTCAAACTATTTCATTTTTACATAGCAAGACGTAATTCATTTATCTAAAAGTCTGTTCACACGATCCAATTTTGGTGGATCTAATTCACTTCTGATGGATGTTTTATTGTCTGTAGTTGACTTGCAATGTATATATATAGGGGCAGAAAATCCACTATAAAGTCAATGCAGTACTGTTTAATTGATAACACACTACATTCCGTACGCCAGAAGGGCAATAGATCCGACAAAATTGGATTGTTCGAACAGACAAGGTATCATTGAAAAGCTCACTGCTTTTCCATCCTATACGTATGGATCAGAGGCTGGTTGTATCAAGCCCGTTTAGCTTAAACTGTGGTTAAGTTCAAAATAGAGAGCAAGTCTATCATTTTATTCAAGAAGCAAACTAAACATTTTTAACCGTAATACAAAGCTACTGTTTACAAATACATAATATTCAGCGCATAATTTCAAGTTGACTCATTCAAGAGAGTTGTAAGAGTGTTTATTTAATTTTGACTTATCTACATAGACGTTTGTTTAATTTTATTTTAAAAAAACTCTGTGCATCGTAGAACATATTGTAGCTAAAAATGAAGTGGTCACTTGGAAAGGTAGATTCATCACCGTCCATAGTGTAGTCACTATAATATATATAACCCTTATTTTCTGATGTAATTTTAGTGTGTACCAAAATACAGGAAGAACCGTCGCAAGCGAAGAAACAACAGTGACTCCGAATACAAACACGCATGCGTCGACTAACAGAGAACACATTAAGGTAAAGGTTGGATATCCAGCATACGAGATATGACGGGTTACGGCTATCATTCACGGCCAGGAATTGTACAACTCTGAAGTATCATTTTAGTGCTTAATGCTAGTATACCACCTTTAAGATATCTTGCAATGTTGTTGCAAACCTCGTTGAGTTGGTATTTAACAGCCAGGTGACCTCGCGCACTATTTTAGCCATTCGGCAGACACAACAGTTGTTTTTCCAGTATCTAATCGATTATTATTCGACTGCTTTATGAAACTGGTCGAAATTGTAATTATATTTAGCTATATAAACAAATTTAACACCGACATAAAGTAGAGCTATTTCAAGAGATATCAAGTTATATATTAAGACAGTTCAATTGAGCAAACAATCTATGCATGCTATAGCGTTCCGTCAACCATCATTAAGCAAGAGTTTGCCAAAACTGTCAGCAGTTAAAGATTGTGCAAAGTGCTTCCAGCTTAACGTCGCCACACAAGTTGTTAATGGCAGTTAACAATTAACATACACGAATCATTATAAACTTTACTTTTTAATTAGATCTACGACATATACGTCGGCTGTCCGGGGTAGCTGCATAGCTGTAAAAAAAGTGATAGAGATATCCAGTATCATGCTTTTAATGTTAAAAACTCAATATCAATTTAAGGGTCCTGTCGTTCGACCTTATTATGGGATTATAAAGGTCATCGCGACAAAAGATCACGAAATGAACGACGGAACAAATCAATCAGGTTCATATGAATACCTAAGAGTTTGTTATGAAAACAAACAAATTAATGGTCGGCGGCATACTGATCACCTTGTATAAAATTGCAACGCAGGGTCATGTTCAGCCTTTTTGTAACAGCGATAAGCAAACACTAAGAGCAAACAACGAAGTCAGCGCACGCTATTGATATAAAACATTAGTAGTTTATCTTTGATGGTCGAAACAAAACACCAAGTTTCAGCCCGCGAGGAAAAAGCGACCCAAATTAGCCTTCACCGCCGCGACTGGTTAGATGAAGCCTGCCTAGCGATATTCAGGTAATTCAGCGAGTGGTGATTCGTCTTTAGTCGCTCTAAAGTTATAAACCCAAATTTACGATTTGATTCGAAATACATTTCGAAAAAAAGACGAAAAAAATATGTTTTTCTACCCCTCGATCGATAGATAACTCCTTATAAGCTTAAACCACACCAACCCTGTATATGGCAAAAATGCCCAAATCATATATATTTTCTGTTCGAAAAAAACAAGGTTTTCAAGTCACGAAATTCCGGTGTCTTGCCCTTCGCTGATAGTGCATGATCCATCCAGTTCACCCGTGGAGTTCAGTAATCGGCCGATGTTATGATAATGCAGTGCGGGATGCGGCCATTAGCGAATACTATTCGTCTTTCGGCAGATATTAATGCGGTGTTACTTGACTGGGAGTTAAATGAAAGACAAATAAAACATAATGGTTAATGTTTTGTTCGTGACCTATTCTCACATCACGGCGTTTGGCGGCATTGGGCACATAACTGCTAATGTCATGGTGATGTTTAGTGAATGACCTGAAAGGTTATCACGGGAACACGAACGTAACATTCGCGGTTGCGCCCATCCTCAAAAAAATCGGCGATAACTTTAGAAGTCCAAACTAAGATCATGGAAAAAATGGCGGATTGATTTTAATCGGAAATTGTTTAGAAAAACAAATTGGCGTTGTTCTATTGTAAATAAGCGTTCTATTTTAAATTAGCGTGTGTTTCACGGCAGCCAACCGTCACAAAATTTTCAATTTTGTTTTTGAGCATATATTATTAACGCTACTCTCTACGTACGCGTTTTTCTTACGCATGTACATCCACGGAAAATTAGAAATTCTTTGAAATTCTTATTATTTAACATCGAGGTCAACAATTGCATAATAAAATATGCTGACAACGAAGTTCTTTCGATTTATATTCACTACGTTTTTTAAAGATAACATAATATGTAAGGATTTAGACTTTTACGTGCGTGTACTTGCGAAATCGAAATGAAAAACGGCAGCACCCACAGTACAGCCCGGCGCTACGATGTATGATATTCATTATGATTCAAAATATTCACAATGACAGTTTAAGAATTGAAAAATTGAAACCAGCATATCCAGGATGATGATCGTTAGGAATTGTACCCTTTTAATTAATTTACCCCAAACTTATTTGAGCTGTCCGCCAGTGTATGGCTGCATGGGTGGTCGTCTGATGATTTGAATGAAAAAATAGTTCATAAATTTCCAACCCATGCCTATCGTGGGAAAGGAAACGCTTCCCATGCCGGCTAACATGCGTGTATATCCTCCAATCCACAGGAGTTTGGAAAGATCGCAGTGCATGCAGTGGATTGCACGAAAAGGCGACAGGGAAAATTTCGTTACGATATCGAGAATGGTCGACTACTTTTGTGTTACCACAATGCGTGGCGTGAGATGGGTTGGAGAACCAAATCTCCTGCGAAGGCAAAACTACCGTTGTCGTGTCTCGATGCTAAATTCAAAGGTTTGGACAAAGGCGACGGTCTGTACTGGATTAACCCTGAAGGAGTTGACGATCTCAAGAACTCGTTCCTCGCGTACTGTGATATGACAAGCGCCGGTGGGGGCTGGACACTCATAGCAAAGATCACGAACGATTACGCGTGGATTTGCCCCGAGAAAAAAGGCGGGAATTGTTTTGATTCGACCGTGGACCCTCTCACGGCGAACCTCTTTCATTCTGTTCACACGCGAGATTTCGTCGATCTTACGATAACGGCGGACGAAAACTCCGGAATACACTTGAGGAACGAGATTATAAGAAAGCTGTTTATGAGTAAGTATTTTACAGCAAGGTTAAATTTTCTGTGTCGGTGACAATCTGACTCTCCAGGCTGGGTTTTTCATGGGAGTATTTCAGTCCGTTCAAGGTAAACTGGCCCGGGTTCCATGTGAAATAAAAATTGATTCCTACAAAGCTGAGTTACCATGATGCTGGGCAACCCTTTTTCAACAGGCTAACCCCGTTGTGGTACGCTAAAATTTAGCACATGCAGATTTCCGTTGAATGGCGATCTGTTGATGGTTTGAGGCATACGCCAATACAAAGACCCTCAATTCTAAAATTTCCCAACTGCATGAGTGTCATTTAAGAATACTTTGGCAGAGCGAAGGATGTCGTCTCTCCAGTGCATGCAGACTCTATACCGTCTAAATCCAAGCATATTTGAATTCGGCTAAGTTGCTTCTATACATGAAGAAGTATTGTCTCTAAATTTCTCGTTCTAATCATTGCCTTCTCTGTTAAGGTGGCCGTCAATCGGTTAGATTTTCTTACGTCACGTCGTCCGAAGGTTGGACGCCAAGTGAGGACGCTTATGCCGCATTCGATTCCGCGAAGCCGAACAAAATGTTTCTTGGAAGATCCTTGGAAGATTACTCACGTGACAATGGAGACTACACGTGGAATGTGTTGCGTCACGAACGGAAACAGCTCACGTTTTCAGGTAAATATATTCTCGGTTAGCTCATAACGGCATGCCAAACTATTGTATTGTAAGTAAGTTGTTTCCATGGTAAGTCTTTCAACTGTTTTTGCGATGAGATTTTTGAGTTGAAGTCTTTGGGTTTTTGGGGGCTAAAAAATTTCTCAAATTCTTGAAGAATTTACAACTCTAGAAAATTGTTTTAATGGAGATATCAAAGATCGCTCTAGTTTGGAATGCTGTTTGGCGCTAGCAAAATCTCAAAGCATGCGCTTTTTTAGTTGATAAGTTTCAAAGAAATGTCAAAGATGGTTTAAGATCCTTCAAGTACTGCCCCTTAAATACAATCTCTTTTGAAATATCATTCTTTTAAACTCTTACTTGAAGACACCGCAATATTTCAGATATTTCATAAACACGACAATTAGAGGTAATTTTGACAATTGTGTTACGCCAAATACACTTTGCGTGGCGCATTTTTGAACTAAGACCTTTTTTATGCGGTAAAGTTCACACGAACAAGTTGAGTCACATATCATGTCATGGTTACAGTCGATCAAAAAGATTAAAAACCAGTTTCTGAGTTAAATATTTCGTCCAGTATTCCATTTGAAACACCCTTTGAACGAAGTACCTTGAGCTAATTTTCTAATTGAAAATTGTTTGCATTGAGAATTCTTTTATTTCTTTTTGTTTTATATGGTATAAGTAAGCCGTTCCTCATATTTTAAAAGACAGACTCAAAATCTACAGTTTTTTAAATCTAGAGTTTTTTAAATAGTTTTAGGTGGTTTAGATAGTTTAGTTTAGTTTAATAAAAAAACGTCTTGCAGCCAGGACAGGAAATTAAAAATTACAGTAAATTACATAATAAGTTAAATACAAATTTAATTAGCTATATACAAAAAACAAGATCTTTAAGTCTAAGCACAGATACTATAAAAGAGGAAGAAAGGTCTAACATGTCTCAAATAGTTTTGTTGATTTAAATTATGTGATACCAGGTCATATAATATAGACTTCCTGGTTCCTGGAGGACTCCAAGCTAAATGAAGAGCTTTCTCAAAATTGTGATATGATTTTTTTTTAATTTCATTTAACTAATATATGGAAAAGGAGGTGCAAGTCTATTCTTAGTGCTTCAGTTATATCCAAATCAAGTTACCGGTTATCTACCTGGGACTGCCAATTTGGTGGCCTGAATATGCTATAAAGAATACATAAAGAATAAATAAAAAATATGGGGAATATATAAAGAATATATAAAGAATACATGGCTATTTCAATTTTCAGTTTCATCTATTCATTTTACATCAAAGCATGCTGAGATGCAGTGGAGGTTTTTTGCAACCCCGTTAATTTATTTCACTTGTTTTCGTAAGGTTCGATAATATGTTGGGGAATGGACGTGCAGTCAGACTACCGCTACTACGATCAAGGCCTACACGTTGGTACTCCGACAGAGGAAAATAAGAAGTGTCATCTTCAAAACGACGAGACGCAGATTATGCTAAAAAGCCATTACGCACGCCTGGATAGTACAGGCAGATCAGCCAGATGGGATAGGGCACAATTCGGTTTCCTCGGTTCGAAATTCCTACAGGCACCATGCGAGAGAATTGCACTGTGGGTACGGTAACCGCTGACCTAACATGGTCAAAAGGCACCGTGGGCGCATGTGAGCCTCTGATTTCAGGATTGAAAAGTGGATGGAGTATCTATTGTTGTCAAAAGCTGAATTATAAATAAATTTTGTTGAAGTCAACGCGATTCTTCTAGAGACAGTCAACCAATAGATCGCTTGATCCAGTTTACTTTTCATAAAGTCAGCGGTGTAAATTTAGAAAGAAAATGAAGACAACTATATAATTACCACCTTTATAACTTATTCAAGTAAATTATGCAAAGCTTTTTGTTTTAAACGTCAATGAATGGTCCCAAGTACTGTTTGAACTTGTAATGAAAGAGTTGATATAGTGAAAACTTTGTAACGATGGAAAATGATATTTTTCCAAATTATTCATATTAACAATATTTAACATATATATATAGTTTACGAGTATAATATTTAAATTTTATCATTTTATTATGATGTAAAAGTATGTGAAAATATGCAATACCCATCGATATAAATAGGTATATAAAACTGTTTCTAAAAAATCAGTCAAAACTACTACTTGGAGAGTGTTTTGTTTTTCAAATTTTCTGTAGTTCGTACAAATAGTTTTCTAAAGCAATCATGCACGTACGCTAACTACGGTTTAAGGGTGACTTTGATTGGTTGAAAAACAGTAAATGGACCAATCTAATTCCAATTTTTGCATGTCACGAAGCAAGTCTAGTTAGCCACGAAACGTAGTAAAAGGAAAAGCATAACAGACAGTAGCCTAGTAGCGACCAACAGAAATTATGGAAGGCTGAATGTTTATTCCTGCATAAAACATTGTAAAGTGGTACGTTCTAGATAAAGCCAGACTAGTATCAGAAGCAACAGTCACCACTCAGTTAGACCAGGTGATTGCAATCATTAACTGGCATTGAGGAAGGTTGAAAGAGAAACACTGAATAAATCATTGCAAAGCATAGCTAGTCAAGATGTGTATTGTAGAAGCGGCAGTACTGCGATGCATTTATTGACTCCTGATGAAATTTAGTGCCACGACCCCGTAGTGATCGTAGAAAGTTCCTAGCCTTCAGGAAATGAATCAAAAACAACATCCACACTTTCTCTTAATAAGAATACAAACAGAATTCCGCGTTTCAGCTATGAGGTAAATACACTCTCTTTACAGTTATTATTATAATAGTTTTGATACGATATTTTTTGTATATCTTGTCAATCTTTTAGTGGCAACAGTTTTACAGACATTCCCTATCTTTAGGGTTACATGTTGCTGATAATTTGGAATAAATATGCATCGCTTCTTCTCTAAATGAAGCTAAGAAACTCTACTACGTTAGTTACACCAGCGTCTTTTATTCGTTGGTTACTCTTCCCAATGCCAAAAGAAGACATTGACTATATCAACTGCATTAACTATATGCAGTCATGATGTAAAGTTATATTTTGAATTCTCGCCAAACTGCTGAAATACTTATGTTCGACGTGTCCCACAAATGGATATAGAATCTCTGATTTGAAACAAGGACTGGATAGATATCTGTCTGTGTATAGAAAGGGGGAATGAGGAACAAAAATTGCTATTCAAAAATCGTTACTATTTTCAATAGCCAGAAACCTATATCGATACACTTTTGGTGGGCGGAGGGGGTATAGTTGAACAGCATATATCCATGTCACTAGTAGTAGAATGGTTCACCCACTATAAAAATCTTCCCCTCTCCAATAAGGGGGAGGATAATGTCTCATTTCAGAAAAGCACGACAGTCACTCTCTCCAGTCTTTGTTTTCAAATCAGTCAATAGAACTCGTATTTATTTCAATGCATACGATGTAATAAAAATCAGTTTCAGAGAACAACTTTGAGAAAAAAGAAAGCAATTTCTTGAAGTGATGTTGAATAAAAAAATGGATCATTCTATTCACAAGGGATTTTACCGTCCAGCGGTAAAATCAGGAAGGCTTCATCCGTTTTTAAAAAATTGGAAAACTTGATTCGGTTACATTTATAAAAGTGGTCGACAAACGCGTTCGAAAACAAAAATTAGCACGCCTTTCTTCAGGTTGCACAAAAAAGATGATGGTTTCAGCAGTAGTCGATAGAGATATGGTGTGGAAATTCGGAACATATAGCGACCTTCAGTCAGCTAAAATTTAATATTGAGACGACTTCACTGTTTACAAATCGTTTTAAATTTTTCTCATAGATATTTCAACAGCATAGTTGAATGACAACCTCGTACCTAGTGTTTTTCTCTGTGCTCAGACTCTGGGGGGGGGGGAGCCCAGAGTCTGAGCAAGGAGAAAAGACCCTGGGTACGAGATTGGGTTGAAGACTGGACGGAGTATTGCTAGTATAATAGCACGCGAGTGCTTCATTGTACACACAATCCAACGTCTTCGCCTTAGACATGTTTGCATAAACATGAAAAAAACGGCAGGACAGAACGAATTTCCCAACCACGTCTCAATGGACTGCTTTTTTGTTTAAGAAAGGCAATCACAAAATTACGTTAACTTCGGCTTAGTATTTACAGATTAAAAACAGTCTTATCTTGGTGAAAATTTAAAACAAACTTACTCATGTCGTGTGATATTACAGCTCTAACTAAATATGTGTATATATTTATATATTCCTATCTGATCCAGATTGCGATCCTCTTGCAAGGGACCTGCAGCACGTGTGACGAGAGGAAGCCAAATTGGGCGCGATCCCAGGTGGCACTGCGCCCGTTGCCCTCTACGAATGCGTAGTGACTCTTTAGCATAATTTCCGTCTCGTCATTTGCGAGATGGCATTTTTTGCTTCCCGTCTGGGCGGCGCTGCCAAAATGCAGTCCGTGTTCGTAGAACCGATACGAGGTATTGACGTTGCTACCCCAGCATAATGTACTGCCTAGATGAATATACGCAAAGTGGCTTCAACGGTGAGTCGTTAATTCTAAAAGCTAATTCGCACTCAAACTCATTGAGTGGGAGATCTCAATCTTCTCCTAACTTTTCCATGGCGGTATTTTCAGTTTTTAATGTTTTACCCTAAATCTTTTCGTTGATTAATTAAGAAAGAACTATGTTACACTCAGGGAGAATGAGTAAGTATGTTTACCTGAGAATTTGAAGGTATTTCTCTCGTGTTTAACAACATTCCAGGTATAATCCTGCCTTGCTGCACTATATTCCACCCAATTGCCATCGACAAAAAGCGTGTTCGTCCTTTCCCGGTTGAATGCGGCATATGCGTCTTCGCTCGGTGTCCAACCGCTGTCAGCGGTTACAAACGTAAACCGGACTGACTGTAGGCCACCTATGGAGGATAAAAAAATTAAATTTAAATGTGTGCAAATTGTATGAATCAATGTTAAAAACAACAAAGCGAATTATAGATCGGTAGGCTCAGTGAACACTGTCTCATTTAGGAAGTGAACTCTAATTCAACTAAAACGATTACTCGTTCGCTATCTTCGAAACCAATTTGGACTTGAATTGGGTACCAGTGCCATGGCGTCCTTGTCTATTGTTTTGTCTTCACGGTCGATGAACCTACAGTCTGTAGAGGATTCACAACTTCTAGTCTTAATAGAATTAACTGACTTTATGGGACAAAAATAAACCTCAGAAAAAAAGGTACCCACCCATAACCGCGGAAGAGGGAGGCCTCGGAAGTATGAGCGCAAAGTGGTATTGTCGAGCAAAAAAAATGCTACCCATTATCAACCGACTGAAGTCCACTACATGGCACAATTCACGGCCAAAAGCAAGCCACGCCAATGGTATATTTCCGTCCGTTAAGGCTGCCCACTTACGCGTTTTTCATACGCACGTACACGCACGTAAAAGTCTAAATCCTTATACATGCTACCTTTGAAAAAACTAAGTGAATAAATCGAAGGAATTTAGTTTTCTGTATATTTTAGTATGCATTAGTTGACCTAGATGTTAAATAATAAAATTTTAAAAGCATTTAAAATTTTCCGTAGTTGTACGTCCTATAAAATACGCGTAAGTGGAAAGCAGCCTTAATAGCCGAAGAGATCTCTGAGCAACGTATCTAATTTTACGTCGATTCATGCATGCGCCGCGATGTCTGATTGTCCTACATCTAATCCGGAAAAATCGACACGAGAACTTTCTAGTGAGGATTAAAACAATAATCCGTGCGTCGGGGATTAACAAATTTTCAGAATATCGCAAGGGGTTAAACATTTTACGTGCGGATTTCTGAAAAAACTAATTCCTGAGTTCAAAGTTGAAGCCAAGTAAACAAGTTGACGAAGCTCCAGTGTTTGTTTGTAAGAATGATATTAAAGAATTATTTTACTGTAGTTCGTTTATGGACTGCCAAAGCTAAATTGAACCGAAGGACGCTATATGAATATTCGCAGCAAAAATTTATATCCCAAACGTGATGCCATATTTTGCGGCCTAGACAAGGGCACACCCTTCCTATTTTTGCGCGGTTACCGTAAGCTAGGGTCAAGCACGAAGCGATGAGCAATGAGACTTACACTCGAAATAAAAAAAACTTATTGAAGAAAAACTTTGAGGACTTACTTTCAAAAATCTTCCTGAGAACCGTCTTCTTGAGATGGACACCGGAATTTTCGTCACTCGTAATTCGCAGATCAACAAAATCTCTCGCGTGTGCAGGGTGAAAAAGGTTGGATCGTAATGGATCCACTTCGGAATTGAAACAACTCGATCCTTTGCGCTCCGGGCAGATCCAAGCGTAATCGTGAGTGATTTTCGCGGCCAGCATCCAGCCACCCCCCGCGCTTGTCATATCGCAGTATACGACGATAGCATTCTTCAGGTCATCTATTCCGGAGGGGTTGATCCAGTAAAATCCATCTCCCTTGCCTCTGTCCAAACGCTTGAATTTCGCATCAAGACAAGATGTTGGTAAAGTGCCTTGTCTTGATGGGAAGCTGAAAAGATTCGAGATGGGCGACCATGACCTCGATTGACAAACCTGGATGCCTCCTGCAATGAACCTCAGCTGACCTTCCATCCTCGGAGTGCATCTCAAGTCCGATTTTGGCCGGCCTCTTCTCTATGGATAGAAGCAAGTGAAGTCAATGTAATATGTCAAAACACATACAAGACTATATCCAAAGAAACAAAACATCCTTTTGTAAACACACGCATTCTTATTTTTATATTTTGATGTGGAAATTGGTCATACCAATAAATTTTTATCCTATTTTTTTTTCCACGTTTATCGGGCCAAATAAAACAATTTTTTTCTCGTGCATGTGTCAAAGGAGGTGTTTTGCACCTTCGTGAGTGTAAACTTAATATGCGCTTCCTTTAAGGTGGCTCTAAGTTGGAAACGATGAAAGTGTGAAGTAATTACCGGAAAAGTCTATTCTGTTAGTTTAGTTATTGCATGAGTACCACTTAAACAGATTGAAAGTTTTAGGTTGCGTTTGTGCGTGTTTAAAACGCGTAAACGGAAAGCACACCCTTACAATACCAATTAAGGGTATATGGGTTAGATAAGCACACGAATTGATTCACAAGTAAAAAATATAGTTAAGCACTGAATGAATGACTATTTTAAGGTAAATTATGTACAAGCACACGGTTTGAAGTCCCGATACTTGCGCATAGCTAAAAAACTGGGCAGTTTGTTATATTCAACAAGAAGGCATATGAATAAAGCTAATAACTCGTTTAATTAAGTGAAAAATGTGAAGGAATAATGGACAAAAAGTGATGGCCCACGTCCGCACGCGGTTGCTAGCCTTGCAGGGTTGAAATGCAAGTACAATGTTGAGCAAGAGTCGCGGTGATGCAAGGCATTACTCCAGTGCATTTGGAACTAGAGTGCAGCGTTTTCCCAGCAAACTATACAAGGTCATTGCCATGATGTCATCGTTACAATGTCGGTTCGTTGTTGACCGTAGTGAACAGACGTATGGTCTAGTGATCGGCGAACTTCAAGGTGTCTAGTTCGAGCTAAGATTTCATGTTGAGACTCCATTACCGCACACAAATCTCTTCAAATGTTGTTAATTAATATCAGTTGAGTACTTGAATGAGGTGATGGTGCTGGGCGATTGATTTATGATACAAAAATTAATCGCCTTTGCGGTGCACCGATTTCCATGAATGTGATAAATATGGGTTGAAAAACGACTTCCAGACCACGTTTTAGTCGCCTGTCATGGCCAAGATGTACAACCAATTGCGACAAGTAGACAAAGACAAAGCACATTTTTTCCGAATGGATACAATAAATCTGTCAAAACAATATTGCCACCTTACTCAGCCTGACGATTTGTCCCGCCATATGCTAAAATTATGGTGTTCATTGACTGTGAAAACAATAAATTTATAAGGACATGAATAATGATAATAACTTGAAGTTTATATGGCGGGGAAAAATCGTCAGGCTGGCTACGCTACTGGATTAGTAAGTAACTTGGAGTTGCGAGTTGCGTTGGCGCTATGTTTCCATCGCAACTAAAATAACTTCGGTCATCAACTGAAGCATTATTTGAAAGGTAAAAGTCTATCCGTTTTTATGTCGTGAACAACAAACTACTTGCTATGTTATAACCCAACGTGTGTTTTGAAAACCATACTTTAATGAAGTCAGTTTACTTGATAAGAAATCATTAAAACTTCGAAATTTGGACGCGATAAGAACCAATTAAATCTGACTCGTTATTTCAGTGCAAATTTGGGCATGAAAATTTGAATACTGTCAATGAAATTATCACAGAAAAAATCTGCATGAAAGGCCGCGAAAATAGATCTTTTTGACCTAACTAGTGTTTCAACTATAATCTACCTTACAGCATTTGGGTGAAATTCGATTAATCACAAAGCATATATATGCATAGCTTATACATGGAAGGGCAATCTATAATCTATGTTTTTGTGTGGGGGAGGAGTGTGGGGGGGGGGAGAGGAGGGCGTGTGGGGGGGAGGGGAGTGGGGGGGAAAGGAGGGCGGTTTCCTCATTGGCGAATATCGAATGTTAAAATGATGTCTATCTCGTTTGGTATCAAAAAAGCTCATGGCGTCTAACATTGGCACTCAACAGAAGTTATGGCGACCAGTTTGTTTTCATGATTGAAGCGCAGGATAACTGCATGAGGACTGATTCACAAATTCTCTCAGTTTTTAAATTACAGGTTGGCTATAAACGAATTAATACTTTCTATGTGCTTTGTGAAATAAAGTTTGCAATATTTCGTCATACAAGTTGTAGAAAGTTTCAAACACACCCAATGAATAGCCAATTTGGCGGCCATCTTAAAAAATAATTTGGCGGCCATCTTAAAAAATATTATTGTTCAGGAAATTATTGTTTTCTTTTCCGAAATGTTGAAACCTTTCAGACATTTGCACAACAGAAAATTAGATTTAAGTGGGGCCTATAACTCGAAAAAACTCGGGGAAAAACGGCTTTTGAAGATCTTCGGAACTACAACGCCAATTAACACAGCGAGCATAATGTTTGGGTTTGGCTTAGCTGCTCACCTGGGACTTGACCATATTCGAACTTCATTGGCGTCAACAGAAAAGCACGCGTCGAAAAACACGCATGTTTTCATTTTTTAATTCGGATTGTTTGGCAATAATGCAGTGTGTTCTATAAACGCAGATGAGCAAGCATATCAATCAATCTTAATCATATTGCGTATGTGAAGGTTCACTATGTTGTCAACAAGATATTTTATGCGCTTCATTAATCCAACTGAGACGCGAGCGTGAATGAATTTCGCGATCGGAAATGAAAGAATTAGTTTGTGAAATGCCGAAATATTTTTATCGCTCCTCAGACATTCAATTTCATCGCGCAACGGTTCCGCGTCGTGGTAAGAACTTCCGCATGGACTGGAGACTGATATTTGTCAAAGGCAATAATTCATGCCAACGACCCAAACTTGTGTCTTTTTTTTCGAATAAAGAGGATGCTTGACTATTTTTAAATGGGCGAGTTCTAATCAGTTTCCCGATATTGTATACCAGATCATGTATGGGAAAACCAATATTACGCACGGGCCTTTAGCTGTATTATTGTACACTAGCATATACTGGACCCCTGTGAGATGATTTCATTGACTTATAACGAATTTTTCCCCTCAGGAGTTTTGAAAACGAGATTACGGATAATCATTTTGAAGAATGGTAAACAGGAATAGATGTTTAATTTATGTTTTAAGCAATGAACGGATGTTTTCTAATCCACACAAACTTCAACTTGGATCATCAGTTCTCGCAGCTTGGAGATGCCTGAAATTACTTTCTGTATAGGAGTTTGTGAAACGCCAGATAGAACAGGGACACGAATGTTGTAAATCATATCAATTTTATGTGTTCCTTAGCGTTTGGTCGCTCATACTGTAAATAGTTTTTAGAGCTTAAAGACAGCTTGACCATTAAGAAAAAAAAACACGCAAAGAACTTGTCTAAAATCGCGACATGCTATCCATTGTTAGCGCTCCGCTTTAAAGGTCGATCCGTGTAAAGGTCTTCATTGTTAAACTTTCATCACACTGGTGTAATAACTAAAATTAAAATTTACATGATGGTATTTTAAGCCCGTAGTGTATAAATTTCAGCGCCGTTGTGCGCTAAAAATGCTAATCTACAATCCGATGCATTAATGCATGGAATCTTTGGCATGAACTTAAAATCGGTAAACAATCAAAACAATTTTCCAATGCGACGCGTTGTTATATGTTCTATGCTAAATTGCTAATAAACACAGCCACAGGCGGGAAAAAACTACATCATTAAAAATCAGAACAGGAGGACACTATGGCACAAATATACAAGCGCGCAAAACGCGTTTTCGTCCTATATTTGAAGAGCTAAAAGCGGTTTTTTCAAACGTTTTCCCCTAAAACGCCATTTATTGTATTTGAAAAACAAATTCCGGCACATGGGTAAAACAAACAAAATATTATTCAGGAAATTTAAGAGATTTCAAGCATTCAATCGTCACGCTGAATGCAAATCAGGAAAAAACATGTAAAGCTTCGAAATCCAACAATGCCCGTAGAACAACAAGTCACAAAGAATTGCGCATTTTATCCAAACAATTATTTTTTCCAACAACGCACGCGGAAATTGCTCAATGACCGGAATTTAGCGGGCGGAATCTTTAAGACTTTGTTTCATCCGTATCAAACGATGGCCGAACTGCGAGTGGGGCAAGTAGTTTAAGGGTGTTGCGGTTGGGACCTTCTTAACTGCTAATTGTTCCCTAACTGGATTAGCACGTCGCTAAGTTTGACCACAGTTTATTCTGGTTTGACGCAATTTGCTAAACGCATACAGGTTTGGCAAATTTGATTCAAAATTTTGTCGGCCCACAATCACAAGCCCAAATCATGTAAACTTTCAAAGCGTGGTATAAACGAACAGAAATCGTTCTAAAATACTTCCTTTCCGAACGCCTCAAAAAGATCGTGGTTTTGCGATTTGATCTTGAAAAGAGGCGGGTATATATTGTGTGCGATGAAAACAGAACTTGTTTACGGTTCAAGGTGATTCGCGGGCGGCCTGAGAACAAATTATTCTAGAACGTATATTAATACAGACTTGAAAATGATGCTGACGCGTGATAACAAACCGCTTTGAGAAAACCTGGCTACCCATGGGGGATATTGTAAACTAAATTGCATCGACTCCTATAGTGTTTCCGGAGCATTTATGTGAGCAGCAAATATTCCTATTAAAAAAATGTGTAACCATAACGTATAGCAGGAGATTTAGCTTTTACGGCAAAAAGAAATCTTGAATATGCGTTGAGTGCCGTTTACACGAGCGGGCGTAGATTTACCAAATCTTGTATACGTTTTTAACGAACAAATTTTGAATAAAAAATTTTTAAGCCGTGATAATCGAAGTTGAAGTATTATGTGAATGAGGAAAAATCTTTAAAAAGCTGGTTTAGAACCGATTAAACATCGATTAAATATTCAGTTCTTTCATTTACTAGTTAACTTCCCCTTTGTTTTAATCGCAGATATCTTATGAACACCAGGGGCCGGTTGTTCGAAAGATGGATAACTTATCCAACGGATACGT